CATCGTTTACTTTCTCCGTATTTTTACGATAGTCGTAAAAGGCGAAAGTTTACGGTCAGTGTTTACGATTAACGTAATACGCCGTAAAACGTCGTATATGGCTGCCGTAAACGGCCACTGTAAACGAATGCCGTTTTCCAACGTAAATGATTGGTGTACGACCGTTTACGGCCGGGCAGGAACGACCTGGGTCCTAATGAAAGTCAACAACAAGAAAGTATGAATAATTTAAGTATGGGATTAGATACAATGAACGATGGTGATGATACATTTTATTCTGTTAATGATGGTATTGAAGAAGTTCTTAAGGATGATGGTTGTGAAACGAATATTTGTAATCTTGTATCGTTTTTTGATTCGGTTAACACCGGCGAAAGCTTTTCCGAATTGTTGTTGATTATGAAACGATCGTACTTACAGCTTATTTTGGAATTACGTGAAGAGTATTTACTGCCACAGGGTGTTACAAATATCATTTCTACGTATATTGTAACGCTTTTTCGTCACTTAGAAATTTTATTGAATAAAAAAGCAGTTCTTCCATCTACAGATATTTATTCATCTTCAACATCAACATTACCAAAACAGAATAAAAAGATTATTGAAATTTGCCAACTGCATGAAACATTGAATGGTTTATCTAATATGATCGAATCAAATTCTAAAAACAATAATCAATTCATTAAAAATTGTGAGAAATATTTCGATTTTAATTCACCAGAATAAGTGATATTATCATAACCTAATGAACCTATTGAACATGCTTATTTTATTCCAATCGATAGAACATTATCATTTATGTTGAAATCTCAACGACTTTTGTTAGAAATCTCAGAAAATATACAACAACAACGAATCAGCGTAGAAAATGATTCATATCTTATGTTTTCAATAAGAGATGGACATTATGGTAATCGATTTGATGAAGATAGTCTTATGATCCAGTTGTATTTGGATGATATTGGTCTAACTAATCCACTTGGTGCAAAACGTGATAAACATAAAATGACTATGGTATATTTTTCTCTGGAGGATGTTCCAGACAAATATCGATCGAAACTTGATTTCATTCAATTAGTTGCTGTTTGTGAGAGCAAACATCTCAAAGTAAATTTTCTAATGGTAAACTCGAACAAGTACTGATAGAATTGTGAGTTAGAAAAACTTGTTTTCATAGTATTGATGCAAAATAAGAAAACGTTAGCTTTATTATTTTCTTTTATAAACGCTAACTAAAATCTTAACTTGAGATATCTAATTTAAGAAAGAACAAAACATCAATACGATTTTGTAATATCTAATATTTCTTATTTGAGAATGATGTCAAAGCTCAGCGTTTCTTCGCGCCGATAATTGAAAATTTAAACAAGTTGCAATTGCATGGTATTTCAATTCACGGCGTTCATCTTACGTTTTCTTTTTCTACCGTTGTTGCTGACAATCTAGCATCCCATTTTGTAGGTGGTTTTCAGTCTTGTTTCAATGGTGGCCATTTTTGCAGAAGATGTTATATTACATATTCAGAGAAGAATTTAATGATTTCATTATCAAAAATTCAAACTCGGTTAATCATTGATCACGATGATCTTGTTGATAAGATCATCAATGATCCTAATAGAGTCCCTTTGAAGGCTGTTATTGGACCAAGTCCTTTACGAGAGCTGATTGGTTTTCATCCGACAACATCATTACCTCGAGATCTCATGCATGATTTAATTGAAGGAATATGCTCAATGATTATAATTTCTTTACTCAAGCAAGCGTCTGCATTACGAATTATAACATACAGTGAGAATATTGTTGTTATCTTTAACTTTCATACTCAGATTTTCTTGTATAAATAGATAATCATATAATTTTCGCATACAATGAGGGCGCTTTTCTCTAAATTATGTTTATTCTTTCTCTTGTTTTCAATTTTTAATCTTGCTGAAACTATCAAATCGTTAGAAATCAAAGCAATCTTAATAAATACATTATATTCGATTTTTAATGAGTTAAGTGTAGGAGAATTAATTGCATTAAGTGAATATAGGATTGATTAGAATCTTTTTATATTCTAAACAATAGCAATTTTTTAAAATCGTAGTAAAACTACTTCGTAATATTATTTTGAATAATTTGTTCTTACTTATCTCGTTGATTTATTTTTTTTACATGTTAAGTTCGTATGCAAGAACGTATGGAACAATTTCAATATGGAAAATTTGATTCCAGTAATCAACCGCCTCCACTGCTAGTAAAACACCTTCAAAACAATCATATGGTTGCCACAGCGGCACAAAAATTATGTTTTTTCAAGCGTTTCCCTATCATTTTTAATGATGTAGTTTATCTTTTACCTTCATTTATAGTGTACAAAGTATTACGAGAAATACTTGACCTTATATTGTCATATCCATTTCGGAAAAAATGGCTACATGTACTTGGTGAATTATGTGATACTTTCCACGAAACAATGCTAAGTCATTTTCCGGATAAAATAACGCCAAAGGCGCATTTTATTCGAGAATACAAATACATAATCAATGATTTTGGTCCAGCAGTTAAACAATGGTGTTTTAGATATGAAGCTAACCATTCCTATTTCAAGAAAATCACAGCTCGAACGAATAATTTCAAAAACATTCCGAAGATGCTTGTCACACGTTATCATTTAAAACAATGTTTGACATTCGGTCATTTATCTCAATTACAATCATCTCAATATTCTGTAGGAATGAAAAAAGTTCAAAGTACTTGTTTTAATTTACCAATGAAAGATATTTTATTGAAACATTTCGATCATATTGATTTTGATAAAGATCTATATCAATCTAATACATTAATTTATGACAATGTTGAATACCGTCGATGTGGAGTGAATATTATAGATTTGAAACCATCTCATGCGCAACCAATATTTGCTCAAATTATTATGATTTTAAAAAAGAATGAAAAATGGTGGTTATTAGTAGATATTCTTGATACCATTTGTTATGATGAAAAATTATTTGCATGGCAAATACAATCTACAGCTCGATATTCTTTGATTGATCCAAATGCTTTAGTATATTATCACAAAGAATTGGATATTTATATGGTGAAAAATTTGAGTTTTGCTTCATTTACATCACGTCTGACATTACATTAACCATAACATGAACGTTTAATGTTTCAAACGCTTATTCTCATATAGATGTTATTATAGCTTCATTTTGAAACTTTCATTAATCTTTTTTATTTATAGTATACGCGTGTCTGATAGTATCAGATCTTATTCTATGGCTATATGGTCCCCTTTACTGATGCATATGGCGATTGATGAAGAAATAGGTTATGATTTATGACTAATGAGACTTTATGATTTGATTTTGTCTTTGCGTTTTGCGTTTTGAAGTATTATATACTTGTATTAGTTATAAAACTCTTTCACATTCCACGTTTTTTTATATAACAACACATACTAATCTAGCTTTCTAACTTTCTAACTTTCTCAACTATGTTTTTTCAAAAAAACCATGTTTTTATTCTTTTCATTATATTTAAATATAACTTTTTGTTTGTTTTCTAGAGCATGATGTGGATGGCCCAATGCTCAAGATGTTGAATAATGTTGAACGAATATCACAGTTAATTCCGAAATTGAAACAGCAGTTACGTTTTTTAGAAGAACGTGAAAAATTATTACGAGGAATTGAAAATGGTTCAATTTCATGTGATAGTTCTTTATCTAATACATCTACCATACCTAAAACACCAATTATTACTGTACCAAATGCTCAAACATCACCTACTGTTTCAGTTAATTCACAATCACTATCTTCAATTTATTTGTCAAATACAAAGATTTCATCAACTATGTCTATGAATAATTTAACAACTGATCAAATTATTACCGCTACAGATATACCTTCATCTTTTCCAGATATATATGAAGTACCAATATTACCAAATGCTTTATTGAAAGATATTGAAGCTGGAAATCTCAAAAGTTTTGGTCCACATTACCAAGGTCGACAAATACTAATCGATGCAGTAGTTCATGATCTGGTTGAAAATTATAATTTACTGTAAGTTATTGCTACAGTGAAATACATATAGTTCTCATGTTCCTCTATATCTGATCAATCGATTTTTTCTATTCTTTTTCGACAGTTTTTTATTTAAAACTCACAAGATTAGCATTTTTTTATTGATTACCTTGTTAAAATTTATATTTCAACAAATATGAAAAACGAAACCGTTAACTTAAACATTTTTTGTCAAAATATCTCAAATGATAAGACAAGATTTCTCTCTATCATGAAATTGTCTGTTATCAACAGTTTTAAAACTTGATCAGTCTTTTATTCATGTTTAATTAATACTTTGCCCATAGTCAAAGATTGAACGATCAACATAAGCTTATTGTTTTTTCAATTACTTTAGAAATTCACATTCATTTTTATTATTTATTTTTTTATTAGCTATTTATCAAAAACACAATATAATACCGTTGGCTCTGCTATTGTGCGATGTTTGAGATTACCCTCAACACCAGAAAATCTAGTAAGTTGACTTATCGTTTAGAAAAAAATATCAATTTTTAAATTTAAGGCAATTTGGAAAGACGCATTACAAACTAAATTAAAACGAACACGTGTTGATCATCCAAATAGCAGTCTTGTTCAAGTATTTCGCTCAAAATATTCAAATTTGGGATCTGGACGTCCAGTCAAACAAAAAATTGGTACAGTTGTTGAACGTGATAGAAATAAGCAGGTAACTAATAATTAAATATTACTTATCACTTGGTTTTTTCTTCTAGATGGTAATAATGCCTTATAGCGAGGAGTTGTCTGATGAAATTCAATCCAAAGTGGTACAGCTACAAAATTTTTCTCAATTTGATGTTAGCACTCAATTACGGTTATGGAAAGAAACATTTATCTTTCGTCGACAAGTCGTACGAGATCAATCAACCAGTGATATTATGAAGAATTTTCTTGCCTGTAGTAATGCTTTCCTGGTAAATTGGTTTCTCAAGATTATCTCTTCGTATTAGACAATTGTTTTCTATTATAGCTCTTCGAAGAAGTAAAAATGCTGACGAACATTGACTTTAGTAAAGAAGTTCGACAACAAGTTCCTATTTTACTAGATAAATTAGTTGAAACTCCTGCATTCATTGCCGGTAAATAAAATTAATGATAAGCATTCATGAATAAACAATTCCTGATTTTAGATTCATCCCCTAGTGAAGGTACTCATAGGGTAGTACTCAAAAAGTACTCACGCTAGAAAATGTCACGAGTACTCATGCGTATTCATGGGATTTGAGTACTCATCAGTAGTACTCGAACTAGATTTTGACCGGTTGAGTCCGACTACTGAGTACTCGCCTCATAAGACTGAGTTTTCTATGAGTACTACCCACGTATCTTCCGAGTACTCTGGTAGCTTTTTACAAGATTTACTCATTCATCTATACATTGTTCACTATATTTTAATACTAAATGAATTCTATTTCGTTAACCTATCAACAATAGTATATTAGTGCAATGAAATTCACAGATACAAAAAACTACAGAAAAAAGAATACTAAAATTTGTTACGATACAGTATACTCAGTAACACGAACAATTAATTTAAAAATTATTGGATGAATTTTTGATTCGATTCGTGTATGAAAACAAATTTATGTTAAAGCGATCCTTATACAAAAAAAAAGAAACTTCCTGACATGAATCATCGATGCTATTTAGTAGCCAGAAAAAAAGCTTAACTAATCTGAAACAAAATTTTATCTGAAATTTAGAAATTAAAAGTTATCAGATCATTGTTTGTACACAATGAAAAGACATATTTTGTTTAATTCGAAAGTTGAACAGTTGAAAATTAAAAGTGTATGTGTATATGTACGTGTCTCTGTTCACAAAATGAAATATAATTGATTTGATATATCCAATCGCTATGTAGACAAAAATGAATCATCTACTAAAAATGAAGGATAGAATGAACATATCCACGAAATAGTTTTTTAATAGTTTTTTAATTGATTTCATCACATTTTGTTTTATACAATGTAATTTAGCTTTTTACATGTTAGTGCATTGGTGTTTTGTCGAAACACAGAAGTGAGTACTACTTTGAGTACTCAGACTATCGTATACGAATGAATTTCAGAAAGTTAACTTATGCGAGTACTCACTTGAGTACACGAACACTAAAGATACACAGAAAATTTCACGAGTACTCCAACGAGTCTTTTGTGTACTCATGCTGGCAGGCCGTACTCGCTTGACGAGTAGTTTCACTAGGGTCTCCTATTCGATTAATTAAAATCTTATGTCGAAAGTTCGGCGAGACTATTCAACACATATTCTGCGAAAAGGTAAGCTTATCTTTTATATGTTCAAGATTTTACTTAAAAGCAGAGATGAGATTAGTTTGAATTTATCTCAGTCAATAAACGATTGAGTTAAATGATTGAAGATACATAAAGAAGATTTAAAGTTGCAGTTCTTAAGAAAGACCTTTATCTTATTCGATGCTCTACCTTCTTTAAAACTGGTCTGTGTCTTGTATCTGTTGTATGATCTCTTTTGATTGGCACGTATTCACGTTGAAGACTCGTATCGTAATGATTGATTTATAAATGTAATTTTTCTCAACTGTTGACTTCAAATATTAGTTATCTTTGAAACATATTGACACTAGATAGTGATATATCATGGCATACCTTTTGTTTTTATTAGTACAAATTATAAGCATAAGTTTTTATAGAAACTGCCAACACCATATCCAACATTGGTCTCGATTGATGATATCATTCATATTTACGTTGACTTCAATCCAATTGTTTCAACAAGTTCACCCGATGATGCTCTTGGTCTTCTTATCGCAATGTATTTTATTTTTGAATTATCATTTGATAAAAAGAGCAGAACCACTCGATTTTATATTGTGTATTACACGGTTGTAAACAATTTATCTCTAATTCAATTCGAGTATTGATAAAAGAGAAGAATATTGATATTCACCGTGAACATCTTCAACTGCCATCTATCTCGTCCTATTCTGTCTCAAACGATACAACAACACTTACTAATGAATCTCAAAGTCAATCACAAATTGTTACAAATTTATTGGATCATTCTATTGGTAAACAGAATTCTTTTATTGTTAATCAAATAACAACACCAACTACTTCGACAGATAGTTCTCATTTAAGTGTAGGTGTAGCTTTTGATACAAATGAGTGAGTTATATCTTTAAATAATTTATGTCTTAATCATTTATTTCTTATGTAGATGCAACGGAAACAACGAGAACGTGTCACCATCTGATTGTAATTCTCAACTTCAAACAAGAAAGAAACGAAAACGTAAACAAAATTTAAATGAAGAAGAACAGGATGATACATCCATGAAAAATGCTCCACAAGAAAATGTTGAATATTCTCTAAGTCGTCTTCCACTTGCTAGTATGACAAATTCAACGGTTGCAATACGACAGACAAAACGCAAACGACGGACTTGATCTTGATGTCTTATATGTTCAAGTAATCGATCGAATAACTTTTCTCATTCTTTCTTCTTCTCAAACGAAATTGTTTCAAACATGATCCGTTTCTTTCGTTATTTTAATTCCTTATTTTTTGTTATTCATGCAAAATAAAATAATATATAAAGATATTAAACAAATTGAATATAATATTATTAATCTTTATCGAATTAGGGGAAAAAAACATCATAACGTAACGATCTAAAAAGCATTGTTACTTTCTTTTTTTCTCTTCTTGATGATTGTTTGGCTCGTCTATATAATTCAATCGGTATCAAATGTTTAATAACTCGATAGGTAAGTATGATAGGGACAATATTTTTCCTTAATGAATTTTTAGGTTGCATGATACGTTATTTCCTCGAAAATTGGTCGACAAAATAGGTAAAATATAACTTTTTGATCTTCTTTGTTATCATTGTATTTAGCATTTAGTTATTTAATTCAAGCAATATCGTCAACTGAATGAATGATGTTGATATTTAATTTTTGTCAACTTTATTATCCTTTTTGTGCATTATCCATTCAATGCTAACTTAATAAAGAAATGAATCGGCATTTTCATTATTGATTTCTTTCCATTTCTTTCATTCAATTTATGCATTTCAATAATATCAGTTATTCAACAAAGTAACAAATCAGTCCTAAATTATTCCTTCTACTGAAAGGAGGGTACGGCGAAAAGTTTATTTCCATTAATATCAAATAATAAACAACTTGGTGAGTGATACGTCTTGAAATTTTCTTTCTTTATCTTTTAAATTTAGTCGTTCCGTTCGAACAACAACATCAATCGACTTATCTGATATTGATATTCATGTCTTTACTTATTATTTTCTATTTATTCATTGTTCATCCACTATGAAGTCAGTAAAACAGCGGATCAAATTTTAAATAACGACGCTTCTTTCTTTATTTCGCTCAGCTTTTAATCTACATGGTATTAATTATTACGCAAAGTAGCAACTGGAAGATTAATTGTTTATTTTCATTAATATCAAACAATGAATAACATGGTAAGTAACATGTTATTTTCGAATTCTTTTTCTTCCCTTTATACTTAGTTCTTGCACCTAAACAATATCATCAATTGAATTATATGATGTTACAATCTTCTTGATGTCGAGCCACAGTAGTTAAATTTCATTATCAATTCAATATAAACTATATCGAACAATGAACCACATGGTGCGTGAGGTTTTCCTTTTCTTATTTTATTTCGTAAGCCTATACTCTCATTTCGTCAACACATATTACTGAACGATACAATGTGGTAGTTATTTCAATTTTAGCCCCCCTTTTTCTTCTGTGAGCTACTACATTACCAATCAAATGTACTGACTCACGTATAAGATGTTAGTCATCTATTCTCTTTCAGTATGAGTTAATCTTCATTGTCTAATGAGCCACTTTTCTTTTAAAAAATAACACAGTGATATCCAACATATTTCTCGTGAGCAGGATGATATACATACATTTGTTTCTCCCTCTTGAAATTCAGATTATCTCTTCTGACAATTCTATATTACCATTAAGTTTCATTCATTTTTTTCGTACTAACTAGACTTTGTTTTATTTATCGATCTATTTCACTTGTATCAAAGGTTAGCTATTTCAATATCATTCGTTAAAATATTCTCATTTTCCCTTTTCTTTTTCAGATCGTGTCTTGTAAGGATTTTCATTCACAAGGAAGTTTCATGCGTTTCGAATGTTTACTTTGCCTTTTTCTAATTGCTAAATGAAGCTCATGAGTTGACTGAAATATGACCTGATAAACGCTTTCATCGTTAGTGAACGTGATGAACTAGCTGTTATAGCATTCGGTAAACTTCATGGTAGCTGATATAGGCAATTAGCTGGCTGAAATAGCTTTGGATAAACAGTTTGGACGATTTATGAACGTGATGAGTCAGATGGTATACAGTTTGATAAACGGTTTCCTCATTTATGAAGGTGATGAACCAGCTGAAAAACGTGTTGGTAAACCCTTTCATCGTTTATGAATGTGATGAAGTAGGTGCTACACCCTTTGATGAACCCTATTCATCGTTTATGAAGGTGATGAGCCGAGTGAAGAACTGTCTAATAAACCTTGCAACGGTTGATGGAAGTGACGAACGTGTAATTATAAGTTGAACAACGATAAAGGAAAGGTATTTCACGATAAAATATGCATTGATAAATGGAACGACATGCGAGAATTAATTGGTTTTTTAGTCTGCTAAACCCTTCAGAAACGTTTATCAGAGTGCAACGTGTGACAATCCCTTGAAGCATTTTTGAAAGTAATAAACGCTCTGATAAACCTTTTCATGTGCGGTTATCGTGTGTGATGAACGATGTTTTTGACTGCTTCGAGGGGTATGTGGAGGGGTTTATCAGGCCTTGAAAAACGCTTAAAAGGGTTTGTCACACGATGCACTCTGATAAACTGTTTAAGGGTATATCAATCGACAGATTTTTTTTCAGTGTATGCTTAAGTATCTATCTGTAACTGTTACTTGTGTTTTTAAGTTTCTAAAAAAAAACAACAGTTCAAGCGATTATAATATTGTCAATAATTGATGTCGTTTGTATCCGACTTTGTATTGTGTGATAATGTTCAAAATTATCAGTTTTTGATGTGTTCTGTTACGATATTGTAAAGAGGCTCAGGAGCGCGTCTGATCTGAGTGGGAGGGTGTGCCGATATCGATGGCACGCTTCGATGATTCTCCTTCTTTCTCTTTCTGTTCTCTTTCCATTGTTCTAATACCTCTCTCTCCCGTCTCTCTTCTATCTCTCTCCTATATATATGTGTGTTATGTATGAAGTTATTACACTCTGGAGGTGTCAGATGACACAATACACCATCATGCCGACGGGCATAGGCGACACTCTCTAGTTTTGTCGTTACACTCTGGATACTTGAAGTAGCCTAATAAACATCTTTGCCGAGAGTGGCACAAGCTNCACTCTCTAGTTGTGTCGTTACACTCTGGATATGTGAATAAACGAATAAACATCATTGCCGTGAGTGGCTGTAAGCTACTCCACCTCTATCCAGTTTGTCAATACGATATAAACTCAACAGAGCCTTATTCATCGTTACAAATGGGACATCAATTAGTTTAAACGAGAGTACAAATATATTCATAGCAATAATAGTATGGTGATGCAATGAACATCGTAGAGTTCGATCAATAATAGTATTGCATAGAACAAAGAGAGAGCAAGCCAACGATTGTATTTCAGAGCCGAATAAAAGTCAAAATCGAATAGAACGAGGTAATGTAATTTCACCATCAGATGATTCTACACTCGCATTACTGGTATTTTGTTTCATATTCACATATTATTCACCGTGCACAATAAGCTATTTTACAAAAACTCGAGCTGTAAACATTGGTTCAACGATTGATTTTCTACAATAGCAACAAATAAAATCACAACAACTTTAATTCTTTGAATATTCTGTAGATAAAAAAAATTGAATTCGTTTCTTATACGCATTCATTTTTTTCTTGACACAATTTTACTTTTTACATTAAATGAATTCATCTACTTAGTTAAAAAAAAGCAAAGTTCAGCTAAAATCCTCAGTCTTCTATTATTACCTGTTATGAATGACTCCGACTAGCATATAGTGTTAAGAGATTAGTACAATGAAAACAAATAGTTGCGATATGGGATAACTTTTAATATTCGAAAACATCATTCTTTGATTATATACACGTGTAATAATAATCTTTGGCCTCGGTGAAACGCAATCAAATGCTGGTCGTTTTTAAATAGAAGTACAGAAAAAACTCATAATCCTGTATTTCTAGGTCTTCAAAATAGATTGATTCTAGAAAAAATACAAGCGTAAGTAACATCGTAAGGAAAAAAAGTCTGAAACGTTGAAAAATATCTGAAACGAAACATTTTTATGGGCGTATATAATTCTATACAAGTTCTTGCGATAAACATTTTAACACTCTAGAATTTCTATTCGCTAATCAACAGAGACTATTGTTTTTATAAAGTTATTTTCTTTTAGCATATTTTTAGAATCGAATATTGCAAGTATGAGTGTAAAAGGACATTGGTAAAGAATTTCTAGTTTTTGAGATTTAAAACTACCTGTGTTGATGTTTATGTCTGAAAGAGAAAAAAATATGAAAACAAAGTGCATTTAATGTAACAGAGCGAAGTGCATGTCTTACCTATGTTGTCTTTATTCTCGCAAGAAAAAATGGTGAACGATGGAAAAAAATTCCTCGTTGGTTTAACTATTTAATTGAATTAAATTCAGTATAAACAACTTCTATAGAGTTTCATTAATTTTAAATAGCGATTTTTATGGAAACTCATAATTATTCAAACGGTTTTTACAACTGTTTGATATTCTTCTTCTTATCCGATGTAAATCATAGAAAATAAAATTCGAAACATGCTTCCTATTTTCAGTAGCATTATAATCGTAATATCTCAAAAAGAATCTATACAACTAAATTCGCTATAAATCGTCGCAAGTTCCAAATAATTCTTAAAATGAATATATATGCACGCTTGCCAGTATTTCTTTCCTTGATTGATATTATTGCTCTTAATAAAACTGTCTTCAAACACAATATCTAGTGACGTTACTCAAGCAATGCTATTTTCATGTAATAAAATAATAATAACGCATCTTTAGTTGCGTGATACCAAGATGAGAAAACTTCTGAATTTCTATTGTGATATTGCACTAAAATAGTTTGATTTTTATAGCATCAGTGGCTTCTCAATTGTCATCACATCGTTCGTTTTAATTATTCTGATTATTATTGTAAATCATTTCAAATAAAATCTAACAGTTTATTAGTTATCAGTAGTGTCAAATTTGAAACTTGAATTCCGTTGAAAATTTCAACTTTCAACTCATAGTGATATATGTGCGAGTCACGATTGTTCAAAATGCTATTGGCTTAAAAGTTGAAAATTGAAAATTTCAATTTTCAATTGAATTCAAGTTTCAAGTTTGACATATATGTTAGTTATTTACTGTAATTAGTTGTCCACTCTATTTGTATCATACAAATCAACGTCGTTATTTAAAAACATTAATTCGGACTATCTATGATACATTACAAAACTCATCTTATGCACAGATAATTCCATCAATGACACGCGGACTTGATTGATTTTCACTGTTCTCGATAGATACTAGTTAAATCTTTAATATTTGAATCCATGTTTCGTTTTCTCTGTAACTAATTTACGCGCGTTACGTTTTATAATAAATGTCGTATTGGAGATAGTTCTTGAAATAGAAAAATGAAAAAGTATCCACATCAGAATCAACCGATAAAGAAGTTCACACATGCATCATCGGCTAAAATGCATAGGAAAGTTTATTCAAGTGCTGATCGTGTTATGGACAGTGTACCGTATCCGCCAACTCATCGCTTAACTATTAAAGACATTTTTGGTACTAGTGGTTAGTATGAATTATTTTTATAATGTAGAAGTTGATCATATTTTATTTATTGAATCTCAAGAAAAACCTAATCTTTCACTGCTTCTTCGACATTTGGAAGCCGAAGGTCGTCTGGAACTTGATGCAGCATTAACAATTATGATTCGAGCTCGAGAATTAACTGCTCGAGAACCAAATTTAATTGAAATAGGTACGCCGGTCACAATCGTTGGAGATATTCACGGGCAATTCTTTGATATGGTTTTGTATTTGGTTTTGTGGTGTTTTTTTGAATAATGTTTTATTTTAAAAGTTTAGCTAAAAATGTTCGAAAAAGGTGGTGATGTAGCATCGAATCGGTGAGTAATATCAACTTAACTATATCGAATTTTGATGATTCGTTAATTATTTAGATATCTTTTTCTGGGTGATTATGTTGATCGTGGTCAATTTTCTGTCGAAGTTGTATTGTATTTGTGGGCAATTAAAATCTCCTATCCTGATACATTCTTTCTTCTTCGAGGCAATCATGAATGTAAGTAAGGCTGACTAGTGAAGTGTATTTTCAAGTCTGCGTTTATCTCCTTTTTAGGTCGTAACTTAACTGTTTATTTTACGTGAGTTCATCATTTTTAAATACTTAGTTCTCCAATTCTAAAACTTTTGCGCAAAGAGAAAAATCTGACTACAAGATAGATCTATATTTTAGATTTAAAGATGAATGTCTGCTTAAACTCGGTGATATATTCTACGAAGAATGTATGAAATCTTTCGATTGCCTACCAATAGCAGCATTAGTTCAAGGTCAATTGTTTTGTATACATGGATGCATATCACCTGAAATACGTTACATACGAGAAATAGCTGATATTAATCGTACTATTGAACCACCAACAAAAGGTTAATAGAGAAAATGAATTTTTGATTATGAGAAGTTCTTGTTTTGTTTTACAAGGGCCACTCTGTGATATTCTTTGGGCTGATCCAGTTGACGGTTATGATAATGAAAAACTTGAACAAAGATCAGAAATGTATACACATAATGGACCCCGTGGTTGTTCATACAATGTATCTTATAAAGCCATGTGTAAATTTCTTGATGATAACGACCTTCTTTGTGTTATACGAGCTCATCAAGTACAATCAGCTGGTTGTAAAATGTATAAAAAACATGAAAAAACATTATTTCCAACATTAGTCACGATTTTTTCTGCACCAAATTATTGTAGATTTCTTTTAAACTTGTCATTATCAATTATTTATCGAGGAAAAAACTTTGTTTAGGTGAAGTGTACAAGAATCGTGGTGCCATTTTACGTTATGATGGTTCAGTAATGCATGTTTTTCAATACAAGTAACCTCAACTTTACATTATTCGTTTAACTATGTTGATTTGATTTTTTTAAGATGGGTAAAACATCCTTATGTTCTTCCGAATTTTCTTGACGCATTCCGATGGAGTATTCCATTTGTTTTGGAAAAAGTAACTGAGATGCTTTTAGCTATATTAAAATATTGTTCGGATGAAAATGATATTCGATTATCAAGAAGAACTCAAATCATTGAAAAAGTAAGCTAATGATTTACAATGTATACGAAGTAATTGAATCAGTCTCGTGATCAATCGCACATACGAGCGGGTAAAAAAGATTTGAAAAGTTAGGCTTTTTTCTGCACTACGATGATAGTTTCGTAATTATGATTTATATGATTAAAAAAAACATGTAGATATAATAAATGAGGAAAAATCGGATTCGCATCCGATTGTTATGTGTACTGCAAAAACTGAGTCGATTTATATATGTTGTGAATAATTCTAAGAAAAAAATCCCTGAACTTCCCCTCACGGATGGTCTGGTCAATACTGACAATTTTTTCGATCACTCAGCCATTTCTTGACGGATCCTTCTCATCTTCGAATTCGACTGAGATATTGATGAGATCATTCTGTGTACAAAATTTCATGACAATTGGATGAGGCTTTCAAAAGTTATCGTGTTAACGGCTGGACGGACACACTGACCGAATCTAGAGTGTACTCACTTTTTTTGAGTAAACAATAAAAGCTTCCAAATATCTTTACTGATATCCATTGTTTGACTTCATATTCTGATAAAAAATCAGATGCATGATGACCGCGCAGAACTATTCGAAAATTTATTAAAGCGATTTTGCAAATATCGAGAAGAAACTTAGAATGAAGCACAGTCAAATACGCCTGTAATCGAGTTAAGGTATAAAATTATTAAAAACAAGTTTACGATCCTGTTGATAATGGTCCCCTCGAATCATACAGTAATGTAACAGGGAGATCTTGAACGGTAGATTGATACACGAATATCTCTCAGTAAATCAATACAATATAGTAGCAATGATGGTATTTATCAGTTTTTTCTCAATTATATTCGTATAAACTTGCTTTTGTATATAGTATTGTCTATATGATTTAGTTTTTTACATTCTCTACATTGTTGATTTTAGATTGTTCATTACTATGCATCATTATCTGATGAAGCTGAACAATCATTAGTACTCGGCAATGTTTTACCACCAACAACGACTCATATTAATCAAGCACATATTGTAAGTAAAGATCAAATTGATTTTCAAACGGCACAACGAATGGATTATCCAAATGAACATTTGCCATACAATCAGCACCGTCTCAAATAGAATATTCTCTGTTGTTATTCCACGATAATGTTCTGCGAAAAGAAAAATAAACATATTAAATCCCAACAAGGGAAATCGAATTAAAATATTTGTACTGAAGAGTGCTTTAATGTTAACCTTCTTGTTAATGGCAAATCTGTATGTTGTTGCTTGTCATAAGAAGATTGTAAACGGTTACGAAGAGAAAAAGAAATCTTCATTAGATAAAGTTTTTGATGTGGATTCATTAGTCGACGTTTTTCCCCATAATATTTATGAATAGTACGTGTAAGACTGAAAAAATTTCCTCATTGATCGTCAACCCAAATTGTTGTAGACGATTTGTTACATTTAATACGTCTATCTTCAAGTTGAAAAGAGGGTGGGTGTGAATTAGTCAAAATGATGTCCACATCTACGCCCACAACCCTTTTACATTTACTTGTTTGATAATTTCATCTTTCTTTTCCGAGTATTGCAACATCTGTTAAACCAAAACGTAAAGTTATTCTCTTATCGTCGTCTTATTGTTCCGTGTATAACAGCAATATTTGTTTAGAATCGAAATATTTCGCAGCATCATCATTTATTTGCATTGTTGGATTTTTCCGTCAAAAGGTGAATAGATATATAATAGTAGTGAACACAAAACGTAAGCATTTTGTCAATAGGGTGCGCATACTGATACACGTAAACAGTATGAGTTTTATGGAACTCACATATATTCTTGAAGAAAATAGTGAGTGTAAGTTTAAAAGCGAGATTTTTGCGGCTCCCCACCCCCTCCCCATTACAGACATTAATAAGTTTAAAACTGTGCTAATTAGGAGCTTCGCTAATTAGGCTGCTATTTCTTTCTTTTTTAATTACAGACTACACGAAAAAAGCAATACTTGCCTACTACAGACCATAGTAACTAGCTTAGGGTACCACTACAGATCACAGAAACTAGTATTTGGCATTGTGAAATATACGAGCTAACAATTAATATTCCATTACAGACATAAGCAAATAGGCAATGACCTAATTATAGGTTTTGGAAATCTAGGTAGATTTTTCAGATGAGCTATTTTGAATTACTTTAGTAAGCCTAAGGGATATATGTGAGTTCCATATTTTAGCCCCAAAGGGCCTGCGTTAACAAGCTTTTCCCTCAAATGAGTCTCATTCGATGCCGATTTTCATAGGAAATATATTGAAAATAGATTCTGAAGAACTAGTTGGATTAGAAATTGTCAAACAGGACATTCTGTGAAATTTCTCAATAAAAACTTTTTGGTATCATATCCACCATTGTTTCTCATGTGGTTTTTGGATTCATCTTGAAAAATTAAGTGTGGAAAGTGTTTTTTGAAGTTTTCGACACAAAACTGCATAGTTTTCAAGTACGCACGAAAGAGGTGCCTGCCTCTTCATGACTCGTAGAAGCTTTTAAAAATCTATCTAGTGTTTTGTGACGATTCGTATTCCACTCATTCTTTATCTGCTTCGACTTTTACATGTTGTAACAACACAGCAGACGATTCATTGACGTTCAGTTGCTCATGAATGTTGCCATTTTTTAGAGAAAATGTCATTAATCTGATATTTCGAGAAAAATCAAGATGCAAACAGCATACGCATTTTTATACCGTTCGAATCCGTCTCGCGAGCTGCGTCTGGACATGTGATAAGTGTGATAAAAGAGGAAACTGCCCCAGAATTATGATTTTGGCATCTAAAAACAAAAGAAAAACATGATGCGTACTTTATTGATACAACATGTGAGGGTCGAAATAGATAAAGTATGAATGGGATACGAGTCATGACTAGGTGCCTGTCTTGTACTTACTTAAAAAGAGGCTTTCCACGGTCAATTTTTCAAGAAGAATCAAAACCTCGTATGAAAAACGATTGTGGAAACGAAATTAAAAAATTTTAATGAGCCAGTTTCGCAAAATGTCCTGCTAGACAATTTTTAGTTCAACTAGTTCTTCGGGATCTGTTTTCAATATATTCCCTATGAAAATGAAAAACGACATAGATATTCGCGATCAGCACAAAAAACGACATCGCATGAAGCCCATTTGATAGAAAACTCAAACTGCTTAAGTTCTGCATTATATGCGCCTTATCTGGTTGTCTCAAAAAGACGCATAATAGAATTTCAGAAATTTTTTGAAATTTTTATTCCAAATCAGAAAACATGGGCTGCTTCGGTTCAAAAAGCACTAAAATGGAATCCATTCGAGAGCAAATCAGACAAGATAATACACAGATACGAGAAACTCTTCGGTTAATGAATGAATTCAATAAAAAACAAGTTGAAGCCAACCAAAAACAACTGACAATTAATCAGAAGCAGCAAGCGGAATTGATCAATTGTTTTAAACAAATGAAGCACTTGAGTGACTTAACTTGTAAATGTGCGGCAGAACGACATGATCCAAGCTCTTCGATTGCGAACACCGATGAACAATCGGCTACTGAAAATAGAAACGAACAAATAAATACAATATCCGATGATCCACTACCTGCTACAAAACCAGATGGACCACCATTTATATCATGAAATCACAGGATCAACTACAACCAAACAATAAAGCGTTTTAACAGTACATTGGTGACAAACTACTTAATTACATAAAAACCAGAAAAATACTCATATTTTTTTTCTCGTCTTTTTTACTTTACTTTTTTACAGTTTCCATCTATTTTTGTTATTATTCTAATTTGGAATAAAAGTCGATATTCAAGAAAACGCAGTGTTCCGCCTGAAGCCGATAGTATTTATCAGGTATTGCAAAGAAAAGCTGTGTTTTCACTCAAGAAATGGATGCGCTTGGGTTTGAGTGAAGGTTTCAATGTCCTTATTGATGTGGATAGGCGAATGAGACTCAAGTTATAGAGTGACGTATTACTTAATTTGCCAATGGTACTAAGGAACAAAAGTACCAGCGCACATAGCAATGTCAACATCTTGACATTGAAACAATAGCACGTGCGATCAAATCGCCTATAGAGCTGAGACCATGGCTATTTTTTATAGCTTTTTATACACAACAAAAAGTTTCGCGATATTATGTCAATGCATGTTGCATGAGAGATGTAAAAGCAAGATGATGAGCGCAATCAGCATACTATCTAGCATAATTACAGTGATATTATGAAAGTAGAATCAATGAAATTACCAAGATGCTATTAAAATATTTTTTGATTTATTTCAATTATGAAATACGTGCCTGTGCCATTGTAGATTTTCTTTCTTTGCCTACCACCTGTCCAAGTTACTCGTAGCTTTGACCGAATGAAAGAAAAGAATTTCGAAAAAACAAAAAGCATATAATTATATGCATCTTCAATAGAATGTCGTTATCAGCGGATACATCTTTATTACACTTGACGTTAAAGTAGTTACTCATTTTGCATACGCAGCATTATAATGATTGTTATAACGAAAAAGCATGTGATTCAATATCACTCTTATCATCGTACATAAGAGTGCACTTTTTTTCACTTTCTTCCTCTGTTATCACAACAAGCTTTTTATTTTTCAAATAGATTATCTTATTTGATATATTTTGTTTTCATTTCTCGAAATAGGAAAAATTCTTGTGAAGAAACAAGTGACATTTTAAAATAAAAAAAAGAGCTTTTCGTGGAATAACTGCATAATTCAATTGTAAAGTCTGCTTTGACATCTTAGTCCACGATACACTCTCAATCATTAAATCGTCCAACTGACATCCAATGAAACGTATCATTATTCACGATTTTCGATGTTTAAAAGATGTGAAATGTCTCATGTCAGATAAAAGGGTGTGAGCGTGGATGTCTGGGATATTAACATTGGCAACCGTGCGCACACCCACTCACTCGCATCCTAATGAGAAATCACGCGAGCAATTGTACCAAAGGAAGAATGACTTCCTATCGTTTTGAATTGAAAAGAAAATCAGTGCACACTGTGGTGCTGAACAGCGGAAATCTTCTAAATCGATCGAACAAGTGTACAGATATAAATAAATACCAGTTAGTGTCAAACTTGAAACTTGAATTCAGTTGAAAATAGAAAATTTCAACTTTCAACTCATAGCGATACATGTGTGAGTCACGATTCTTCAAAATGCTATTGGCTTAAAAGTTGAAAATTGAAGTCAAGTTACAAGTTTGACATATATGATAAATACAGGACTAATCTTTGTTCTGTAGTTCATTCCTAACATAATTAAGAAACTTGGTTTTCCCTTTTGGCAATTTCGTGCTATTAAATTGTATGAAAACATTTCAGTCTTTGATATATAGACAATGCTCAAGTATTACATGATGTTATAAATGCATTCATTGGCAAACACATCCGGTAGAGGCAGTTATGTAGTGTCATAACTAGGAAATCATGTGTGGTAGGATAATACACTACGATGCCGAATGAAATCAATGTACTATAGTCTCACATAATAGTAATTAACATATTTTCCTGTTTTTTTTCACTCCGTAAGGCGGTATTTGCCTTAACCAGCCCGTGATTCCGCTACTATAGTTATATACAAGTAGCTAAAGTGATTACTTCCATCAGTCGTTGATTTAAAAAAACTATATAAACTTAGTGTTCGTCTAGCCACCACGGCTTATTATTATGTTTTAAAGGTTTTACTATGATTTCAAAGATGATGAAACATTGTACAACTTAATGTGAGCGTTTTCATATATATGAGGAACAAATTTCGCAAGGCTTCCATAAAACTTTCTAATTTTGACGCATAATTATCTGATGAAGCTGAAAAATTCGATTCATAGATTGAAAAACAAAATCAAATTGATTTTCAATTAGCACAACGAATGGATTCTCCAAATGGAGATCTGCCATACCATCACTATCGTCGTAAATAGAATATTCTCTGTTGTCATTCTAAGATAGTGTTCTTCGAAAAAAGAAAATAATAATAAGCTAAAACCTATTGAATCCGAGACAAGGGAAATAGAATAAGTAGCATTTATTCTCAAGGTTTTTTTAGTGGTAATTTTCGTTTTGATAGTATATCGGTATGTGATGGATCAACATGAGGCGCTTGCAAACGATTCAGAGCAAAAAAAAAATCTTCATCGGGTAATGTTTTCGATGTTGATTGTTTCGTAGACTGTTTTATATAGGATGTTTTAATTATTGGTACCGGTGATATTGGTCGTGTTGTTGATGATTTATTATTACTGTTCGCTAGAGGTAAAAGCACAGCTCGTTGATCATCCATGCGAGCATCCTATTAGTAGTAAGAATAAATATAAGCAATGGCAAGAGGAGGTTTTTAAACTCACTTGACATTTAGCGAGTTGATCTAGAAACTGTTCATTTACTGGTGAAAGACGTGCAACTTTTGCGGTCGCATTGCTAGAATTTGTAGGATTAGGAAATTCTGTACGTTGATCATCAAGACGGAACTGTTGTAAACGATCGACCGCTTTTAAAATGTCTTCAAGTTGAGAATTAGAATCTAGGAAAAAATTGCAATTATTGAATTATTCATGAAATAGAAAAAAATAAAAGGAACGGACAACTAATAAAAAAAAAATTTTCGGTTGATAGATACTAATCAGATTGTACGCATAGTAATCGAGCAAATATTGACAGAAAATAATTTCCCATTCTATTATGAGTTTTTAGTTTTTAAAAGCAAGCCAACAAAGAAAATACTCAAAAGTCTCATAACATGATTTTATAGGGATCCGTAGAGCATATCGAATAATACCAATTTACAACATCGAGCTTTGGAAGAAAATTTTCTGAGAAATTTTCAAATCTCATTATTCTATGTGTCAAATATTCGTATTTCCGGTTATTCTATGCTTTCTACAAGTTTATGACGCAAAGTTAGTCGAGAAAAAAAATCATAATTTTTCAAAAACAGATTAAAATATATATTGCCCATCATGATCATTGACTAATGAAGTTCTTCTTAGATTTATGAAAATTGCATACCATGCTCTACTGAAGTATTTTTGTCCGATTGTTCATTTGCAGTTTTAATATCACAACGTTGATCATCAAAGCGTGTATTTTGCATACGACAAACAAGATCAACTAATTCTTCAGGATCAGCTTTTAAAGACTAGCAGCGAAAAACAGAAACAAGATATAATCATAAAACATTATTCAATATCCTATTCTTACTTTTTTTCTTATTCCGATAGGTGATTTTTTAGTAAAATGTTGAATAAAATTTAATTTATTTCTTTTACTTGTATTAATTATTGATTTTTCATCTGTTGAATTAATTAAATTACTACTAACAACTGAATTTGATCTTGCCGCATTTGAAATGTGTGATTCCGATAGACTTGTGGAAATCGAGTCGGCACGAAGACTCTTAAATTAAAACAAAGTCTAGTTATGCAAGAGAAAACTCACTCTTAAAACAAAAACTTACTTTAAATAAACTACTTTTTGATGGAGGTTTTTTTTCAATTGTTTCATCAATCTAATTAATTAAACGAAAAGAAGTTCGCTATAGAATGAAACATTTCGTTTTCTTTTCCTACTTCTCGTGACAATGATTCATAGAGATTTTGATATTTTTTTGTTTTATCATATTGATGAATTTTTTCATATAATTGACTAAGAATGGAGTAAGCTTGGCATTGTGCTTTATAATCTTGAAATTTATGTGCTAAATTCAAATGTTTTTCATGAAAACAAATTGACGTTGCATAATCTTGTTTGATGTTATAAACACGACCAAGCATAAAACTTGATTGTGCTATAAATAATCCATCGTTCATAGTTTCACTCAACATCATTGCTTCTCTGTTCATTAAGAAGAAACAATAGGACTATATTTTCAATATAAAAGTATACTTGTTATTTTTACCTGTAGTGATGAAGAGCTTTATCGAAATCTCCTAAATATAAATAAGCATTGGCAAGATTTGTATGCGCATGCCGTTGGCCCTCTTGATCATTACTTTCTGTGGCAATTGTCAAACGCTATATAATCAAGTATAAATAAATTCAAAATGATTAATATGATTTACCTTATCAAAATATTCAATAGATGTTGAATAATCTTGTAATAAATAATTGGCATTATCAGTATTACCCGATGCGCGTCCTTCGGCCATGTTATGGTTTAAGTCTTTGTGGAAATCTGGTAGGTTTTTTCTTTTCTTCTACTACATGAAAATGGACATTAAATAATGACGTTCTCCAGATTTTTCCTGTCTCAGGCAGAAACAGTATAAAAAGAAAAAGAAAAGGAATATAACAAGCGCAACGACTTTGCAGCGTATCAATGAATGAACCTCATCGACACTTCGATTGTTAAATTAAATGGGAACACATTTATTGATGATGAATGATAAGAAAACAAAGTCTCTGCATGTAGACGTGCATTTCGCTATTATTTCCCTGTAGAATATTCTAAAAGGTTCTATACTTTTTACGGATGTTCTTGTCGCGTGATACACTATTAGATTCGATACAACCTTTAAAATAAAGCTTATAAAATCGATTTTTATCCTTTTCTATTTCTATGATCTAGTCTATCGTAATATCCGTGCAATAGAAAAGCAACTGACAGTATGGATCAAAAAAATTCTTTTTTCTATAATACAAAACAAAAAAACGAAGAGATCTTTTTCTTGCAAAAATTTTTCATTTGAACTTACTTGAGAATGGAGTATTATGGTTTCGTATTTATTTCAAATTAAGATAATCAATTTGGATTTCTATAAGGAGTTTTCTTCTTCTTCTTCGTCTTCGTCTTTTCTTTGTATAAGCTACTAGAGTTTATTTCTAGTGTTCATACTAATTAGCCTCTCAGAATAAGAAAAAAAACACTTGATGGGTTGCCCGATAAAAATAGGAAAAGACGATAGAGATTTTTCTTCTTTTTATATCACGCACATGCATTTGATTGAATCGGTAATAAACTATTTGTAACAAAAAAAGGAAGAAGAACAAGAAGAAACAGAAGAAGAAAAAGCAGCCTACGAATAACTCAATTCGGATTTGTTTTCTACAATATTCTGTAGTAGTTATAATTTATAATATTGTCAACATATCTGAATTTGTTAGGGATCGATGCTACAGAATAGATTCAATAAATTATGGTAATATTTCTATGTAGTCGTTCCGTCTTTCCACATTCGTCGAACAGACAAACAGATTACGAAGAGAGAGAAAAAGCACTAGAAAAGAGCAACAACAAAAAAAAACCGCTTTCTTTACAAATTTTAGACGAAAAAGAAAAACGAGCAGTACCCATTTAGCTCTGCATCTAAACTAAACACACACGATACTCTTATCGTCAAAGATTCAATTAAATCCGGCATATGCACATAATTATTATGTAAATCTATCCTTCTCTACTTCCTTTACTACGGCTACTATCATTTATCCTATAATGTACCTTTTCTTTCTTTTGTTTGTTTCGCGTCTTTTCATATGAAAGTAAAATAATAAAAATGGCAAACCAATAGGCTTCTCTCTTTTTCTTTATCTTTTCTTTCATTCACATTGACTATCCTATTCAACATCCCCGGAAATTATCTAGGAAAGCGCTGTTATGCACGCTGAAAGTTGGTGCCATATATGTAACACGCAAGGAATATGGTTTTAAAAGCATGAACTGCTATCGTCTATCTATGATCATATCAATACTTGAATGACGGAAAGAAACAAAGAAGATTAGTTTTCATAACCCCTAGATCTGATGATGCATATATAATTAAGAATTGTAATATTCATGAGTGCATCATCCATAAAATGAAGTATTACTACTAATCGATTAATATAATTCGAATCTTAAAATTGCTTCGTTTTATTTTTAGAATGTAACCTACTAGTCTTACGCTCTTTGACTCTTCGTGGTAAAAATTCTATCAGATAAGAGAAAGGTTTTTTTTCTCTTTTATTAGTATTATAGCAATAATAAGTATTAAATCCCTTTCATTTACAACTATGTGGCTTTTTCGAATGATTATTTTCACGGGATGTTTATTAAGCTACAGTATTCATTTTTGATATAACAAAACAAAACAGCAACATCCAAATTAGTTTATAGTTATATGACTAAGAAAAATAGCGAAAGAACGAGAGAGAGAGGCTGAGATCAAACGGAGACGGAGACATAATCCTTGGAGATATAGCTTTATTTAAATCTAAATGGATTGTGTTATATATTAGTAAACAGAGAAGTTCAGCGGATCGAATAAAGCCAATGAATCTAAATATCTTATTAGAAGCAATTCTTTCGGTCTATGACAAATCTTAAAATGAAACAAAAATCAAAATATTATTATCTATTTGAATGTTCGTAAAAATGAAATCATTTTTCTATCATTAGAAGCATTTCCTTATCGATTCTATATTCTGCTAGATTGAGACTTGGATTTTCTCTCTTATTTTCTCATCATCAAAAACTATAAAAATACTTTTTTTACCGTTTCATCGAGTCACAATCGCAGATCATCTGCTTTCAAGCTTGCTACTCTAGAAAGTTGTAAATTTATTCCATAGTTATCTAACCTTCTATCAACTTCTAATACGATAGCCTGCCGGCCTAGTTTCATGAGCAGAATAAGAAAAATCCATGAAAAGAACGATTTACTAAGTATTCATAAAAAGCATGCCTTCTATTAGAGTGTGCTCGTTGGATTGTAACAGTTTACAAAAGTTTATCAAAAACAGCGTGTCTTTTTTTGTTTTTATCGAAGCGAGCGTAATCGTCTTGTGACCCTTTTTTTTATCAGTTTGGCTGATCTTTTATTTGAATACAAACCTCAGGACAATATGATTTAATTAGAAAAAGAAAGAAGAATTTTCTATGAAAAAAAAAATCAACATAGTTGAAGCAGCTATTGTTTTTTTGTTTCTTCTCATATATAAATATTCACACTCTAACTGACTCTCTAAGGAATTTTCTCATAAAAAAAAATTATTCAATGCTATGCAGAATTTTTGACAATATCCGCAATTACAACGCCTTTAGGATTGCTTTGATTAAAAATGTTTCTTACTTTATGTTCATTGCTCGCTTAAAAGAATCAATAATGCATCATAATTAGAACATGAAATCTATTCCAGAAAAAAAAGCCAGACACTCAAGATCAAATAGAACAAGTTTACATTATAGTGTTTCATTCTTATTCATTTAAGTAAAAGTTCTATTAGATGAAATTCTTTAAAATAATCAAGATTCATAACAGTTAATTCACACCACAGGAAGAAAAATGATATCTTCTATTTCAATGAAATATTAGACCAAGAATGATACTTTTCCTTGTTCTTTGTTCTGAACTACTTTGTTGTATGTTGTATCATGTTATGCTTCAGTAGTATCGATTAATTGTGAACCATTGAAATGTTCTTATCCCAACAGGTTCGAATATTCCGGATCTAGATATTTTGAAAATACCTATCTTCGTTCATCCATGTGTGCAATTTTTTCAAATGAAACAATGGCAATAAAACTCTCATTCAACCATGATTCTCCAATGAAAGTCGAACTTGTCATCTAGAAACTCTATTCTTTGATCTTATTAACCTGCTCACGAAAATTTTGAGTCCGACCAATTTGACTTCGCTTCTGACAAGCATACGCCAAATCATTGAGTATGTTGACTTGACGTAACCAATCGTCGTTTTCTGAGGAATGTGTTTTCGCAAAGAATATTCACCCAGGGCGAAACTGACCAATAGGATACTATCGGATCCTATGAATTCCGACAGAATCTTTGGTATCGGATTTCGACAGGAAGTTGTCGGATGACGGAAAGTGTCGGAGTAACCGTGATTCCTGTCGGTATTCTGGTATTCCGACACTCCGACAACTTCCTATCGGAATCCGATACCAAGGATTCTGACAACTTCCAACGAATTCCTATCGTATCAGATATAGTCCGATAGTTTTCCGATAGGATCCGGCGGGATCCAACTGCCGGATCAAGCGTCCTGGGCAACTGGTTCGTACTCGCACATTTCAACCAATTGATTTTATTCTGTATAGAGATCTTCACAATACTCCTTGCTAACTGGTCGATCACTCGTTCATGTCATCACAGATCTCCTTGAAAATTTGAAAACATATCCATCATGCTTCTTCTTCTTCTTCTTCTTCTTCTTCTTCTTCTAGATTATTCAGAATTACCTAACGATTCTGGCGGACTTCTGAAAATTAAAACTGCCAAGCGTTTACATTAAACAGCAATTTGTTGTTTCTCGAGAATTGGAGCTTAAGTCTGAGAGAAATTGTTAGTTGGATTCTGACTGCAGAGAAGAGCAACACTCAAACAGCGGCGTAATCTGAGGGTGGGAAATGGGCAATTGCCCACTTCATTTTGAGACTTGCTCATTGTAATTTTTATTAGTAAATTTTTTCCCATTGAAGTTTTACTATTTCAGAATTGTTCATAAGTCTAAAAAAAATAATTTTATCTCGTTGTAGTTTTATGCTTATATATTTTCCTTATGTCTAATAATATTTAGTGTGATTGTCTCTTTAGATACCTTTAGTTCCATTGGTCTCTTGAATCCTTGCAGTCCATTCACAGAAAGGACTAAAGGGGTAAGTTGGAGATTTAAAAGTTGTGCCGATATTGATAGCATGCTCCGATCATTTTCCTTCCTTCTCTGTCTGTTCTCTTTCCAATGTTCCAATATATCTCTCTTTTCTCTCTCTCTTCTATATATACGTGTGTTATGTATGAAGTTGTTACACTCTGAATATATGAAGTAGCGAATAAGCATCATTGCCGAGAGTGATGGTAAGCTACCCAGGAGAATCATTCCGGCAGTGGGGTCCTATCGGATTCCGACAAGGGTCAGACAGTAAATATACCGAATACCATATGTATTTCAATAAAACCGACGAAATATTATGAGATTCCTGGACACGGACCTACAGTCGGATCCGATGTTGGGTTTTAACGGAATCTAACTTTAACGAATCACCCTTGTGCTGTGACGGCTCAAAATGCTTGTTTGATCGTGAATAAAAAAAATATTTTTTCTATCGGAACCGATAAATAGGTCCGTGCCCAGGAATCCTATCGAATTCTGTCGCAGAGTCGGATCCATAGGATTCGATAAGATCCGTTGTCGGATTCATTCACCTGTGTAGTCTATCCAATTTATCATTACCAAAGTAAAACTAGGGGTATCCGAGGACTGAGAATTAGGAATTCCTCATCAGTTCCCCTACAGTTCATTGCACACTAAAGGTAAAAATATGGAATATTCACGATAATTTTTGTTCTTACACTCATTTTCACTTGAAAAATTGTGAGAATCAATGATTTCATGCAAAAATTATTTTTAAAACAGCAATATCGCAACTTTCGCGAATGGTGGAACTGTGAGGGAGCCTATAGTTGATTCCCATTTCCTCTAGGAATTATCACAGCGGCACTGACAATTTCTCGACACATTAGGAATTCCTATTTCTCAGTCCTTGGACACTGCTGGATGTTTTTGAGAATAGATAGTTAAAATGTCACTAAAGAATTAAGGATAATGAACTGCGAGCTAGACTTGCAACAATAAACCACATGGAACAAAAGGAAAAGAAAGAACACTCATAAAACTAAAACAATTGCATAGTGATTATGCAAAGATATATGACAATAATATAGACCAGTCAGTGGGTATAACTAATCATGCAAATTCTTCATCTGCCAGACAATTCAATGTTATAGCTCAAATTAATTTCTTCAATATTTTACACTAAATATTTTCTTGTACTATTTAGATTGATATCACAGTATGATTTTACTGATACCATTTCATTGCCCTTTAATACATTTATTGTAACGACGGCTCTAATGAGTAGGGCAGTGTCGCTAGACTCATGCAATGGTAGAGTTACATATGTCACTGAAGATATTGTCTACAATATACTGATGTATCTTTCTTATTCTCTATCAAATAAGCATTTGTTTTTCACCAACAACTAGGACTACGACGTGGTTTTCTTCAACATCTGAAACACACTGCAAGTTTTGGATGAAAATCCGAAATATGTTTTTCAATCAATAACTTTACATATTAATAAGTGCTTATTGAATTGACAAAAGAAACCCATCGTACCAATTGTTCCCTGCCTTGCATCTTCTGCTTTGTTTGAGATCGAGTTTGAATAATACGACAGCAAAATAAAATTTTAGCTAGGATGTAACTAGAAAAAAACCTTATTGATGAAAATGTCGTGCTTCACTGCACTCACTAAATTTTTGTCGCTTTCTAGCGCGCTGAAAGAAGTGTTCTCTTGCCTATGTGTTTATTGTTTCACACACATGCGTGTATTTCTCCATTAGACTGCCAGCTTTTCTCTTCTTTCATGGATATGTGTTTACTGCATTTGCTAGTAAGTACGGAGAAAAACCAGTGATACCACTCCGCTCCTATTGGCCTTATTTCAATGCATACCTGAAAACGTATATTTTTTTACATTATATTGCATGATCGACGCATTGCATTATACAAATACATTACAGCGACACGATAGGTAAGCATGTTTTATCTGTATCTAAAAATGAATATACATGTTTCGTGTTAAATTTTTCAACAAGCGTAATTGTCAGGGATTTTCCCCAGTCGGCTATTGATTTTTCTACCACTGAAACTAGAGTTTTCTGCTTCATCTTAATCAATTTTCATTGCTCTCACAGTCCAAATATGTGTATTTGATAGTATTCAACATGAAAAGCTCTTTAGTTCGAAGTACAGCTCCCATCGTACAGTGAGCTTTACGAATCACGTTGTATATATACAATGATAATTTCAAAATGTTGTCGATCCTCTACAATTTAAAATTAGTATGAAATAAAATTTAAGCGATTCGAAGTTTCGAGCTCACTTTCATCAATTCGTTTTAGTCGGTTGTAGAAAGTTCTCAATATCTACCAGTAATATTCACTTCAAGTGTTTAACATAAATATTAAAAAACTTAATGATAGTTTGCGAGGTTTTTGCAGATATGATCATCATATAGTGCTTTAAAATGTTTGAAACTAGCAACATGATTGATGTTGGTTAACTCAAATTCATTTTCACGTTAACAAAATGAACCAAAGTAAGAATCCTAATCGGTAGATTTATAATATAAACTGCTGTCGTTTTAAGATTCGTATTGAAAAACGAGTTATTCACATTGTCATAATTGAACTTGATCCAGATAATATACATCATAACAGCCTAGTTTTATCATGGTCCTTCTTTGTTCTGCTCTGAAAAATCTATACCGAACCGACCTAATTCGAAGTACAGGTTGTATCTAATACCGAATGTCTAGACTATTAATATCTTGTGAAATTATTTTTCACCGAATATCACGAATTCTTTTTGGAGTAATTTATTTTCATACAATTCTCACAAAATTTCGACTTATATCAACAGTAAAAAGTCGTACCCATAGTTACAAGAAATGCATAGTTCTAAACTGGCATCGGACTACTTTTAATTATTTATCTGCAACAATATTTCTAGGATAACAATACATAAAAGAAATTTCTAAGATTCTGTTGAGTTATACAAACTTTCGTAAATTATATCCATCTTCAACATATTAATTGCTTTTATTTCTTGTTGTAGAGAATCGACAAAAGAGTTACTTATATGGCTGAGGCGGAAACGAAATTTTTAGTCAATCCAGAAACAGGAGACCGTTTTCCAATCGGAGGCTGTTTTATTAGTGATGAGCCATCGCCTTGGCCGTTGTGTGGAAGTGTACTAACACTTTCTGATAATGAATTGCCTCAATCAGTTGATCTGAGACAATTTATGACACCTGTTGAAAATCAAGGTCAAACAAACACATGGTGAGTCTTTTTTGTGGTTTATTTTTCTAATTCGAGAATATCAATATGATTCGATCATGCTCCATAATGCTAGGGACATGTGACAGAACATTTCACTTCATCTTATAACTGCTTTTGATTCATGCGTATCTGTTTGAACGATTTTCTCTGAAATCTTCTTTTAATTTTATTTCAGTGTTGCAAACGCACTAGCAGGTAACGTATCAGTAAGATTGTGCATCACTAAGACATTAATATAATTTAGGTGCGTATGAATTTTTGATAATGAAAAACACAAAAAAGCATATTGATGTCAGTCGACTATATATGTACTACAACGGTCGAACAATAGATAACCTTCACACTCAGAAAATGGCTGACAATGGTACTTTTATATGGGCTGCCATTGCAGGGTTAAAAAGACACGGTTGCTGCAAAGAAGGACAGTACCCATTCAACCCTTCATCCATGAATACACAACCACCACCAGAGTGTTATACAGAAGGTGCAAAACATCGTATCAAGGATGCTTTCCAAGTACCGGTTACCTTGAACTCCATGAAAGGATGCCTAGCTGAGGGTTTTCCATTTGCATTCGGTCTTGGCACATTTCTATCGTTTGCACAGGCTCAAACTAATGGAGGTCGTGTTCCGACGCCAAATCCAATGTATGAACCACTAAATGCTCAGCATGGACTACATGCAATGTTAGCAGTTGGATATAGTGATGCATCAAAATGTTTTATTGTCAGAAATTCATGGGGTGACACATGGGTAAGTTTGACTTTATTTCAAAAGGAAGATATTCAAGGGGGAAATAGCAGACTCCAACTCCTCGGAGTCAGGTGGAGTCAAGTGGAGTCACCAGGAATTACATGGAACCAGTTGGTTGCATGGAATCACATAGGATCCCAGGGAATCATACCTAAACACAAGGAGTAACAGTAAGTATCGCAAAATCCCTGTTGATCTCGAGAAAACCATTATAGAAATGGGAAACTGATACGTTTTAACTTTTTTCTGTCATATGTACCATTATATAAAATAGTTATTAGTCTCCTTCTTTGTCGGAAACGGTCTAAAAAAATTTCCCATAACAGAACAATATCACTCAATACCCGGAAGTAGAATTCCCAAAAGATGAGCTGCTTATTCTGTAATGGAAGTTCAACTTCCGGGTACTGAGTCATATTGTCAAGAGGGAAATCAGAGACTCCATCTTCTTGGAGTCAAACGGAGTCAGATGGAGTCATGGAGTTTGCTGTTTCCCCCTTGAAGATCCTTCAATTCTGCATCGATAATAAATTTGAGAAGCGAATGATTTGCATTTAAACACTTTTCTATTTCGACATGTATCAATGTGCAATACTGACTCGTACATATCCGATTGATATTTGTCACGTGACCAATCATTTGCGTAATCTTCTTTCATCCATCAGCAGCTTGAATTTCATTTAAGATACACGCCGACTATGTATATTGGTTCTCTGTTTCATCTTTTTTATGATCAGCAGAGAATTATCAATTTAAGCATGTCTCTTCCTATTCCCGACCTTTATTTTCCGTGCGAAAGACAATAGAAACAAAAATAGAAATCTCCAAATCAGAGCTCCGCGGGATGCGGGACTATCCCGCCAAATCCCGTCCCGTCCCGGAACGGGACGGGACAAATCAATTTACTGAAACGTCCCGCGCAGTTTTTATCATGTATCGTTATCACCCATTGTTCTGCTATTATTCTAACTTTAGTTAACTTCAGCTCCTATTCTTAATACTCTATAATTTCTCTTATTTAATTTATCTATTTATCGATAATATATAGCGACTTTATCGAGGCACGTCCATGATTCTAATTAGTCCATCGAGTTCTTTCTCGATTGGTGCATTAACTTTAATTCAGTGGCGGCGGAGCCACTGAGACCCATGAGGCTTGAGCCTCACCTAGATTTTACAAGATGAGGCTCAGCCTCACTTACTTTTGTATTGAATATTATTATTTTTTATTTTTGCATCAAAGCAGGAGCAAAAAAAGTTTTTTTTTGGTATTTTCCAATCATCTTTTTTTATACTGACCATGTTTATTTTTACTGCAGTTCAATGAAAAGAAGACTTATTTTCTGCTTGATGCGTTCATAAAATTCCACGGTAGAAAAAAATATTATGAGTCTCACCAAGCTTAATGACGCTCCGCCGCCCCTGCTTTAATTCGTCTTTGAAGAGAGCGTTAATCTGAATTAACTTTTCAACCAACCCCGTGTCTTAATTCTGCATAAGTTTTCTAGTGTAGACAAGGCCAATTTCAGATGATTTTTTAATTTTTTTGGTTGTAATTACATTTCAATTCTCGTTTGATTAATATCATACTAATTAACTGTTCATTTTCACAAATACGCAATAAAATCATCTGATGTCTTCTCCTGAAATTGTATCACCAGTTCGTACAACTCGTGATTTCAATTTATCTCTGCTCAATTCATCGATCTTTTCTCCTGATGATTCTAATGAACTCACATGTTCTCAAATTCAGTTGATGCTCGAAACGAAATCTAGTCAATATACTATTATAGATAATACAGGCAAGCATACATCTAACGGCTGGAATTTTTTTTGGTTTCCCCACTATCATTAATCATAATGGTGATATAATTTTTCTCGCATGGGTTACTCAACGAATGTAGCTCTTGTTAAATTTTTCTTTTTTTGTCAAATTATTGTGATGTAAATATAATATTTAAAAAGATCGATAGTAAAATAAATTATTCATATGAAAAACATATAAACTAGCTGCACTTCTCCAACTGTACATAGAGGAAAAAAATTTACATACATATGACAGAACGGGACGGGACAACTTTTTGGTTGTCCCGCGGAGCTCTGATAAGAACTTTTAATATTTATGTCTATCGGATACATTCTACAAAAAACAACTCCTAACAAACTTTTTTCTTTAAATAAAGCAAAGAACAATCTTTTCATTCCTTCAGTTTTTAATGAAAGTACGAATCAGTTTTATCCTACTTTTTTTCAAGTTAAAAACTTATTTAATCAAGAGAATATTTCTCTTCCATGTAATATTTACTTTATTTTTCTGCAATGACGTCGGCATCGTATGATATGAAATAAAAGTCGGCGATGACACATTGGGCGACAAAGGTGAAGCAAGAGTTGGTAATGGTAATTCAGCTGACACAGGGTAACGACAACAATTGTATGATGAAGATGGTGATAAAGATGACGAGGAACAAGTTGTCGTAGATAGACGGTCATTATGAATTTGATAGTGTGCATAGGCGGATGAATGTATATTAAATTTATGATAAGTGAGTGAAGCCGGATTTGACATTGAACTGTTCATTGGTAATGAATACTGTTGTTGATTTTGATGCGATTGAAGATGACAATGTGATGATGCATCAAAGCGATACAAATCATTTTGATGATGAACAGAGCGATGAATAGATGCCGGATTTAAAGATGTTTGTGAACAATCAAGTTCAAATGGATAACGTATAGTAAACGGCTCAGTAGTCGAAGATTTATTTGTTGTTGGTGGTGGTGGTGGCGTCGATGCTGTTTGTTTTGGATTAAGTCTAAAAAATGTGTTTTTGTGAATGTAAAAATAGCCATTTGTGATTTAAATCTTGTGTAGTTACCTTTTTCGTTTTAGCTTCGACTGTGATGATGAAGGAGAATTAGTAGGCGTGTTGCGAGCACTAGTGCGGTTCTGAAAAATACTCGGTGTTCTATCTATCAAAAGTATTGAAATGATATTTTATTTTGTTTATTATTAAAATAAAAGACAAAATTTTACCATTTCTATTAAGTGTCGATGGTGAATGTTCAATATCAAGTTCTCGACGTATTAAATATTCGAAATCTTTTGAAAAACCTGGTGATGGTGGTCGTAATTTTGGAGCTGTCGTGGATGCATTATCATTTCGTTCTGAATATGATTAACAAAAGAAATGATAGTAAATGACAATATATCTTTTTTTACCGTTATTCATTAGTAAAGATCTTGTAATAGAACTGCGTGAACGTTGAATTTCAGTATCAGCATTATTGTCACTATTAGTAGTTGTATTTTGACTTGATTGGCCATCAATTATTTGTTGATTAATTTCTATCAGAAATTAAAATAAAATAAAATAAATTCAACTGAAAATAGATTGTCAAACCTTCATATTGTTGATTATTCAATGGTTGACCACCAAGTAATTTTGCAATTGATGAAGTTCGACGACGTTGTTGTTCATGCGTATCTTTTGAAGAAGATTCTAAACACATTTCAATTGCATAAATATTTTAGGATAATATGTTTATGTGTTGAATTAACGGTAGTCTACCTAAGGTCGAAGATGGAGAGGATGGTGTTGTTTGGACATGATTTATTTGAGTAGAAGAAAGCATCGAATTTGATGGAATGTCACTTTTGTTTACTGTTATTTCGTTCGAGTTTGAATTATCATCTATGACGAGTAATGTAGAGCAGGATGGTGAAGATGATCGTGATGGCTAAGAAAGCAATCAAATAGAAAATCAAATGAAAAATACAAGTCAAAGATCATTCTTTTTCTATATAATTGATATTAATACAAATAGAATAACACAGTAAAACATGTTAAGTTTTTGTTTTTTTTTACATACTTGAAAAGTAACAGATAGTGTAATTCCTTGTCGTGCTTGTGAAGTATCGTCGACGTCAACATTATTTATTTCGTCAGTATTTGACAAGTACATATTTTTGTATTAGTAAAAGATAATCTAAAAAGAAAAAATAGCAGACTTACTGTTATTTGATCAATATTTTTGTGTAGTTTTTTCTCTTTCAAGTCGTTAGGTCTTAATATAGAAGCTTTTTGAATTGAAGCATTCCGTTTCTTTTCTTTTGAGTACTTCCTATTTCTCCTCTATCTGTTTCAAGCAAGACTACATAATAATCATAATAATATCTTCTATATCAATGGAAAATTAGAATCAAAGGGATAAACTATATTCACATCTATTTATAAATATAAATAGACTAATGAGCAAACAAATATTATTAGTAGCTGAATATCAGATTTTTATTAATGCATGTAGATGCATACCGATAACAAATGCATTCATACACTTGATATTAAGAATAAAAACTGATAAAGGATATTTGCTTTTTTTCATAACGCAGAGTTAAGCAAACATACAGAAATACACACATGCGTAAGTTTGTAAATGAGAAGGTAAATTATTAGTTGCAATTACAATGGATATACTTTTTTTATTATTATTCGACTCTTCATCCTTTTTTCCTCTTCGACTCCTTCGTCTCGAGAAGCTGGATGGTATGAGCTCACAGGCTGATATATTTGTTGCACAATGAATAGACTCACTCACTTACTGACTGACTGACTGACTGACTGACTGACTGACTGACGGTAGGAAGAAAGAAATGCGTATTAAAGAAAAAGCCCGAGAGAATAGAAAAAAAAGGAAGAGAAAGAAAAACAAGAAACAGAATGGACGGATACGAAAAGAGTGGATTGTGCGCAACCATGCAAGCAATAAGAAGAAAAAGAAAGACATTCGAACTCTTATGGATGTCATTTAGCACAAAAAAACAGACACAAAACACACGATCGTTTAGGTCGATAAGTATGGAATATATGAATATCTATATATTCAGTAGAAAAAAATAAATGCGCCCAACGACAGAGCGGAGAAAACGTGACTAGAAAGTGCGCAAAAGAAAAAATGCGGAAAACAAAGAACAAAAACATGCATATCAAAGATATATATATGTATATGTTGTAGGCAAAATTGGAATTCAGGCAAATTCGGAATTTGCCTAGTCAAAATTAGAATTCTGATTCTGCCTAGGCAAAATCAAGATTCTAATTTTGACCGGATTTTTTTCAGGCAGAATTGGAATTCTAATTCTGCCCGGGCAAAATTAGAATCGGGCTAGAGATAAATTCTTAATAAGAAAATAATCAAAATTTAAGTGTTATAACTATATTTTATTCAACAAAATCTTTTTTTCTGAACATTTTACAATTAGAAGCCTAAACGCTTTACTCTATTCATCCATATTTTTACAACAACCTCGTTTTGAATGACATTTTGTCAAACAAAAAACTCCATTTTTTTTACATGGACATTGTTTTGAAACGCATTTGCCTTTATAATCGCAAGTGCGACCACTTGTTGATGCACGATTTTCCCTTAGCTAATAATAAACATTTAACAATATCATCATAAACACATTGTTTTATAACACTTTTCGCTCGAAATCTTTCACTCAAAGAATTATTATGTTTTTCTAATTCTTTATAATAAAGTGATTCCGCACTTTTCACTTCGACAGTTGTTGAATCCAATTGAGACATTTTCTATAAGATTGTGTGAAGCACGTATCTCTATATTTATACTGTTTATCGATACGTCAGGCTTTTATCACGATTTTCTCTTTTTTTCTCATCTACTGTACGTTTACTAAAACATGTGACTATATGAATTTATCTCTAGCTCGATTCTAATTTTGCCTAGGCAGAATTGGAATTCTGATTTTGCCCAAGAAAATGTTAGTCAGTATTAGAATTCTAATTTTGTCTAGTCAAAATTAGAATTCCAATTTTGCCCGGGCAAATTCGGAATTTGCCTAGATTCCAATTTTGCCTACAGCATATATATAGATGCTATTGATTATGCATAAATTCATTATTAAATTCAGCTATAATAAAAAACAAATTAAATAGATAAATTTTTTATTACACGAAATACCACTACTTTTTGTTCAACCTTAATCATTTGTTTGTTAAAGTACCATTTTGATTCTTTTTTGTTTTGAATAGAAGAAAGAGAAACAGAATACAAAATTTCCTCATATTATTCTATATAAATAAATGCTTCATATAGTTCGAAACACCGAACATGTCATTTTTGAAATTAAAGATTAGTATCCATCAATTTTATCCTATTTTGACAGAAGTTTCAATGTTTATTTTTGATGATGATGATGATGCGTGATCCTGTGAGAGAATTACTATGGGCAATGTTTTCAGTGGAAAAGTAATTAAAAAAATACGTAGAAATACATTCATAATGAAATAATAAAGAGAAAAGGAACTCTTACATAGACTGCTCTTTGTATGAGTCACATGAAAACAACTTATTAAATTAAAGTACTTGCAAACATATGATCATAGAATAAAAACGCAATGGAAATAGCATTTAAAAACTAGTATCAAATAATTTCTTTTACCAATTAATAGATTTGCAGAAATGATTGTGAGATGTCAAAAACTGCAGAAGATGAAATTAAAAAAAAACTTTTACGTTAACATTGATTAATTAATTCATAGAAAAACAAAAAAAAGTACTTTTCTCTGATATCATTATATAACGAACTCACTGGAAAAGTATTTTATCGTGTGTTATTTTTCGAATTTTAGTCGTTTAATAATCATCACGATTATTAAAGTATTCCTTCATACTGTCTTATTCATTATTCATGATGTCATTCCTTTCGAAAGATCAGTTCTTACATGACAATAACTTTTATCATTAAGTTCGATTAAATGTATTAATCTAGCATGAATTTTGTTACTTTAATTATGTTCTAGATGGTTACTGAAAAACATGAAAAAAAGACGTCTGCCACTAATGGTGACTGTGTAAAACACGAAGAAAAACAATATCTTGATTTAGTTCAAGAAGTTATTGGAAAAGGTCTTGAAAAGACTGATCGCACAGGTGTCGGTACGCGTTCTATATTTGGTCCACCAAATATGCGATTTAATTTACGAAATGGAAATTTTCCATTACTAACAACAAAACGTGTGTTTTGGCGTGGTGTTGTTGAAGAACTTTTATGGATTATTAGTGGCAAAACAGATGCAAATATACTTGATGCAAAAAATGTAAAAATATGGAATGATAATGGTACAAGAGAATTTCTTGATAAACTTGGTTTTAATCAGCGTCAAGTAGGAGATCTCGGGCCTGTCTATGGTATGTATAGATCATAATCGTAGTTTATTAATATTAGAAATATGTCGCACTGAACTTTTTGCTCGAGCAGTAGTAGCAAACATACTTAAAAAAGGAATCAAGATAATTGTTTTTAGGCCCGAATAAGGTTCTGATCTATATAAAAAAAAGAACAGATCGGAAAACAGTAGATTAACTTTCATAAATAACTTTGATGTATTAAGATTTCAGAAGGATTTTTTTTGTACGTAAAGCTCATTACAGAATGATTGCTTTTGATTTAAGCACAATTTGATTTCAATCCAAAATGCTAAATATTAATTTACAGTAATTTCATAATATTTTTATAATTCATTTTATATAGTGACTCATTCGAATATGGATAAAAAAACGATCTCGACAAAGTAATTCACGTTGAGTCGACGCTGTTTGCTCGATATAGATCTTAATCAACGATGAATATCCTGCGAATATTTAGATTCATTAGATTATCACTGGAAAAAAATATTGCTTATTTTAAAGAAAACGTCTACTACACTTCAGAAATACCAAGAAAACTCATTAATTAGACATCTATCGACCTGTAACTTTGCATGGAATCGGTTCTTCGTAAAATTTGTTTATTTTAATATTTGCAAATCTATTTGCTATGTCTATTTTAATACACGGTTGTGATGAAACCTTGTCTTTTACATTGTGCATGTACATGGCCAGTTTAGATTTTCCTATTTTGCGATAGTAATAAATGAAAAGATCTGAAACATTCCCATAACACAATGCATTTGAAGTTATGTCTGGATCAGAGCCCGTCACAGGGCAACTTTTTTTGCCCTACCTTGCCCTGTCCTGAAACAGGGCAGGGCAAGGCAGGGCATGATTATAAATTGAACTGAAATATTGAAAAGGGTAAAGACTAAATGAAAATGTTGTAACCGCTGAAAAGTAAAGTACTAATATTTTATTTATCTATATTCGAGAAAATATAGATATGCGCTTAAAACATAATTACACATGAGTAGCAAACAGCAATTAAGATTATCACAAAAATCAGTTCACTGCAAAAATAATGCGCTTATCGTGATCTGGCGAATTGAATATATATATAATTTGAATAAGTGAGAAATCGAGTAAATCTTTCACATTTATTCTCCTCAACTCATCGTACTGGATAAATAAAGACTCTTCAAAATGTACCAGTAGCAAGAGATTCATTTTGTATTATGGGGTGGTAAGATTTATCATGAAACAAGAGATTTTCTAATTTTGTAGAACCGGGCGAGTTCATATCAAGTGAAAATAATTTAAAACATAGAGAACTAACCATGTTTTACATTTCTCTTTGAAGCAGTATTTTATTTTTATAATTGAATTATATGATAATAAATGAGTAAACTGGTACTGTCCGAACTAGACATAGTAACAAATTTCACAGTGACTGGCGTATAATGACATACATTATAATCCATCACCATGTCAGCATAATCGACTGAAAAATCTGCTGTATATCAGTTTATAGGAAAAATTATCAGGGCGCAGAGCAGGGCAGGACTGCCCTGTGACGGTCTCTGGTCTGGATACAAATTTGCAACATAAAATTAAAAACGAAATTTTCATGATAGCCAATAGGATGTTAGTTTGGCAAATACTAATATTATAAATATAGACAATCATTCAGGAGGAAAAAACAGTTATTATTCTGAAAATATAGATGCCTAAAAAATTCTCTGATAATGCATAGGTAGATATAAATAATTACATATTGTTGTAAATTTAATTACTTTAAAATATTTTGTAGGTTTTCAATGGCGTCATTGTGGTGCAAAATATATCGACTGTAAAACTGATTATACAGGTCAAGGTGTTGATCAACTTGCTCAATTGATTCATATGATCAAAACAGATCCTAATTCACGTCGTCTTGTCTTATGTGCATGGAATGTAAGTCAATTATCTGAAATGGCTTTACCTCCATGCCATGTCCTATGCCAATTCAACGTGTCATCATCTAAAGAATTGTCTTGTCTTATGTATCAACGTTCATGTGATCTCGGTCTCGGCGTTCCATTTAATATTGCATCCTATTCTTTACTAACATATATGATTGCACATGTATGTAATTTAACACCAGGTGATTTTATCTATTCAATGGGCGATGCACATGTTTATCTGAATCATGTTGGACCATTAAATGAACAGATTGAACGAGAACCAGTTCCATTTCCAACGTTACAAATTATTAATAAACGAAATTCAATTGAAGAATTTACTATTGACGATTTCAAGCTTGAAAATTATTCACCATATGGTCCTATTAAAATGAAAATGGCTGTGTAAAAAAAAATCTATATACAAAACATATATGAATGCGTATATTTTTGTTTCTAAATTGTTATTGTTGTGACGTATTATTTGTGAAATAATAGGACATCTAAAAGTTCATACTGATTCGTCTATTAAATTCTTAGAACTGTTGTGGTAGAGGAGAACATTGACATTATGAGACTGTTGAAAAAACAAGATTTCCATCATAATACAAGGATCTTATAATCTGTTGTACAAAAAATATTGATAAGAAAGCATGAGCATCTATGTATAAAATTAAAAACAATTGTTCTTTTAGTACAAAACATCAACATCGTATAAAATGACTAGTTTGCGCGCTCTACTTCCAAAAGTAATAATATATAGACACGTAAACATTGCTCTCAATCATTGAATCTTTGATTTCTTTTCATAATAAATGCAGAAAACCATTTCTAATTTTCTTCCGTATATATAAGTTCAATATTTAATTAATTTGATTTTCTAGTACTATAGATAAAAACATAAAGTCAATAGGAATTTAGAAATTTTTTTCAATGGAAGTGCTTTGCCTAAGAAGCGTACTTTAGAATTGTTTATCATACATAAAATGTAGTCAGCGATAAACTTAAATAATTTGTGTTGAGATAAATTAACTGTTTCTTCAAGTCTTCACAAGCTCGAAATATTTCATATGGATCAAGAAAACTTGTTTTGTATAAATGAACCAATAGAGTTAAATGTCTAATTTTGCCTGTAGCCAAAAATAAATTGGAAGATGTTCGTCTGATCATGTCTAATAGTTCATCATTATCAATCATTGCAATTCGATCATTAAATATGAGATCATATAACGAGAAAATTCTAAATTTTTTTAGTTGGATTAGTTTCTTTATATCAAAATAATTCTTCTCGCAAGATTTTCTAAAATTTTCCATTACACTTAAAAAGAATCATTCAATGGTTCTTTAAAAGCAACTATTAAAGTGCATAATAAAAAAAGTCTACGTTGCTTTCAATAAGTAATGAAAATAGTGTTCTTGGTTCATTTTTCAAAAAGAAAACATCAATTTAAACTATGATGGAAAGAATAGTGTAAATAAAAAGTGACTAACGTAAGAGAATATTTATTATAATCCAGATAAAAATGGTTGATAAGAAAACGAATTATTTATTGTTATATTATTGATATACTTTAAAAAGAAAAGAAATTTTAATTCAATTAAGTGCAACTCGTCTATTTCTTTCACGATCGTTGTTATTTCTTTTCTTTTCATCGAAACATTTCAATAGTTAACCTACACATCATATACAAAAATAAACTTGTGCTAAACTGAGTTGCCTAAGGAGCGATCGAATTGATATTAATTGGCAAAAATCGTTAATTTCTCAACTGTAGATGATAGAAAATTAGTGCAGTAAATGCATTTGTTGTATTTTCTACTGGTAAAAGTATCTTGTTAAGCTTTTTTCTACAATAGTTGACGTTATTATTCTTGAATCATATTTTAAAAGAATAATTAACAGTTCGAATGCACCCGATAGATGTCTACGGACACTGAAAACATCCACATTTTTTTCCATAGATATAGATCTGTTTGTTTTGACTTAGCTTAGTATGTGTGTGTAGTAGTATTAATTATTTGATTTTTTGTTGGACGACGCTTATCAATATAGGGGGCAGAGTACGCCACATCAATTGCATTTTATATGTTGATAATATTTTTAACCTCTACATATCACCTAACAAGCATTATCTAGCTGTTTGAATTATAGGGCAGAACACGAAAAAAAAAGAAAATGAAAGCAACAGTGGTTAATATTACAAGGGCAATAATCATAAAGAGGCCGCTTCAGTATTTTGTTGATGTAGAAATAGAAAAAAGAAAACTTAAAGACAACGTTTTTCTCACTTGCGCTTTTTTTTTGTTTTTTTAGGTGTTCTTCTTACTTTGCTTATGTCGACTACAGATAAAAGCCCGAAAGAGCTCATGGAATATCGAACTTTAGGCCGAACAGGTCTTAAAGTTAGTTTATTATCATATGGAGCATGGGTAAGATTGCCAAAAAGAAACTACCACTGAAAAGTGGAAGTATTAAGAACGAAATATTTATGTACCTAGGTTACATTTGGTGAACAACTTGATATAAATGAAGCATATAATTGTATGAAATTTGCTTATGATAATGGTTGTAATTTTTTTGATAATGCCGAAGTATATACTGGTGGTAAGGCTGAAACAGTTATGGGTCAAATACTTAAAAGAATGTTCGAACAAGATGGTATTCAGCGAAGCGATTTAGTAATATCTACGAAGATTTTTTGGGGTACACCGTATTATCACAAAGAAGTTAATAAAGCAAATCTAAAAGGCTTATCACGCAAACGAATAATTGAAGGCACACGCGGAAGTTTGAAACGGCTAGATCTTGAATATGTTGATATTATTTTTGCACATCGTCCTGATGCACACACACCAATGGATGAAATCGTTCGAGCATTCAATTGGATTATTGATCAAGGTTATGCTTTCTATTGGGGAACATCAGAATGGTCGTCTGAAGAAATTCAAGAAGCATGGCAAATTGCAGACAAATTAAATTTAATAGGGCCATGTGCTGAACAACCACAATGTAAATAACTTCTAAAATATTCACAGAATAACTTAATTAGTTTTCTTCTAGATAATATGCTACATCGTACTCGATTTGAAGTTGAATATGCTCGCCTTTATAAACCTCCCATTGGTTATGGTACAACTATATGGTCACCATTAGCATCGGGTCTTTTGACAGGAAAATATGCCAATAAACAATTTGAAGGTGGTAATAATCGTTTAGGTTTGACAGGAAATTTATCATGGCTTCGACAACAATTTGAATCTGGTGACGGTCTTAATGGTCTTGAAGAAAAAAATGTTGATCGTATATTAGGAATAGTTGAAAACTTAAGGCCAATCGCTGAAAAACTAGGTGCGACATTAGCACAATTAGCTCTTGCATGGGCGGCTAAAAATCCTAATGTAAGCACAGTAATTACTGGTGCAAGTCGTTCAAGTCAAGTAACAGAAAATTTCAAAGCATTAACAATTCTGCCAAAATTAACACCTGATATTATGGAAGAAATAGAACAAGTTTTAAAAAATCAGCCAAAACAACCCAGAGATTGGAGATTGATGAACTAAATGTCTTTTTCAATTAAGTAAAAATATGAAACATCTAAATACGCTTGAATGAAAATAAAAGAAGAGAAAGACATCTATATGTTAACACTGGTAATACTATCGGAAAATTTTTGTTAATTAGATATAGAATTATCTAAACTATGTGTAATTAATGTTGATTTCGTCTACAAAATATAGCATATAAATATCAGATGAAATTTGTTACATTTTATCAATAGTCTAAACACGTGTTAGACATTTTTGTTGAATTGACGATTATCTGATAGAACCATTAAAAGAAATTCATCTCAGTGCTTTTCTATAATAAAGTGTAAACGACGTTGATTATGCTAGGAATTGGAAAAGGCTACAATGCATGATTAGAAAGTTGTTTATTTCAGAAGAACTATTCAAATCCATACCATAAGTTCGTTCAATTTTAAGAGAATGCTACTTAGAGCATACTGAAAAATAGTGGTGCCGGTATCATATTATCTTCTAGAAGGTGATAGAAACTTAATTTTTCTAGATGTATTTATAGTGAAATATAGCGGCCACTTCAGGAACACTAGAACAAGTAGAGGTACGTTTCTCTAGTCTTTATTTCATTAACATTCAATGTATAATCTGTCGAGTATAAACTTTTTTGAGTACTACCTAAAGTTCGATTCTATCCGCAATCATAATATTCACGATAGACGTTTCAAATCCGCATGATATTCATTCTGAAGATACAAGACGCTTATTTCAATTGAATGTGCAACTCGCTTCATGAACCATGTCACAATATATCGATGAAGATCTTATAATAATCTGAACGTAATTGGCTAAGATCGGCAAAATTGATGGTTCTATTGGCGAATGTTTATTTGTGCGTGAATATGATATTTCAGTATCGGTATCACTATGTTTGGTGTGCACTAGGAAATTCCAACTGAATCTATAGTAAATCAAAGCACACCAAATCACGTGATAGAAAGAGTAAAAACAAAGAGACAGCTGAAAAGCCATGTTAAGAAATATGAGTCGGTGATCAATGTCAGGCTAGGACTATGTTAATACCAGAGCAAGTTGAAAAACAGTGTCCTATGACAGTCTTTAAAATGAACCAATAGTAGTGTTGTTATGTAATTATTAAATACTAAGAAGTAACAACAAATCCATTATTTCTTTCTAGTCAAAATATGTGACATGTTTTCTCAGAGACAAACTGAATTCAGACCGCTTTCGTTGAAAGCCAGGATATCTCATTTCAATATGATAAAATTCTGATTGAGTTCAGTTGTCGGTCATATGTATATTTCTTTTGCTGAATGGTACTTTTCCATTTCGATTTCCCAGATCAGTGAACATACGAATTCAAAGATTTTAAAATAGAATTTGGATGTGCACCTTGCTTTGATTGATAATTTACAGAAACTTCTAAGAAAAATGTGAATAATCGATATTGTTTTTGTGTCAAAACATCTGATTTCTTTTAACAACTTTTTTTTCAACTGTTCGTGTGTTCTAGACACTCGAAACGAGGATTTCGAAATTGGATATGTTAAGATACATATAACTTCACATACGTGATTTCAAAATTCTCTTATGAATGATCTAGCACAAACAAAACAGTGACAAAGAATTTATCGAAAAAGATCCGATTTCACAGAAAAAAAAATATTGTCTTCGCAAACTTTTAGCAGCTTTCTGTAAATGATGGATTTCAGTTATTTTCTGCATGCATAGTATACAAGAAGGAAATAAAAAAATGATCTCCACCATCATCAATTCAATATGAGTTCATCTATTTACAGAACCCATCAAATGCGATACACTAAAACACTGTATCATATGCAACTAATATAGGAGCACAAGGTATAGCCACCATCATTTAGATCCAGAATAAGCATTTAATTTACCATCCTAGAAATATCAGTTCGAAAAATGTTGTAAACGATTGAGAAAAATTGTGAAAACAATTAGGCATTGTCATCGCTACTTCCATTGAGAGTCTTGTCCTTAATAAATCGTTTTTGTACACTGTTATGCTTTAAAAATATGCCACAGTGTATTATTCAGTATAAATGAAAAACTCAATATAGATATTTTTTTTTGAAACTATCATTCAATCGTAGATAGCAACTCATGCTTTTTTTACTGTTCATATTCTATATTTCAAATAAGTTCATATAATGTTGAAGCATAATTTGTTGTATTCAATTTTGCCGAATTGGTGGATATTTAACCCTTTTATTTTCATCCAGAATGACACGTACAACACCATGTCGGATATTCGCATCGGCCTCTGGTGTACCGTCATCGACTACTTCAATATTTCGTTCACCTATGTAAAATAATAAAATAGAAGTGTGCTGATGTGACTTTTTTAATATCAATCATTTTCCCTACCATCTCGTTGAATGATTTCAACTGCTACATTGCCCGGTTTACCAACGAGATTGTCCCAACGTTTTCGTAGATCAACACAACCACTACTCATAACTACGTTTAAATCGATCGAAAAAAAAATGAATAATATGAAGCCCTGAATTTCACATATAACGTGCTATGCAATATCAATAAACTTTATCCATGATCCAGTTACCAAATATTTACTGATTTTGTTGTTGTTGTATTTGGTACCTTATACAACGATGAAGTGCGAAGGAGTAGATTAAATAAGCGATAATAAATATCAGTCGTCTATAGAAAATGTAGCAACGTCATGTGTGATAAAATGGATTCTAAAGTTGAGATATTTGCATGTACGATTACCAATGGTTTCAACATATAGATACGGTGAATAGTATCTTGATGTCAATAGAAAGTAGATAGAATGTATTGATTTCCATAGAAGTGAAAAATTACTTACCTATTTTTAATAATATTTGTTGTTTATCGTTTGCTTTTCTTTCCTAGAGTGAACAGCGTTTTTTATACTCTTCAGAAAATAAAAAGACAGCTTTTCGTTGTTAAGTTTTCATTGTAATGGATGTTAACCAATTCTTTTTTTGATACTTAAAAGCATATACAGCCATTCTTATCTGTCATTATTTGTGAAATACAAATGAATAAATTAAATTTCACAAATTGAAGCATGAGTCAACTTTGATACGTTGTAGGTATTTACGTCGATATATATATATTTTCCTCAAAATGTAAAGATTATTTGGTTGAATGAAAAATCCACGAAAGTATTATTTGATACGAATAGCCCTTCAACACATACGATTTTTCAAAATCACAATTAACCCTAGAAAGGATGTGAAATCATTTTTAATCGAACGCTTGAAGCTAGGGATGCACCAATTCCAATTCCAACCAATTCCGACCAATTTTAGGAATTGAATGGACTCGAATTGTAATTGATGCATTCCTACTTGAAGCATAAAATCAACTAGATATGTTTTACTGATTTTTTTTATTAAGTTTATTGGATGTATTTAACTGTATCTTATTGACAGCAAAAATTTTCACTATTCTGAATGAAAATAGGTGCAAATAGTAATATTTATAACATAACAATTTCGTCTAGATAAAATCGTTCTTTTTTTAAAGTTCATCTGTATTTTTATTTTATGCTATCGGTTGTAAATATATTTGCTGCCTATTCACTATTCTCTGTATTCGTAAATTATTTCTTTTGATACAAAAATTCTGAAAGTAAATGTCGGATGTTTTAATCACATAGTAATTTCTTTATTTTTGTCAAATCTGCATTGATCACCAAGAAGAAACATATTTTAGCGAAAATAACATTCACACAGATATACCAAGTAAAAGAATGTCACAAAATCAGAAAATGAAAATATTGCACCATAAATATATATTTAATTAAATTTTCTTCACGAGGTATTTGTATTCTGTTTATTATAGTGTATCATACGCCCGTTGACGATTAGCTGAATATCGACTTTTGATTTTGTTTATAACTATTTTACATTCACGAACAAATAATGGTAAAATACAACAACATGTAATAAACATCTTAAGATGAGAAAAATATAAAGAAATTAAATTGTCTTTATTAAAAATTAGAAATTATCTTACCATAAGAACAAAAAAGTAAAAGACAAATCGCCAATCATGCCAATGCTTTTCGATAATCGGAATCAAGACTTGTCCAATAGCTGCACCAAAACTGCCTGTTCCATCAACAATACCAGTTACTGTTGATAACGCTTGATCACTAGCAGCTAATACTTCTTGTCGTCCAAGATCAGCCGTTATAGCAGCGCTAATCATATTAGCTGGACCACCAATAAATACACCAGTCACTGTCATTACTACTCCATTTATCGCTTTATTATTAGCTAAATCTAAATATTATAATAAACATAAAAATAGTAACTGATATAGTCATAACAAAATAATCACTAACTGCTGAAAATAAACAAAATTGGAATAGCAATAAGTAATGCTGGAACGACAACAATCGATCGAAGACCAACAAAATCCTATGAATAGATATTTATATTTTGAAAATGATGCTTAAAATAACTTACAGAAAGAAGACCACCAACGATTCCACCTATTATTCCACCAACATCATATAATGTTGAAAGTAAATCAGCGTCAGATTCTTGCCAACTAAATTTGGAATGTAAATAAAACGGAAGCCAAAAAAAGAACGAATCTATTAGATGTAAAAGTTAAATTTCTAAATATTCACTGTTTTTCGAATTAACTTACAATTAACTAATTTAAGACAGGCATAACATAATGAATACTAAATTACAACGCAAGATATTCATTGAAAAAGAAAGATACTAATCATTATGTTTGTTCTTACCATCGCTACACCAGGTAAAAGCCATGCTCGAAAAAATGTTATTGGCCTATTTGTTGTTGGCTCTTGTGTTGTTACAACCAATTCTGTTTCTTCGCTTGTCTCTTGATCATCTACTGTAGTTGTTGGTGTTTCTAAATGACGAAGAAAATGGTTTGTTTTATTTAAAATAGGAATCTCAACTTTTAAAGCATGAAAACAATCAGTTTTCTTCAAAATGAATGATTTTCAGTTAAATTTTTCATTATACTATGTCATAGATTGATATTTCAATATTAAGTTATTTACCTTCAACTGATATTTCAACTTCTTTAGCACCTATACATATAAAAATGAGGTTTTCAAAAATAAAATCAGAGAAAATAAGAAAACCTTTTTCAACATACCAACGTCTTCCGGTGATGGAATAATAGCAAAAAAACATATAGCAGCACAACAAATTAGTAGAACAGCACAAACAAGAAACGGATATTCATAACCATATGAAAGAAAAGCAGCAGCTAATGCTGCTCCAAATATATTGCCAATAGAGGCACATGCACTCCAAACACCAAAGATAAAACCTCGACTAAAAACAAATGAATCAAGAATAAGTGAAGAAAATAATGATTTCTAATTTGTTTCTGTTACCCTTCTTTGCCAAACCAATTTCCCATAATAGCAACTACACATGGCCAGCCAGTAGATTGAGCTAAACCATTGAGAATCCAAAAACAAACATACCAAGCAACTGAATATATATGTAACCATTCACTAACTACACCAAATAGAAAAATCTAGCAATAGAAACATCGTAATCTATTTTATCTTTTATCTTTCATAAAAGTATGATTTTACCACAACAGCAGTTATAACCATTCCAAGGCAAAGAACAATTCGAAGATCGAATCTGACCAAGTGAAAAAACGTTTTAGTAATTTATCAAGTTAAATACATTTGATCTTACCGATCACCCATAATACCGCTTACGAATAAACCCTGCAATAAATCATCACATTTATTTATTTTTTTGTATTTCTATTTTCTTACAAATGAATAAGAAAACATGAAAACAGCATCCAATACACCTAAGAATATGGTAGCATCGCCAGGCGAACGAAAAAGACGTGTTTGATTCCAAATCTAAATTTTACGCTATTGTTGTTTTGATAAAATGTAAAAATTGATGTTTTTTCTTACCTGATCCGGTTTTATCGGATTTAATGTTTCATTAGCTACTGCACTCCATTCTTCAGCCATGGTTGATTTGACATTAGAGAATACTTTTCGTGCAGCGTGTAACATAGCATAACTGTATTGAAAAATACTAGTGTTTAAACTACTGCTTTTTTAAGACTTGATTATTTTTTACCTAACAAATGTCAATATGAATGTACTCAAATGATAAAGTGTGTATCGATGTTTTGATGGCCTTTGCGGAAGGCGAACATCAACGTTGTTAGCAGTTTCTTGTGAACTGTTGATATTTGCACTCATGATAAATGAAAAACTAGAATGAAAAAAAAAACAATAGAATTTTTATTGATTAAAGGAGTTTATATACTTTTTCTAGGCAAAAAATAAACTTAGCTGAGTTGCTTGTTGCTGCTGATGAATAATAGAACAATTGTATCTCATTGGTCTTTGTTGTACACCAATCAATAAAATAGCGCTATATGTGTGAGTAGAAATTTAAAATTAAAGATTAAGCCAAAAAAAAACAAATATCTGTAATAAAAATATATATCCACATAAAAAATTAATTCTTGATGAGTTTTAATAAATATACGAATCCTTAGAAACCTACGATGTTTTGTTACCATCACTGCACAACTGCATGCGATAGAATAATGGTGATTAATGCGTAGAGAGCCATTCTCAAAAATTATTTGACAGTATTTTTCAACTACATTGAAGTATGGATTTTGATAGTGCAAATATGGACATGACGTCCAAAATCTATTCGTTGGTAATAAATTATTTGTACCTTTTGACTTTTGTTAGATTCATTTTATTTTTTCTTAAAGATTCGGGATAAGAAATATCAACAAGCAATCAATGTTCTTAGTTTTCAAAATCAAAGTCAACCTCGTGTATATAAATTCGCTATCTTGACATTTAAAGATCAATAGGTTGTGCTTTGTTTTGTTTAGTGTCGTCCAACATTATCATTACTTGCTTATTGCTACTATCACGCACAAGATTTTACACAAGCCGCTGATTGTTATGAGCAACTTGTACAAATTTCACCCGAAATCGATGATTATAAATTTGCATTTGGCCAATCACTATATAAATGTGGACTTAACGAAGAAGCTCTTAGAGTTTTAAATCAAATTGAACAGCCAACATTAATGGATAACGTTTGTTTTTTTTATCAATCTTCGAAATGAAAGTCTAGCTTTGTTTTGTTTTCTGTGGTCAGGTACGAAAATTACAAGCCGCTATTTGTTATGCGCTAGATGATGTCAAATCATGTCAAGTAAGAGTCAAAAACTAACGAAACTATTTGAATTTCTTTCTTGACGGACAAGGGCATGTTTCTGTTATTTATTGAAGCATTTTTGATAGAGAGAACATGAGAATTTCAAATTAAATTCAGAATATAAAAAGTGACATTTCCATTTACTCTATAGAATTATACTCACATAATTGAGCTTACAAAATTAAAAAAATAGAACTATGTTTTTTTGTTTTCATTAGAGTTATATTGATCAATGCAATGATAATGATCCAGATACAGTTATTAACACAGGTTGCGTTTTATATAAAGAAGGAAAATATGATGAAGCTTTAAAACATTTCACTAAAGCACAACAACTTGGTGGCTATAATCCGAGTAATTTATGATTTTTGTTTTGAATTTTATATATATAATAGTAATTTTATTTACGTTTCTGTTGTAGGAGTATGGTATAATATAGCTCTTTGTTATTATGAATTAAAACAATATGCTCAAGCTGTACAACACTTGGGTGCTATTGTTGAAAAAGGAATTAAAGAATATCCTGGTATAATAAAAGAAAAGATAATTTAGCTTTTGTAATTGTTTAATTTTTCTGCTTTTCATTTTGTGTTTCTTAAGAATTAAGTATTGGTATGCAAACAGAAGGCATTGATATAACATCAGTTGGAAATACAAATACTTTACAAGAATCAACTCTTGTTGAAGCATTTAATTTACGTGCTGCTATCGAATTTCTACTTAAAAATTGTTAGTATATTTTAGGTTTAAAAATATTTTAAACAATCGAGCTTGGAATTTTTAGATGTGGCAGCACGAGAAGCTTTAACTGATATGCCTCCTAGAAATGTAAATGAACTTGATATGATAACATTACATAATCTTGCTATTATGAATATGGAAGAAGATCCTACAGGTGGTTTTGAAAAATTAACATTTTTAATTGGTAGTGAAGGATTTCCACGTGAAACATTTGTTAATCTATGTCTGTTATATCTTAAACATGAGGTAATTATATCGCAACATACGTACGATATACATTATTTACGATATTTGTTATATTAAAGTACTACGATTATGCTGCCGATCTTCTTGCTGACAATACTGAACTGACATTTAAATATATGGATCCATATATATATGAATTTATTGAAGCCAAAATAGTTCAACAAACAGCACCAGAAGCTGCCTTTAGAAAATTTGAAGAATTAGCTGGAGCATTAATTGAACAATTACGTCGACTTGTTAAAGAAGTACAAGAAAATCGACGATCACAAAAGGATGAACAAGTGAAAAAGAAAGTACAAGAATACGATGCTACTTTGGAAAAGTATTCACGTTTTTTTATTATAAAACTATATTTATAATATTGCTTATTTACTTAAATTAAGGTACGTACCTGTATTAATGGCCCAAGCAAATATTTATTGGTTGCAAGAAAATTATACAGCTGTAGAGAAAATATTTCGTAAATCAGTCGAATTTTGTAACGATAATGAAATATGGAAACTAAATGTGAATACAAATTGGACTAGTTTTTTTAAAGATATTCAATCTTTTATTTTTCAATCTTTTATTAAGGTAGCTCATGTACTTTTTATGCAAGATAATAAATACAAAGAAGCAAGTAAATTTTGTTTCATATGTTTTGAATTTGTTATAGTATTATGATATGTTTTTTTTTTGAAAGTTGGATTCTACGAACCCATCGTCAAGAAGCATGAAGACAATGTAAGTGATAATTCTATCTGCTGGAAAATACTTTATAACAATTCATGTAGAGTTCAGAGCATCGGAGTTATTCTGTAAGAAGTAGGAGAAAAAAATTAAGTTGATCACTAGTCAATTATTTAGAAACGTATAAATCGTATGAAGTGAAGTTAGTTTTGTACATGAAAACTAAAATGCGATTTATAGGTTCATCTAATGAAGTGATTATTAGCGGAACGATCATATGCTTGCACAATATGCTACCTTTCCTCGCTATAAAAATAATGATGTTGAGTCAAATCCATTGAAATCTCATGATATTGTTGAAATCGTACTCTAGAGGCTATGAAATAATTTTCAGCTCTATGTCTTGCCTATTTCGAAGGTTATTCAACAAACAAGACTGCAAGATAACTTATGCAGCAAAGTCTACTTTCTTTATGAGATTTCTTCTTAAAGAAGCAGTTTTTTCTTTTCTTATGGAAAAGAGCATATTCGCTATTGTGTTGCTTGTCAAAAAATATTTTTTCTAAAATTTTCATTCTATGGAGAGAAAAAAGACTTAATTTAAAATCAAGTTTTGCAACTTCACATTACCTTTCTAATGATATGCAAGTCATGAACAATAGTAAAGTTCTTTCACGAATTCTAGAATGTATTATCAAACAAAAAAGAAGAATGAATAGAAGATAGTCAAGCACTAGAGTTTCCGTATTTTTATAAATTATAGTTTACTTCTTTTGCTTTTTTCTGGAAGGTCGGCCTTAAATGAAATTTTCTTCTCATTTAGCTGAGCATTTATAATGCCAGTTTTTATGGTTAAAAGAGAAAAATTTTAAACAGACAACTCGCAAAAAGTGATTAATTGCTCATATAACTTTTTTGTTTTTTTGCGATCATATCATGTAGGATAAATGATTAGACAACAACGTTTGTATGATAAATAAAATAATGCAATGAATTTAAATTTTTAGCTTTTATCAGTTAGTCCGATTGTTTTGGCTAATTTATGTGTTAGTCATATCATGACAAGCCAAAACGAAGAGGTAAATAATTAGATAACAAATTTCTGTTAAAAAAAAATATATATACTATCCATGTTTTATTAAGGCTGAAGAATTAATGCGTAAAATCGAACGTGAAGAAGATAAATTACCATTTGAAACACCTGAAAAAAAAGTTTTTCATTTATGCATCGTCAATCTTGTCATTGGGTAAAAGTTAAAACTTATACTTCATAATCAAATTTAGTTCTTTTTTTTCCAAATAGAACTCTGTATTGTGCAAAAAATAATTATGAATTTGGTATATCACGTGTCATGAAATCACTTGAACCTTATCAGAAAAAATTAGGAACAGATACATGGTTCTATACAAAAAGATGTTTTCTTTCGCTTTTTGAAAATATGGCGCGTCATTCAGTGATTATACGTGATCAAGTTCTTATGGAAATGTTACATTTTTTAAGCCATTGTGAAAGTAAGAGCTTTTTTCTTTTCGTATTTTTATTAACTTCTAATTGTTCTATTAAAAACACACTTTATTTTTAAGATTGGGGGCGTGATGTTAAAGCAAACTTTGTTTCACCATTAACAAATAAACCAATACACGCTGGAAAAAATACAGTAGCCTACGAAGCTCGTTATTTGAAAGCATTACTGCTAGATTTATTAAAAATAGACGGTTAACAATAAATGTTCTTTAATATTTATGTGTTTTTTTCTTCATTTTTATGGAATGATATGTAAACAACTTGTTGTTCTACTTGAATATAAATCGTTTTTCGAACATATGTCAAGCTAACGAAAGCTATCTTTTCAAAAAAATCATTACAATATAAAAAGTCATGAAAGATTTATTAGAATTAGATTTAATTAATGGTTTAAGTCGAATGCAACAAGTGCTTTTTAAATATAATATTATCATCATAATACTTGATAGTTTAAGTAAAAATGTGATATTCTTTCTATCTTTCATGTTGATCAGAAAACGCTGGGTAGCACTGAAGAGTTTTTAATATTCCAATATAATGTAGAATTACTATCTTTCCTATAGTCGACTAGTGAATGATGCTGTAATTTATAGCTCTCATAATACCTTCATATGACGACACATTCTATAGGTTTTGATGTTTATGGATTGTATGATTGATACTTGATTCTAAAGTATTTTCATAACGCACGCGTTAAATCATGGTTAAATATTAATTGTGTGTTGAATATTCTGATATGGTTTTTAATGGATCAAATTCAGGTTAGGATCTGAAATGAAAAAAAAATCTGAAATGATTATGTATATGAATTCCAAAAAATTTCTAAATTTTATTCTTTGTTATTCAATTGATTGGTTGGTAAGAGTATCTCTTCTTTTATGTAATTCATATTCAAAAACGGTGTTGGTTGATGCTTCAACAATAATACGAAGATTCTTACATTAAAAAAATATTATTTCATAAAATTATGCAGTTTTTTCTTCTAAATCTCAAATCTACTTTGATCGAGTATAAATTCAAAAAGAAAAGTTAAATGCATAATTTTTTCCGTTTATTTCTGATATTCAAAGCATATGTAATTATGAAATATACAGTGATTTATTCACCTTTCATTTTAGCTTTCATAGCAAATCTATATGCACATTGAAGGATAATGACAATGTATAGTAAAGTATATTACGATAAAATTTCGATCCTACATACATGTACCTATATAACGTAGTATGGAATCAGTATGAGGGAGTAGCTGCCTAATTCGACTTCGAATACAAATGAAATTTTCCGAAAATCCTATTGTGCATAGGCAAAAGATAAAGAAAAATTTTATAATTCGAATTGAGGCACTAATATCAGTCCACTCGCAGAATCACGAAATGTCTCACTACACCCAACGATGCGCAATGCCCCTTGCACACCCATCAGTCCCTTTGCGGCTCCCACAGTTGCGCGATATACCGATACTCGTTTCTAGTAAGAATAGCCATTGTTATTGCAGTTAATGAGTAAGCTATCTCGAATAACTATGCTGCGATTACACGTCAGTTTTCAGCAACACATATCAGAATGTTACCGACCTGCCTACGTTCCATTTTTGGATTATTGAGGCGGCTTTAAGTATTTGTGAGATTGCTAATAATATTTCTGCGATTGTTAGTAACACTTCCGAGGATGATAGTAGCATACTGCAAGTTCCTAATAGCATTCCCATGATTGCTAGTAAGACTCCTGAGATTCCTTTTAGCGTACCTAAGCATGCAGGAATCATACATCAGCATGCTAGAAGCATATTTGAGCATGCAGGGAGCATACCTGATAGTGCTAGAAGCATGCCTGATGATGCTAAAAACATACTAGCCGTTCTAATAAGTATTCCTATGGATCTTTGCAGCATACTTCAATGTGGTACTCACTTCCTACAGAGTTAACTAACATCGCCTGGATAACTTCTGATTCTAGGTGAAAGCTCTGCAGCCATTGGAAGGTAGGTATGTGATACCTATTTTGATCTTCCTCTTTAGGGCTATCAGCGAATGTGATGAGGATCGACTTGACTGTGTACACAGAGACCCTCTTTGGTCGCGGCTCTACGCGGGGATGCTTCGCGCCCCCACACCGCGGCGCTCAAATAAAAGTGTGTGTAACATGACAGAAGTCGCGGTGTGGGTGTTGACAACATGTAGCAGTTATCCTTTACTAAATGGTTTCATTATTCTGTTAGAAGAGTGTCGGAAGTGTTGTTGTTGATTATTGAAAGTTTTACTAATGGGCAAGTTCTGGCCTGGCTCAGTAGTCGAGCAAGCACACTTTAAAATTTGCAGTTTCTGAAATACCATACAGCGATGCCTCAATTCGAATCATAAAATTTATTTTTAGGATAAAATTTTATGTTTTGCTTTTTGTTGTAACAACTATATGAGAGCCGGATTTTTTATTTTCGAATCGATATTGTGTAGTTGAACCTTGATTTATATTCGAATTCGAATTAAGTATCTCGTGGTATCAGGCACCTGTAATAAATTTTATAATCAATCTAAAAAATGCATGTCCTACTGCTACATCATATATTGAAATGAATCACATTGTATGATTTTATCTCAAATTACAGTTAGTAGTTCTGTAGATCAAATAAACAATTTCTTCAGCGCCCTCTATTCATCTACATAGTAATATATTTCGTGAAGTACATGCAATGTCACTATTTACTTCCTTACACCAGAGCAATTCTTCACTCATTTTATTTTCATAAAATATTTATTTCCAAGTAAAAATATGTCAGAAAATGAACATGATGTAGAAGAACAAGCATTCTTGAAAGAAGTTACAGCTCATCTACCATCAGACTGGTCAGATGAACGAAGGAATACTTATGTTCAAAGTGTATTAACTAGTTGGCAAAAACATCGAACACATTCACGTGATGAACTACAATCAAGGGAAAAATATTTATCTACTATACGGCAATATTTTAAACCCCAATCACTTGAACTCTATGATTTTAAACAATGGCCAATCAATGAAAATCTCTTAGCGATGCTGGTTCGTGGCTCACTTGATTCTGATATTGTTAACCAAGTACATACATTTATATATATATATATATATATTGTCTTTTGAATGTCTATATGATTACATTAGCTATGTATATTTCTCGTTATAGATACAATCAACAGGTGTTTATACGTTTTCTTTTCTACCTACAACATTCTGTCAAACATTAATTAATGAAATAGCGTATTTCGAACAATGGTGTGTTGATAATGGGCTAGAATTGTATCGACCGAATTCTATGAATAAATACGGTGTTATTCTTGATCATTTTGGATTTGGCAAATGCTTAAATGATATTATTAACAACATTGTAGAGCCACTAACTCGACTTGTATTCACACATGTAATACCTCCTCTTGACTCTCATCATGGTTTTATTGTTGAATATGCTATGGACAAGTAAAAATATTTCTTTCTTCATTATCAATCTCATTTCATGTTTATATATATATATATGTATAGAGATAGAAAACTTGATTTTCATGTTGATGAAGCTGCAGTAACGTTAAATGTTTGTCTTGGAACAGATTTTACAGGTGGTCAATTGTATTTTGGTGGAGTGCGCTGCGCATCTCATATTGGCACGACCAAACCAAGAGCCGATGAAGAGATTTATCTTGAACATCAAGTTGGTACAGCATGCCTTCATCTTGGTAATCATCGACATCGAGCAATGCCTATAACTAGTGGACGACGATTAAACTTAATTCTATGGGTAAGCTATGATGAACAAATTCAATTACAGAAATAACAATTTATCTACATGTTCTTCTAGTGTCGATCAGCAAATTTTGATGCTGCTAAAAACAATCATGGAAGTAAAACATGTCCAACTTGGTGTGGATTTCATCAAATCGAAAAGAAAGAAGATATTTAAAATATTTTTAAACTTTAGTTAATATTCAAGAAAAAACTAAAAGAAAAGTACAACTAACATTCATAATTTTAATGAAATTTATTATTACTCAGGAGATTGACGATGAACATAACTATTGAAATTTGTTTGACTTTGTAAAAATTGAACTTCAAAATGATTATTGATTGTATCTTTGAATTTTTGAATGAATTATTCTTGTGCGAAAACTGTTGCATTATATTAACTAATGATTTGTCGTTTTCAATCGGTATTTTCTGGTCAGATATTTGCACAACCACAACAATTAGTTATCTATTAACACCTGATAATTGAAATTTTACACGTGTTGTACAATGAACAAGTACATTCAATTGTTCATAAACACTTTTATCACAATCTGCGCATGTGATAAACAGCTGCCCACCTACGTTATCAGTTGTGCTTCGATATAGAAAATCTTCTTCCAGAGAAATATAAGCTACATGCAAGTAATTATCAAATATATTTGTAGTGATTGGTAATAATGGATTATCAATATATTTTCTAATGCATAATTCTTTGCTTTTTCTATTTGATTGATTATTAAACGTTTTGTTTTGGTAACATTTAATAAAATCACGATCACAAGAATGTTCAAAAAAGATTTGTTCATTAGCATATAGTTCAGTAAAGATAAGTTTCGTTTTCAGTATATCAGCAGATCAAAATACATATGTATATACGTCAAAATGATCACGATGCCCAATATCAACTATGCATGCTAGGCTTTTTAAGAATATTTGTGGCCACAGAATTTGAGCTAGTATCGAACTCAACATGCAATAGCAAAGCCATGCTTTTTTCCTTCTTTTCACTGTTTCATAGAATGGCAACCGCAGATGAAGAACACGATAAAAAAAAGTTGTTTGCTTTACAAGTCATGAAAAATAATTCAGTTGCCATGAGTCCTACTGTGATTTATCATTCAACATCGATGCAAATTGATGTATACGAATGAGTCATATATCAGTAGTCATGAGTAATGGATTTACACAGAAAATTTTGAGACGACTTGAATCTTTGCTGAAAGCATATGGATACAATTCAAGAAACTATTCTAATATACTGCGTTTGTATTTTTACCGAAGCTCAAATGATAATAATAATAATAAAATATTAAAACTTATGGCAATGTCTGTCGGAGATTGAAATAACATTTTTTAAATGTAACGTTATAATTTTATTGACAAATTAAACCACAGAATTTCTTTTTTTTCCCATTGATTTATAGTGGAAATGATATACACTTAGTCAACTTTTCTATAGAAAGTTCAGTTACCACGACCTAACAACAACATGTAGGCATAAAAAAGAACTAATCAAACTAATACTCACCATCTAATCTCGCATCGAACTTAAAACAATCTCAATGTGAAACTTGAAGTAGACGAAATTTCCTTTTATTGAAGTTTTTATCTAGATTATATGCAAAATGAAAATTTGCCTATAGATAAATCTAATGCATCTAATGATCGATACAATAATTCTGAAACATTCAGACGTGAAATTTTCAAATGAACTGAATTTTTTGTGAAATGTATATAGCACGTTCCCGCTTTTATTTTTGAAAATGAATTCATTGATAGAGAAATATTCTACTAGTTATTTGAGATATCAATTGATGAAATTTTACGACGATATAGAATTGTCTTTTTTGTCTTTTTGGTAAACGTCTATCTAAAAGTTAATCAAGGTTTTAGTAAAAACAAGTATAGCATATTTACGTTGGTTAAGACTTGAGTGATAATATTGTCAATCAAATAAAACCTAAATTTTGATTGTAATTCTCATGTAAACTGAACAGTTCAAGAGATAGATGACCTTTTGCGATTATTATTCAATATGACTTGATGTTCAAAATCAATCAAATAATTAAATTAAGAAAATTTATAAGTAAAATAATTGTTTGAGACCACTTCTATTTTGCAAGATAAGCGAAGAACCATTTTCCTAGTGTTGAAAATTCAAATCAAATCCGTTTTTAAATTTCATTAGTTGTACAGCATAGATTAGAAAAATCTTAAAGTGGTTGTTCGCAAGGAATTTTCCTACGATCCATTTGAACTATGATTTCTATGTTAGAGTTTAATGTCATATATCGAATAAAATTCTCACATATTACTTCTAAATCAATCAGATCTATTGTTTTAGTTAGACACATAGTTTATAACAAGAGTTCAAGGGAAATATTATTGTGTTTTGTTTTCTATATTGATATCATTCTTTAATGTAGTTCATGTATCATCGCTATTTTGCATATTTGATATACTAACAACACAGATTAATATTACCGGATTTAATTGAGTAGGTGAGGTTTTTCTATGTATAATTTCCAGATAAATTCACCAAATAAACTATTAGCCCATGCAAACCAAGATCGTGTATAATGCATTTGATTGTTGACATTTATTGATTCATGCATGAATCCTGTATTTCCATGAGATTTTTGCAACATTTTTAAACAAAGTCGTATTTCATCATTATCAATTGTTGTTAGTCCGCGCATAATAATTGCAAGTGGCCATGCCATAGAATTTCCAACATGTGGTCCACCATTACCTGTTCAATAAAACATAGAATAAATTACTCCAATTCAATGAGAATAGTTAACCTTCAAGTAGATTTCCTTTAAAAAACCATGGATTGTCTGAACTGAGTACAAATTTTCTAGTATTTTGATAAATTGAATGTTTCAATGGGAAATCATCAGGACTTAAATAGGGTAATGAAAGAAGTGATGGAATATTAGAATCATCCATCAAATTTCGATTACCAAATCCATCTATCTCATACGAATAAATTAAACCGTGTGTTGGATGTTTAAATGTTATTATTGTTTCTTGATTATTTGCTATTTTATCATCAAATAAAATATCATGCAAATCAGAAATCAATTTTAATATGTCGCCATTGAAATAATTTCCCCACTCTAATTTTTTTACGAGTTCTAATAATAGTTTTAAGGTATGATGTGCAAAAAATTGTGACGGTATAAGATACGGAAATTTTTGCAGATCATCGCTTGGTCGAAAAAATGTATGAATAAGACCATTCGGTTTAGCTTTGTGTCCGTGTGGGTCTGAAGGATGGCCTTGTCGTTGATATGTGTATATGCCTAAATTTGTAAACGGGAAATCATTTTTTTTAAATTCATCAAGTCAACAAAGAATACATGTAAAGAATCTTATTTTGTCGATTGGCTAATGAAAAGTTTTCTTAAGTTACCTGTCCACGAGAGAGTAGTGTATCGTATTATTTTACCATAAATATTTCTATTTCTATATGGCAGTCGAAATTCATTTGAATGGAAGATGATATGTTGAAATTTAACACGTGTTCAAATAGATTTTCTTTCGCCATACATATTGGTTGCTTAAAATCAGAAGAAGAAAACCCTTATAGTAAAAAAGAAGAAGAAGAATATGCATACTGTCAAATAATGATATCAAAACTAAGTTGAATTTTTTATTATATAGCTTTATTTGTATTTGACAATTTTCGACAAATCTTAAATATCTATTAGTTTCGGTTCCAAAGAAATTCATTATTCTATATCAACATCAACTCAAATATTGACTATCATTATGTATGGGCAAATTTATAGGACAGTCATATTTCGTCAAAATTCTTTAGATTCATATGAATACTTATAATAAATATAGTCTCTAACAAAAACGAAAATCTTCATAAACGCTTGTTACGAAGTTATTATATTGAATAGCTAAACGTTGATAATAGATTCATGTAACTAGATACTCGAGAAAAACTCATATTTTATTACAATATCAAAGAATAAATAGAAGTAGGATTATTGACCCCATTATAATTATATCATAATGAAATCTTTGTTTATAAAACAAATGAGATAATCTGATAATATTACTCTATGCTAAAATTCAGAATAATAAGTGATGTTTACAGTGTCAAAACTTTCCTAATGTTTTAGGGTCTTCAAGAAAAGCAAGCTACATCTCTTTACTTTTTAAAAAAGATATTTTTATATTGCGTTAATCTTTCATAATAAATATAATTTTCTTTAAGCAATCGAAAAGAAAGAAATAGATTGATGATATAAAAGTCAATCATACTGAAAAGTTCCAGAACAAAAGTAGCTCTTGGATTTTCGTTTTCGTTTTCTTTACCTGATCCATTGAATCTTTGTTGCTCTTTCATGGTTTGCAAAATAATTCGAATCGTACTTCTGAATTCTTTTTCGTTCTCACGAAAAAAAGTCAAATCGTATTCAACTGCTTTCCAATATGAATGCATCAATCGTAAAACATAACAAAGAGAATCTAATTCCCATTTTCGTTCGTGTACGCCTGGACGCATTTCTGTTCGGTCCATCCGTTTCCATTCACTAGTACGATTTGTATCCTTATAATGTGCGTTTGCATACGGGTCACGTTGAATGAATATACATTGTCGTAAGAGAACACCTTCAATCAATTGACGGAGTTTTCTATCAGAAGAAATCAAAGGTAGATAAGGATTTATTTGAGCACTTGAATCACGCAACCACATAGCATCAATATCGCCTGTAATAACATAAGTATCAGGTCGTTTTTCAGATGCTGCTTTTTCATCAAAATCAACAGTTGTGTCAAGCGTATTAGGAAAACAATTCTCAAATAACCATGAAAGTTCTTTATTTTTTATATTTTTCTTTATCTCTTCAATTAATGATTCTACTGCTGGACTAGTAAATCGTCGTTGATCGATAGGACGGCGTACTTTAGGAAAATCAGCAGTAGTAGTAGCATTTGTAATTGTAGTCTCTCTGATGGCAGCAGCAGGAATAATCGGCATCAATCTATGTCCATCATGTGCATGATACTTAATAGATGCCAGAGATGATGAGTCTTGTTGAGAAAATAAATGTATACATATGAATAGAGAGATAATACTGATAAAAACACCGATTAAAAAAGAGTATCGTCTACGGCGACATAATTGCGATGTTGAAGACATCGAAAAAAAAAATTTTTAAATGTGAAGAAAAAATATGTCATTCTATGTCTATGCATTTTCTTCTTGAGTATACGTAGCCAGCTGCATTTCTTTTTGCCTCTTTTACGTAGGATTTTTGCTGTTCTCTCTTTTTTTTTTCATAACCATAATGCGAGACACACAATTGCTGCAGAATGCATAAACTGTTGCCATTAGAAACATATTGACTCATAAAACATCGATTAAAATAAAATAAAAATGATGCTGTGTATTATAAATGTAATGAAGTCAAAATTATTTGTTCCTATCTTCAGAATATTCACCGGTTGAGTTCTCTCAGATCTTATCTATTTCTGTGATCTCGTCATATTGTCAGAGCTCAGATAAATAATTCTAGAAAGCATCCATGGTTAAAATTGATTTATTAGTACTGCAGTCAAAATCTGGCATATGTTGAAACTCACGTTCAAATCCTCGTTGATACATTTTTCTATGTGGTAAGACATGCAATGCTAAGTAATCAATGTCATTAAAATCAATAAATGTTGTTTCGACGAGTCTTATTACAAAGGCATGCCAACAAATATAACGTGTATGCGAATGTGTACTCTAGAGGTTTAGTATCTAAAACCAGAATAGTCTTCTAACATAAATAGAATCTCAAATGTCTACCGATTCAAAAACTCTAAAAAAAAGAGATTCCTTAAATTAGCTTATATATCTAGCTGAAAAGTACTGGAACTTCTCGATTTTAATTTTCTTAAACATCCATGCCACAAAGATATGCATGTAGTAACATTCATTATCTTGCATAGACGTCCAAAGAACTTGTGACGAGAACTAACTGGAATGATTTTTCTATGATACAAAGTGTCCATGAAGAAAAAAATTAACAATATTATATCTAAATCTTTCTTTTTTTCTTGTAATAAATAAGCCACCTACACCCTCAAGTAATATTTGTAAAAGTGAAATAATCTTGGTCTTCATTGAATTTTTAAAATGAATAAAAGTTGTTTTATTCGTGACGAAAATTTATCTATAAAATATTGTTTACACTCATAAATGCTAAGAAATTTTGAACGGTGAAGATCTGCCGTGCAAGTAAGAAGAAACAGCACATAGTATTTATAGTCAAGTGACATATGATTCTTTGCATTATCTCACAGATTTTCACTAATAAAACTTCCAGATATTCTTAAGACGAAGACTAAAATAGAAAGAGAATTTCTCACGGAATGATGGAAATGAAATCTAGTAATAGAGAAAACTCGTTTTCAAACGACACAAGGTTAAATATATTCTAATGAACATGAAAACTATTTGAATTTTCTTGTGATGATGACTCTTTCAAATACGAAGTTTTTGTATACGTTTCAGAAAGTTACATATTTGTACAAAAATAATTATTTAGACTAATGCGCTATCTGAAGATTACCATTGGAACAATAGCATTTTAATCGAAAAGATAGTCGTTTTCAATTTTATATGATACAAGTAACAATCTCAATAGCTAATCGTTTTGTGCATTAATCTTATTTATACAACACTCACAAAAGCTGACTTACTAACATCACGACATAATAAATTGATTTCATTCGTTTAAAGATTGATTTCAAATCACATTTCAAAGACCCATCATTTTCAACTAACTAGAATGTACAGTAATAAAAAGAAACTACTACAATTATCAAATGAACACCAAATTGATGAATTGATGAACAACAATGGCATTTTGTATTTGTCTGATTTTGAAATACTGAAGATAATCAAATTAAATTAAATTAAAAAAGAAGACCATATTGAAACTTGAACAAAACCGAATGTGATAGCGCGCATTGTTAATTTGGATTTTTGTTTATGTCTACTATTAGTTTTAATTCATTCTTCGATAGTAATACATTACGTCGTTTATCGGTTCGTTTAATTTTAATTGGCTTTGCCATGTTTATGATGTGCTCAATCATGTGTGTCACACAAAATTATTATGTATTAACATATGCTTGTGGTATTTTAGCAATAACAATTGAAGGTAGCGTAAGTCTTTACTATCAATTTCGTGGTGAATGGGCAGAATTTAAATGGTTTTCACCATCAATTATTTTATTTATTGTAACGTGTGTACCAACATTAAAAATACTTAAACAACATCAGTTGCATGTCAGTCAAATATTTAAACAGACTAATATCGAATTATTACTTAAACGTGATATGACATATTGCTTTAATATTACTTTCGAGTATAAATTCATTGGTTCTACTAAAACAAGATATCCACTATATGCATTCAAGTGTTCAAAAGATGAATTGATTAATTTTAATAAAGATAATTTTAAATTAATGTGTTCTTTATTAACTAAAATACAATATCGTCAATGTGAATCATATAAAAAATGTCAAATTGATCCGAATTTATTTATTTTATGGTCATTTATGAAAGATGCATGTACAAGCTGGAGAGAACTAATTAATCGTTTTACATTAATTGGTATATTAAGTGATGAATTAGCTGGTTTCATGCTCATTGAACAACTACTTCTACTCGTATTGGTTCTTGTCAATTTGATATGGCCACAAACTGAAAGTTCGGAGGAAATTTATTTTGCTCAGATGTTACGTCAATATTTAGCTGCTGCACCTGACATTGTAGAATTCTATGGAAATTTTCATCAAGGAGAAAATTTAAATAAATTACAAGATCGAAATAATTTGCAAACAGCTATATTTATTATATTTATTATGTCAACATTTCAATTCAGTATAAATCTACAAATGAAAATAAAGCCCACAAAAAGTCTACATAGAAAAACATTTCTTCAAATAAATATGAAAAATAAATGTTTAGTTCTATTTGAATTAATTTTTTGTACATCAATGTGGTCTGTTATTTATATAACAATGACACAAGATTTACCATTTTTAATCATACGGTGGTATTTTCTTACTTTTATGTCGGATAGTTCAAGTAAAATGGTTTTCTTTTTAATGAAAAATGCTTTAACTATAATGATATCGTTTCATTCTGGTCTTAATGATATTATAGATTTTAAAGAAAATATTCAAAATATAAGAAGAAAAACTAATTAAAAAGAAAATTTATTTTTATTTTAGTTTCATGTAAGGTTCTGAAATTTAGTTAGGATCAGCATGTAAGATGTAACAAGATTTTTAATTGATTTTTGACTTTTATATTGCTTAACTGTATGACATAGATATGTAAAGTATATTCCAAGATTTTTACAAATAAAGATTATAGAAGCAAAAAAATATCAACACCGAGTAGTTTTTCTTCAATATTTCGAGTAAAATAAAGCTATTGCGAGTATTTTGAACGAAGTTGTGAGCGTGCAAGAAATGAACATTTCCACTCATATGTGCATCCTGTTTTTTTTATTAGTTCGAAAGATTTAATTTTTTCATGCATGATGATGCCATTCTTTTTTTTTAACAAAATAAATTTTTGATAACATGGCATATGCTTCTATTCTAACAAAACAAAAGTACGACCCATGCAGTTTTTCCCACAATATTTTTCTATAAAAACTAATTTAACTTCTATTTTACGAGCAAATCCCTGTAAATATTTTTAACAATGCTACTAAGTAAAATATTCAAAAATACTTCCTTGAATTTATTGGCAGTCAAACTTCTACTGCATCTGTGATAGTCAATTTTGAAACTATACGATTTTATTCTAAGATGACCATCTGTTGTATGCTTCAATGTTCACAATTGTATGCGAGTATTTTCGTAAAGCAAACTGCAAATATATTATAGTACTATTTCTTCTGTTGAGTAATAATGCTGCATTAATGATATCCAAATTTATCTTATCCGTGTTAATTTACTATTCACTGAGATAATCTAATATGGTCCCTCGATATGTAAGCTTCTCAAGAGACAACTAAAATCACAGGAGAAACTCATTTTGAGCCATCCGGATGGCTAGTAGTAGACTGACACTGATAGGATAAATTGAAATCGCCAGGAATGGATCGGAATGAATAAGAATTCCATGAAATAATTGAATGAGCTTTTTCTCCCTGGACTAGAGCAAATGCACAACAGAAATGGATTTGTTTAGGAATACATTTCAATTTGCTGCCATGCAGCAGGCAAAGATCAGAAACAAATGTTTTCGAATAAATTGCATGGCATTTTCCGATTTCTTCCTAAGGACAGAGACTCTTTCATATTATGGAACAGTGTTGATGTGATTAGAATCTATTTAAAAGAATCGTTTTTACGAATATTTAGTACAACATTTATTGTTTTAAAATCTGCATTAAGAACAGCTAAGGATAGGATCGAAACCAGTGCAAGTGAATAAAAAAAATAGTTAGATACAAATTGTAAAATTTCTATCTATTAATCTAGTCAAAATTTTTAATAACTATATTTTATTAGGCTCTCTGAAATGCTCAATGACAGCTCTAGCTATGGATAGCTCCTCATTTATAAAACATTAATCGATGTACACAATTGATAAGTATATATTTTTTATAAATTAATTTTTTCAAGACACGGCGATAAATTCATCGAATGAAAAGTCTACTCTTCTATCTTATTGGTTTTAATGTTAGCTATGAGCAGAGGTATTACTAACACTTACTACGCTTGAAAATAGAAATTAAATCAACTGTCATACCTAAAATAGCGCTAGTATTTAAAAACGTTTCCTTGAACAAATGAATGATCGTTGTTGGATATTTCTATCTGATACTCTATCTAAAATGTAAGTAGAATTCTTTTTCCTTTACATTTCAACGAAAAATAAAAATATGTAGCTATCAATCAACTGATATATATTGTGACATGCTTCCTTGACATATTGATTGTAAGAGATTCATAAATTATACTTTATTTGTACCATATAATTTTACTTGTATGTTGAATGGCGATTTTAGTTATCCTTTGGAAAGGAATATTTTTCAAAGAAATCAAAACAATATAGATTTGCGCTATTCTATAACTATATTGTTAAAATAAATATCTGTCCATGCATCCTAAATAGTTGGCACAAATGATCCATGAACGAAATTTTAGCATCGAAAAGAAACAAAATAAGAGCAATCGCTATTGTTCTAAGTTGTAAAAATTCATTTAAGAAAGAAGAAGCGCTAGAAAATTTTCTCTTCTACGCGATAAAACTAAAAATTGATTAATATTTCAATTAAAAACCAATTAGCTTTCATTTCGTAGTGTGCGAGTTATTTCTAGTTATGAAAATATTTGCCTAGTTATCGTTTATCGTAGGTATTATGACGGAAGAACGCCATCGATGATGACATTGAAATAAAGCAATCAGAATGAAAAAAAATATGAGTTTGCAGAAGATGCAAAGAATATTTTAAATATACATGAGGCCTTCATTCGACTATTCGAATCATCGAACCAGCTGTGCTCTCTTTCATTCTTTCTATAAATGCGTTTATCGTTTGACTACTGTGAGGATGAAAAGTCATATTTTCTTTTTTTTCCACTGCACTCTTCCCTTTTCTTTTACAGTACAGAGATAGACGAAAGTTATGCGATTTTATCCTCTTTTGCTATTCTTCTTCTCTCATCATCAATTTACTTCTATCACCATTGTTTCTTCCGTTCATGATTATGACTATTTTAATCAAAAGAATTCTTCAATTAAGATTGACCTTTATCAATGTGATACTCACAATGAAAAATTTACAACAATTGCAAATACTATTGATACAATAGGAAATAATTTAACGAATTCTTGTAACGTCAGTTGTTGTGTATCGAATAGAATAAATGAAACAAGTATACATGTATTAACATGAAATATTTATCAAATTTTGCTCTGTTTTGTTTTGTTCAGACTCTTCAAATACCTGCCAAGTAACGGTTCAATCTCTTACAGGTCTTTGTCTTAGTCGTCTCTGCTATTCGAATGATTGTTATCATTACTCATCATTGCTCAACAATACTTATAATAACAAAACTGAGAATAAAACAACAATTATAGATCAAATTCGTTCTTTATTTTCTTACATTCGTTGGTCTGCACTTATCGATGAGGCCCAAACAAAATGGTCTACATGGATAAAGAGTACTGGTTTAACGATACGTGATACGATTTTAGTTATCTTATCCATCGTAAATGTAACTTTAACACTTACGGCAATAATTGTAGTCATGAACTCAATTCGACAAGCAAAATTAATAGACAGTAGAAAATCATATCGTTATACACTACTATGATTCATGCATATTGTCATTTTTTTAAAATAAAGATCAGATTTAGGAGAAAACTACATTCTATTGAAAAATACTTGTTAATAAGGTAAAACAGTCAATTTTTTCCATCACATGTATCAATTAATTTACAATGACGCTCGTTTGTCATTGCTTGAAGACATTCTAAAATATTTTTAGCTACAGCATCAATTGTTGATGGAGCTTTATCCGTGCCCGTTTCTGTTTTGACCCAACCAGGATGACGAAGGGAAAAACAGATTTTTTTCCTGTCAAGATCTTTACCCATACATATTGTTAACATATTTAATGCTGCCTAGAATAAGAATTGACAACAAAAACACTATATTGCAGAATGAAAACTCACTTTACTACATTGATAATCATAATCATAATAATAAAGAAGACTTTTCGCTAATTCAAGCGATGAAATAATTGACAAAATATTAACTACTGATGATTGTTTTAAATCCGGTTGTTTAAGTTGTAATGCAGATTTTTCAAGAAGCGATAAAAAAAGCCTACAAAAAAAAGAGTATTAATAAAACGATTTCAAATCAGCTAAATGTCTCGCTACCTTAAAATAGATGAAGTACTTAGAATAGTCTATTTGAGATGTAATTTTCAGAAATGTTGTCTTTCATCCGCAATTGTTCTAGAAACGCTATCAGTGCCAATGAATATCGAGCTTCTAACTTATTGATAATCCATTTAAATGTCTAACGAGAGTCTCTACATCTTCGTAACTACAGTGTAGGGTGAGTTGGTAATAATTTCTGAATTAGATTGAACATCTACACAGATAGATATTTATTAGAAAAGAATTTGGGTAAAAATTAGACGAAAAATAGATCAAAGAATGACTAAAACCAAATAATTTCAATCGGTGTTGATCGCTTTTGGCTTATTGATTTTCCATCATGATATAAGAAAAAAATCTGCAGCCGCTTGTCATCCGCTTCCATTGATTATAATCTGAATTAATCTAAAGAATCAAGATCACTTTGATCCATTGATTAATTCTGACTTAAAAAAAACGAGCAAAGGTGTCTGCTTACAATATGTTTTCAATAATTTTTCAATCAATTGTCATTAAATTGTGACTGTAATTATTTTACGTGAATTGTGGTAAGAAAATGAATCATAGCTATTGATAAAAACACTCACTCACATACAATTTCATGTTCGAAGTTTTTTCAACTGAAATTCGTTTAATATACTTTAGTAACTTTTCATGGTTCAATAACATTTTGTCGATATGTTTCCATCATATCTTTCTCATTGACAGTTGACAAACGTAGCTTAACTGCGACACCTGTATTATTAATTAAATAATTCAGATCTTTCCCATTTAATGTTTGCTTGACTTATTCAACTACTTTTCTAACGCTTGTGTCGTCGGTAATGTCCATTGATTTAAATAAAATAAAATATCATTTGTATTATATATTCAGAAAATTTGGCTAACCAAGTTGAACAGGAATAATTTTTTCTGAATTTTCCTTAGTCACAGCAAATAATTCTTTAATTAAGACAGATGTGTAACTATATGTTTATTTTCAAAATATAGGATATTACTTCAGATCGATCACTTTGACAATAGGTAGCAAAGAGATGATCAACTGTAGATGCCAGCAATTGCCTAACGAATCCGTAACTGACGCCTCGATTAGCTCCAGTAATTACAAAAATTTTCATTTCAATAATTGATTTTCTAAAACAAGCATTCGTTCTTAATTGAAATAAAACAATATCTATTTTTTTCATGTATATTTTAATTTATAAAATCCCACTTCACATTATACAAAATAGATTTAAAATACGTTTTAAATTTATATAGGAGTTTTATAAAAATGGAAGTACATCACATTTACTACCACTAGTAAAATCAATTAATTTTCCATAATGTTCATTTTTCATACTTGTTATACAGTTAACACTAGTTTTAGCTGCCTCATCCATATTCAATAATGCTCTTTTTCCACGCATATCGATTTTAATCTATTGTTAGTGACGACATCGTTGTTAATACCGGTTTGAAGAACATTTCGTTCGCCATTAATATTTTTTTCTATGCGACGTAAACATGCCTGAATATGACAAATAAAAACGTTTGCGTAAATTAATACTGATAAGAAAAAACAATATTTATATGCATAATTTTATAACTCGGCATGGCCCAATAACATTATTTTTGTACGTATCGAGCATATATCTTCCTTCAAATCATGGAATTTGAAAATCTGACTTGCATCAGTATTACTTATTAAACAATTTAGGTTTAGATCGTTTCCTAATGTCTTTCTGACTCCAGCTATTGAGTTTTTAACACTTTCATTATCACAAAGATCTGAAAATGTTTAGATTCCGACAGTTTTCTTTTCTCCGCTATCTAGAAACAATAACCAATATATATATTTCCTTAAAATATTAAATGCAACAATTATGGCTTCAGATTTGGGATCATCACAATAACCAGCAATAATAAATTCAACATTCGACGAATGTGAGAGCAAATGCTTCATAATGTCTCTATTGCTTCCTGCAGCAAAAACACTTGTCATTGTAAACTGGTAATATTAAAAAAGAAGAATATAAGTTTGATGTTTATACCAATGAGTGTAATGTATGTATACCAGTTTTTTTTCTACTATCACTAGTGTAAATCGTTGAAAGCTGACTTTAACATAATGCGATCAGTCGAAAAGTAAAACTTATTTTCAACTTTGCAAAATAAAACAAACGATACGACTTACAGCCATTCTTTTTACAGTGATTTGAGTATTAAATACATCGAGAGCACGTAAAAATATGACCCTCACAATTTTTAGTTATTAAAAATATTGTCCAATACTTTCATGTACTGTAAAGCAACAGTATATTTATATTAGCGAACAATAATGCGTACTTTTTAAATTCAATCACTGAGCAGAGCGAAGAAAAACGAATCACTGATGTTGAAACCTATTTTTTCAGTAGCATCGAGCACATACTCACAACACCCATTCTTAAATGAAAATTATAACGACTAGCTCAAATAGTATGACACCTGTTCTTTAGGGAAGAGTAGCCGTAAGAAATGAGTTTTAATGAGTACTAATAATGAGAATACCAATATAATACTTTCAATGCATCGAGTGAGGCTTTAAAAAAAATTGGATATACTTTGCTACGCCGTACAAATGTCACACTAGCTTGATAGACTCCTGCCATTTTTGTTTCATATGGCATTACATACATATCTAATGATGATAGCAATGCGTTATGAAAAGCTCGTATCCATTATTTAAAAATATTCGCATTGAAGGTATGTCTCACACAAAACTAATTCATTTTTATTTTCATGCTACTTTCAAACAGTAAAACTATTTATCAAAGAAAAAAAAACTAGGTTTTGAATTAGTTAGTAAGTTTAACTCATCAAAGTGCTAATTGCACAGTACGAGAAGCCAAAAATCTTAATTTTGTTTCTATGTCGTAAATAGACTACTAATAAAAGTGAGTTCGACATAAAAGAAATGCCAATAATTTTCTTTGAAGCAAGTTAAACTTTGAATATTGATACATTAACATAGGAGAAAATCTGCTCGAATCTATTGTCAAGTGATGTTAATATAGTCATTGATTATCTAGAAAAAGTAAACTTAACATTCCATGCTACTGTATAATAATATAAACAGTCAAATAGATTCAAATCAAACAACAATATAAAAGTGTTCCGACCAACACAAGTACATACAGAAAGAACATGTTTCAATTTTGATTATACTACATAAGTATATTTGGACGCACATAGAAATATAACATAACTTTAAAAAGCTTTATCGAAAAAAGGCTAGCATACTAAATTCAGAAGAAATACATCAATCCAATTATTTTACAATATTAATTTAAAAAGAAGAATTTTTTTTCTAACGATCCTTCCGTCCTTATCTTTAGACATTACAGTTATTATTTTCTTTCTCAATATAACATTACACTAAAACAAAAACAGACGACTGAAGTTTATATTCGAAAATATTATGACTCACTATGTGCTTCATATAAGGCTTATCGTCCATAAAGATATTTAGATATCTAAGGTTTTCTGTACACATTTTTAATATACACGTTTAGATTTTTATACGTGAGTAAGCAATAATTAAAATCAGTATATCAAACAAGTCACAGTTGAAGAACTATTTGACTATGTAAAATGATAAATATCGACAAGTCATCAACAGAAATTGAACGTTGCGTGAAAAATAAAATCATTTTGTAATTCTTTTCATTGAAACTTGGTTTGAATCCATGCGAAATATTCCTCGTCTTGTGAATAAAAATCAGAGAAATAAAAAGAAAATATATTGTCAGTTTCTATTAATCATAACAACAGGTAGGAACAACAAATAGTAGATATTTATATTTTTATGTATAATCATTGATCAAAACGTGTTCTGCGTTTTTCACCACCCATATCAGAATTATTTGATGACCCAACACCAAGTTGATCAATCTTTTTAACACCTGGTGTAAAACCAATCTGAAAATAAACTTAATTTATATAAAAACAAATTTATTTTCAAGAACAAATCAATATACTTTTGTGCGCTCTTTTCGTTCTTTTTCTCTTCGATCAATTTCAAGTTTTTGTGCTTTACCTAAATAAACCTTATTTTCAAGTCAATTTGATTTCAAATAAATAGCTATTCATACTTAGTTCTTCATAATAAGATTCTTTACCCCACCAATGTGGATCATATAATTCCTAAAAAAATATAAGAAAAAAACTTAAGGATGCAATTTAAAATATAATATACCTGTGGAAAATTTGTTCCTATTTCATCAATGTCCAAGTGTGAAATCATTTTCTCATACATGCTAAAACAAATGAGAAATAATAATGAAAGAAAAATAAAAATAAAAGAAAGTTAATTTTTCAATACCATGGATTTCGAAAATCTTTTAATTCTTGTATACGGACATTTTGATCAACACCTGTTTTTTTAAATTTTTTATAATATTCTTCAAATTTTTTCTATGCAAAAACAAATGAATAAATATTAGTTTATTTACTGTATTAAAAAATAATTTACTTCAAGTCTAGGTGGACAATTTGTATTTGGTTCTGATGGTATACGGATATCAACATCTTCAGGAAATATTAATGGATAATCTAATAAAATAAATGTACAATAGAAAAACAGCAAATCATGCTTTAAATCACTTCCAAATGATCTCTTACTAGGCGTTAAATCGTTACGAGACGCTGGTGATGATTCTTCTTGTTTGAACTATGAATAAAAAAATTAATTAATAGAATACTAAGATCAGGAATGCATACGGGTGTAACATTCAAAAGGTCAGAAGTAACTATCGTTTGTTCATTGCATGTGGGTGTTTTAGTTTGAACAAAATCTGATTCTCCAATACGCTGCAATATAACTGGACTATTAGAATTTGAAGGATCATCCTCTGTATATGGTATTTCAATATTTTCTTCTTCCTCGTCGTCCGTATGTTCTTCATCGTCAGATTCTGGTTCGTAATTAACCAATGAAGACTTATCTAGTAAATAAAAGAATAAGATTTTATTTATTTTTATTATGAAAAAAATATTCTTCGATTAGAATTACATACTTTTCGTAAAAGAAGGTTTATGCGTTGTTATAGGCTTTCTAGTGACTGTAGTTAGAATAGTTGTTGAATCTGGTGTTGAACTTTTTGATTGCGTCGGTTCATGAATATCTTCATCATCTGAATCCGATATATCTCCACTACCAATACCAATATCAAGTATAACACTTGATGTTGCTGGTACAGAAGAAGAAGACGATTCATTTGGTGCTAGATCAATATCCATAGAATTATTCGGTGTTATTTCTTCATCAGACATGATATTAGTAAAACTTTCAACTATAATAAGAAACTAATATAATTCGAATACCTTTTTTGCTCTTTTGCTGCAATTACTTCATTCTATTCTATTGCTTATTTCACAATTCCAATCATATTTTATTCAAAGCGACATCTACTCTGTATCTTTATGGTGGCTAATCATAGACGACGAGTGCGATTGTTGCAATCTGATGGTGCCCGAATTCATTTATACTTTAATCGTATGATAATACTTTTTAAAGAAAAATAATGGCTCAACATATAATTTCAACTATAGAAACCAAACGACCTCATGCGTATGAAAATATGATAAATAGTTTTGACACCGATGGTGATGTGAATGACATTACACTTGAACATCTCTCAAGTCCTGAGTTCAATCGTTAGTTATATATTTAGTTTTTGTTAGAAATAAAATAAAAGTAATTTCTTTAAAGAAAAAGACGAACGGGATCAAAAAATAAATAGATCAATTGCTAGAAGTTATAGCAAGTAAAAATGATTAAATCAATTATTTCCATTTTGCTTTGAACTTGATTTGATTCTAGTCACATTTATGAATCACTTTCATATGATATCCGTCGTCAATCTCAAATATCATTAATTAGTGTACAACTACGTAATTTACGTCGAAAATTCAGTGATCGTACCGATGCTATTAAAGAAATTATTCATCAACTACCAGATTATGCAGATAATGCCAGTAAGTATAACTAGAAATACTAATTATATTGATTTTAAATTAAAAGTACTATGCTTTGCTTAAGATGGCAGTATTAGTGTACGTGAAGAAAAAGCGCAAGAGCAACCTCCTATCCGATCAGTATTTGCATCAGATAGCGTAAGTCAAGCTTCAACACCTAGTTTATTGCTAGAAGGCAATGGAATAAAACAACGCTTACAAAGAATCGTACGCCGTTGTCTACGAAAATCTGGTATTCGAAAACCGATTGATACAGATAGTAAGTTAACCATGAAAATAGATGAAAATATTCTACTAATCTGATAAGGTAATGCGCATTTAATTTGGCTGTTATTTGTCGCATTGGCATATCTATATAATTTTATATCGATACCCTTACGTATAGCATTTCCCATATGGAAAAAAGGAGAAACAAATATTTGGTTATGGATGTTAATCGATTATTTATCTGACGTACTTTACTTAATCGATATATTTTTTGTTCAAACAAGAATTAAATATTTAGAAAATGGTCTTTGGATTGTATGTGAGACAAAAAATTTATCATCATACGTTTCTATTTTGTAATTTTTCCATTGTTTTATTTTGTTTAGAAAAATTTTCGTTTAACTGCAATGAAATATTTTCATTCACTACCATTCTTATTTGATTGTTTATCGCTTTTACCATTGGATTTTTTTTATTTTCTTTTCGGCTTTCATGCTATTTTTCGATTATTACGTTTACTTAAAATACGTTCGTTAACAAATTTTTTTCGTTATTGTGATCGTTGGGTACAATCATTTTTTGCTAGTGTGCGACTTGTCAGAATTCTCGCATTGCTCCTCTATGTTATATTATCGGTACATGTATATGCATGTATTTATTTTCTTTTTTCAAATTATGAAATTCAACATGGTGTTGATAATACTTGGGTTTATAAAATAGAACATCAACCACGTATGAGTGCATATTCGTATTCGTTTTATTATTGTTTTAAAATTGCATCTACCATTGGAAATATTCCAAGTCCGGAAACTGGACTTGAATATTTATTTGTCATTGTTGGATATTTATTTGCACTGTTTATATTTGCCTTATTGATTGGACAAATTCGTGATGTATTTCAATCAATGAATCAAAGACGCTTAGCATATCAAAATAAAGTTGAACAAGTTATGCAGTATTTAACAAAATTTGAATTACCAAAAACTTTGCAAGATAGGGTTAGAAATTGGTTTCAGTATAATTGGGAAGATAGAAATACACTAGGTATGAACTATTTATATATGTATATATATGTATATATATATATATATGAAAAGAATTTTCACATCGACTTAAAATTTATTTCTTGTGAGTAGAAGATGATGATGCAACATTATCATTTTTACCTGCTACCCTTCAAACTGAACTTGCTATTAGTATTCATTATGATACTTTGTCAAAAGTGAAATTGTTTCAAGTAAGTTATCGTTTTGTTTCTTCCTATGTCTAAATGTTGTGAATATCTATTCATCTATGTACAGATTTGATATGTTTTGGTACGTACATCATACAGCTTTAGCTTGATTTTCTCTATATACTATTCTTGTTTTATGATATTAACATATTCTTTGAAGATGAAAACTAACTAGAATAAGCTGTGTAAAATTAGTTTTAAGATCTAAGATTTGCCGCTCTAAAATAAATAAACTGATCAAAGTATGAATCGGTGATGGTACCGGCTCGGTTTGAAAAAATCACAAAATGATCCCATCACTGGCACGAATGATTAGCTAAAATCTGATCATCAAACTGTCAAGGTGGTTTTAGCATTAAAATCTAATAAATTCAATTGTAATTTTAGCGTGACAAAAAAAACCCATACTAACTCACATTCATATTTTAGTACTTTGAGAGAAGAACAACATGTAGAAAATATTCTACGTTTATAGCACATAGCTTGATCATTACAGTTACTAATAGATTTTTCTATTAAGATTGCAAAGTAATTATTTAGATTAAAATCATATGAACTTCTAATCACATTAGAAAATAAATGAACCAACATATTTTTAATTAGCACATTTCTACTTATGCTAATCTAATTATAGAAGTAAATTATTTGCAAACCGAAAACAATGAATACATAAGCTAGTTTGAACTGTGCTTCAGTTGATTAAAAATTTTCTGAAAAAGAATTATGTGCATTCTATTTGCATGATATTCTATGTTGTGTCGATTACTGATTCTTATACAGAGAGAGAAAAATTATATATCTGTTGATTACTTCAATAGGATTGCGAGAGAGCATTTCTTCATTCATTGGTACTTAAATTAAAACCAGCATTATTTTTACCAGGTGATTATATATGTAAAAAGGTAACTATACATATATATTTCTAAAAATGAATGAATCTAAAAATTTCCTAAGGGTGAAATTGGCCGAGAAATGTATATTGTTAATCATGGAATTCTTGATGTTTTTATTGATGACAAACGTATAGCTGGTCTTGAAGATGGTGCAGTCTTCGGCGAAATTAGTTTGCTTGAAGTAGCCGGAGGTAACCGACGTACAGCTGATGTAAGTAGCTTCTTTTTGTTTTCGGTGCGAAGATTTGTAATATTTGATTTTATTAAAGGTTATTTCACGCGGTTTTTCAACATTATTTACTTTACATAAAGCAGATTTAAATGAACAATTAAAAGATTTTCCAGAAGCTGGTAAAATTCTTCGTCGAAAAGCAAAGTACATACAATAGAGAAAAGAATAGATCTAAATAAAATTTCTATCCTTTTATCTATTCAAGGATATTAATGAAAGGATCATCCAAACCAGAAGAGGAAGAAGCAGCTCATGATAATGAAGTTGTTCAAGCAGAACCAATTATTGTCGATCATCCACCAAAACCAGATCCTAGACTGCTCGATACGGTTTTGAAAGTAATTAATTGAAAAACAAAAAAAAGGTGCAATTTCTCATCATTAACATTTTGCGATATTTATCCATAGGCCGTTGGTACGAATTCAAAATTAGTGGAAGTATTAAACCGACCTCGACCAAGTTGTCTATATGAACCACTTTCAATAAAAGTTCCTGATATTACTATAAGTAAGTATATTACAGTTACTAATTGAATATTTCTCATCAAATATATAGTAGCAAAACGTAATGAACCAATTCGAACTTCTACTGAAAGTGATCAAAATATAAATCTTGTAATACCAACGTTAACAGTAACACCAGTTGATGCAACTACAGCACGAATTCAAACTCTTCGCCAAAGATTGTTTTCAATTCCATTACAGTAATTTTTCAAGTTTTTTCTTTTTTTTAATACTATTGGACACATCATTGTTACTTTCTTTAGAAATCTACCATCAGCTATGCAATATTTAAACGAAGAGGACGATTTACTGATTAATCGTACGCTACCAACATCAGAAACAACTGTAACATTAGTGTTTGATGATGACCTTGTTTAAATCGCTTTATTTTTGTTCGTAATTCAACAAAATAGATAAATGTTTAGATTAGAATGATCTTCATATATGATTTGTTATTAAAACAGTCATTGCAGTTATATGAAACAATGGTAACTTGACAATCATGAGAGTGTTTAGAAAACTTCTTTCGAAGAAGCGAGTACAGAAAGGAGTGGGATCAATTCATTTTTTCCGTGCCTATTAAAATTTTAATCATGTTTCTCACGTATTAGGAAAGATTTAGATTTTAAGATGAAAATATATTAATAATCATATATTGTAGCATGCAAAGCTAATTAAACATTTGAATCAATCAGTAATAATGTATTCTAAATTTGTACGTGAAAGATCAAACCAGCTAATACCAAGATTTTTGCTTGTAGATTAATAATTACATTTCGATGAAAATATTTAAAAAGTGTCTCTGTTGTCTTTATTATAAGAATGTTACTTATCTCGGCAATGCGTGTTCCTATCCAAACAATAATGCCAATTGTTTTCATTCATTGATTTTTTCTCTCTTCACGGAGTAGACATCAAATTTTCATTTTTACTATCAAATCTCTTCTACATGAATACTACTAACATTGACGTCCAATATTTTCTTTTGAGAAATGTGTGTTATCATTACTTTTCTAGTAAAACATTTATTGAAAATTTTCATAAATCATATTCTAGTTCTACATAATATCAATCTGCAACTTTGCTTGCTAAAAATACATAGGTATCTAATATAAAAAGAAGTTATCAACTGCAGCATTCATAAAGAAAAAACGATCATTTATACAATGCGCACAACAAGTTCTTCACTATTAGTTCTGTGAAAATAAGTTTAATTGTTTTAGAACGATATTTATACAAACAAGTTCTAACTATTTAAAATTAATCATCTATATTGAGTCTGTAGTTTGTATAGAAGATTACAATTCTTTTCTTGGCGTTTTTCACGATGAAAATGAACAGTTAAATCAAAACTTGTCCCATTAGAATATTTGTTCTGTAAAGTATTTGCCTAGTCAATGATTCATCAAATAAATTAAAAAAATCTGAAAATGAATTGACGATGCGATCTCGTTTCATCAATTTTTTCGACCTATCGTTTTCATGAAACACAAAAAGAGATCATTCGTTTGATTTTTTTACATCCAATCACTAAATTTAAGATATCTAGAACATTACATGCTTCATTAGTGTGTAGTCGATAATAGAAATCAGCATTGAGAGTGCTTGAAAAAGCAATAAGAGTCATTCTGTTCGAACTTTATTCATACAAAAAACACTAGGAAATTTTCTTTCGAACGTAGCACTTTTTGATGTTCATTCTATATCAAATATATACATGAATATATTAGTGCACGATTCGTTTGAATTACTCTCGTAATAGTCGAATGCATGCATCATTTTTATTTCATGAGTTGATATGATAGAATGAAACAGTGTCGAGAATATAATTGTAAAAGTAATGCATACAACGAACTTTATTCTTGATGAAAAAAATATGGCATCGTATTCAAACAGAAGAAAAATACTTGTTCGAAAAGGAAAAAATGTTTTATTGCATTTTCCCCATATTGACATTCGAATAATCTTCAGTAAGTACGAATATAAATTTACATGATTCACAGCATAGAAAATAATAATTGCTTGTAACACTCAAATGTGCTTGAGTATATAAAGTAATGGTATATAAAACGAAAATATTTATTTTAAGCTCGTTTCAGTTAAGTCTCAATACAATTTATTATGAAAACAATCTAATGTATATCGTTATATATATACAGAAGACTTGCTTTTTTGCCAATATAAAGTCGTAAAGTTTTTAATTGTTATGCAGTTTTCATTACGAGTCTAAACAAAAATTTATTTTAAAATCATTTGAATTTGATTTGTATATAATAATCAAGTGTTACAAATCAGAACAAAAAATCACATATGTTCTATTTATAGTTACGGAGTTTCTTTTTAGTATTGAAGATACATGTTATTGTTAGCAGTAAAAAATCACAAAGTATTTCGTTTATTTTCTTGACAGTGTATCAAGAACGAAAATCCTCTTTTTTTATGTTGTCTAATAATCCTATAACTATGCTAATACTTAGTAAAATGTCATCAGCTGAAACAATGAATTATTTATCTAGCGATCAACTTGTAACTGAATCCATCAAAAAGATTTCATTTCAAAAGTCCAACGTAGAAATATTACATATTTTATCAATAAAAATTTTTGTTCGATTTTTCGAAACGACGTATCAAATTTTCATTAGAGTTTCAATATAAAACATCGGTTTCGTGTAATTTCGGAATTGTAGCACGAAAAATTTTTGTTTCTAACTATTAGAAATAATTATCGGATATATGTACTTGAAATACGTCCGATAACCATTCAAAAACGTTCTATAATATTCAATAAACTAGATAGGTATATCTATGGAAAAATCCTCTACAGTCGACTAGTATATAGAAATTCTCAGGGCATAGTATGTTAGCTGCCGTGTGTTAATAAAATAGTAGAGAAATATAGCAACATGTGTAATAGTCTCAAGAGATATTTCTTCGATTTTGAACTTGTTTTTAAATTTTTTATCTGTAATTTGAAATTTGAGACTTGAATTCAGAGAGTAGTTCCATTTTATTTGGATATCTTTGAACTCGCTCAAATGTCACCTAGTGATGATATTCAAGAAATTCCTACTTCATACGTCGGAGTATTATTATAAAAATCAAACTTCATGTCTTAATTAACCACTGTCGGTAGATATTTAATCCAAGCGAATCCTTAATCTGATGTGAATCAACAAACTTAAATATTCATCAAATGCTCTTTTATTCTATTTTTTTTATAACAATTACAATTATACTGCATTGAAACGAGATGAATTTCTTTTAATAAATATATCAAGTTCAATAATATGACCGAAAAAAAAGTGTTATATACAAGTTTGATTTTTACGAAGAACTTCATCACAAAGTCTTTTGTATACGCATTGTATTTACATACGATATGGGCCCCGGTTATAATTATCATAATATCCCCATCTCTGTAAAGGTGCTCCATTGCCATCATAAAATACATCGGATAGAATTCGAATCCAATCTATTAGCCACCATATAACTGATGCTGTAGTAAATATAGCAGTGATGAAACTACTAATAGAAATATATTTACGTGACTTTGCTTCTCTATTTGCGAATGTAAACGGCCACCCAATACAACATCCTAATGAAATGAGTAACTTAATAATACCAGCTACAATATATCCAGCATTTCCTCTTGATAAATAAAACCAATCAATACCGAGTGTACCAACAAAAAATGAAAGAAGAAATGCTGTTAATTTCGATCGTTGCTGATAAGAACATGCTTCCATATAATGCCATGTAGTATAGCCATAATAACATTGACACATATAGGCTTGACAAAAGCCAAAACCACATTCATTATCATAAGTACACCAGCGTCCCCATCGGCGTGCCTGAGCTAAAGAACCTAAATGAACGTTTCCTGGTCTAGGCACAAAGTGTCTTTGTCCACCACTAGTTGCAAAAACCAGAAGAACGACATTCACAAGAACAGTAAAGTAAATAGTCATGCGCATGTTGCCTGCAGGTAAAATATTGTTGATCGAGAGTGAAGAAAAAGAAAAAAAACGTACGATAGAATGAATCTATCGGTTTTGCGACGAATTTTTTTCCTTCCGCTTGATTCTTTTCTTTTTATACCAATCAATTGATATGAAAGATTTTTTCTTTCTCTGTTTCTTTCGATAAAATTCATGGTGACTTTATTCTCGCATATTGCCTCCCATCCATACGCAAAAGTTTATTTGTTACACCCTTCTTACATACACAGAAAAAAACGTGTCAATGTCAGTCAAACAATTGAAAACAAACTCAAAATCTAGAAAAATCACCTAATGAAAAGAAAATACATGAAAGCTTTATATTTTAGCTGATTTAATTGTTTAAAAATATTGTTTTGATTGCTTTGGCTCTGTTGCTACTTTGATAGTCTTGATGAACTTAAATATTTATGGTAACTGCTAGTTGTTCAGATAAATGGTAATGGATGATGAATGATGTATGGTTATATTCATAATGTCAGAGACCTTCTAAATATGCTTGTGAAAATATAGGAATCAAATCTTTTTTCAATGAAAGTATATGATTAAATAGTATTTCTCTATGCTTTGTTCAGTGCATGCTGTGTTGGCCTTTAGCATGAAGATTTAGTTTCAATGAGCAACACTCATCTTGGAATTGAATAACAAGTATTAATGGCAAAGATCGAAAACATTTTTTGTTTTTACTCGATGACGTGTCTTTAGTATTGAAGATCATTGTGTTAATAGGAAATTGATGAATAGTTTAATAGTAAAATATAAATGATTTCTCAGATTATTTGCAGCATATTTTGTATGTAGATATACCAAAATTTTAAGCCACACATATTGCAATGCGAATCGTTGATCTGATAAAATTAAAAACAGCATCTTCTTATTCTTGCTTCTATGAATCTTTATTGTGACACTGTATAATTCATAAATTATATTTTTTCAAATAGTGTATTAAACAAATTGTATACGAAATCGGCACTGTTTATCTTTTAGTTAAAGAGTCAATCTATTGATCAAAAATCAAACTCAATGTAATGCATCTCAATTGTGATGTTTGCTAATAAAATCTTTCAATGCTTCTATTATTGCTTTAGTATTTCAACTACGAATATTGTTCACAATCAAAATTTCTTTGTTACACAACTATTTTTGCATTTCATAGTGCCGCCAAATTGCATTATCAATATTTGAGAATTCGTCTCCCTCTTTATACTTTATTGATGACAATCGAAGAAGCATCAAAATTCTAAAAGAAGAAATCTGATCCATGTAAGAGTATAATGTTTTGTAAGGTATCTATACGAATATACACCTTTTAAACATATAGCTAAGTAAACATAGGTTCAGATTGTTTCCTCGTTATTTGTCAATAAAAATAGATACTGTCTCTTGAAAGTATTCTTCTTTGTACTATCGTAGGAGCACCAAAATTTCAATGTGAGAAGTTGGTTTTCTTTCATCGATCAACTACTTTTTGATTATTTTTCATTTCACCTGAGTAGTCTTGAATAAAAATAAATTGGTTGTATTATATTCAGTGAAAAATATTCGCTGATTTCAATTAAATTATTGTGCAACAAAATCCAATCCGCAATCCGATTGATAGTTTTGATTTTAATCGATCACCATTTAACCCAAACGTGATGTTATTGCTAGTCCAGTGGAAATTAGTTTGATTAAAATCTGATTGTTCTGTAGCACAATTCACATTATCAATCGCTTGACAATGTGAATTTTACTGGAAAACAATCCGATTTCAATCAAACTAATTTCCACCGGGCTAGCAATAGCATTAAAATTGGGTTGAATGGTGGTCGATTAAAATCAAAATTATCAATCGGATTGCAGATTGGATTTTGTTGCACAATAATTTAATTGAAATCAGTGAATATTTATCACTGGGTACTCCATTTCTATGAAGAATTTTATGAATATGTAACGAAAATAGTTTAGATATCTTAACTAAAATTAATTTGACAATTATACAGAAATTAGATAAATTTTGTCATCAATTAATAAAGATTTTTTATCAATCTCCTACAGTTCGGTTAACAAAAACCAACCTTGTATCGAAACTTTTAATGAAAAAAGATGATAAAATAACAGCTGTACAACCCATATTATTCTACGTCAGCTCTTGTTTTCATACATCAATTCTAAATCATACTATCAGAAACCAAAATAAAGTGAGATAACGCATTTCTCTCTCTCTATCTCTCTGTTATTTCTTAGTTTTACAAGCTATGAATGTTTACTGCAGAAAAAGGCTCCGTTAAATTTATAATTACTTAAATTTAACCAAAATGTGATGAATAAATTTAAATGAGGTATTTTTGGACGATAATACGACACGATGTACAAATGAATGAAGTTTTTTTTCTTATTACTAATTCTGTTATCGAAAAGCAATATTTTATTTATTTCTTATAATTCAATCTCGTTTTACAAATGGATATTCATTCTACGTATTTGATGTTCTTATACATATTTACTTATTAAACTTTAAAAGAAATTTCATCAGAATCATCTTAGTAATTTATTCAAATCGTATTATATTGATCAATTTCAAACTATTCAAACCATCGAATATTAACATTTCAGAAAAATAGCACTCAAAATATAAGGTTAATTTTGGTTAGATCAGATACAATAAACTAGCGGTCAATATCAAAAGTGCACAATGGATTTAATAATAACAAGATAAATTGTAAGTTTCAAATATAGTTTGTAGGGGCATGTTTCACTATATTTACATGTATTATAACCTTTCTCACACAAAAATACTCTCGAAATCTTTCGCGTGATACGAGTTACTGACTGTATTAATTAAACTCTCTTTTTGCCATTATGAATGAATCCGTTCATCAGCATAGGGAAGCTAACGGCAAATAAAAAAGATGATGTGAACTCTAGGAATACGAAATGCCTATACTTCTAATAAGAGATCAAGCTTGTTTTTAGTTTTGATCTGAAAGTGTTCTCCTGGCGTCTGATTGATTGTTCATTTTGAATGATTCTATTTTCGACAGAATGAGTATATCGTACGAAAAAAATACGTATGTATATAATTATATCATGTAATACTTCATTGAGAAACATTCATATTAAATTCATAAGACAAAAACTTACACAAGCCTTTTATAATTATATTACTTCATTCTCTGAATAGGACTTCGAAGGAAACAAGTTTTAATACTACAGATTAATATTACTATTGAATGCTGATATTGCGAATAGAAAACAAAATATTTGATGTATCTTAAATAAATGCAAAGATACAATAAAGCGAAACTTTTATGTCAAGCGTTTCCAACTATAAACCAGATACAATGTGTATATCGATCAAAAATTGAACTCTGTAAGAGTACCTTATCGTTATTTTATAATCTTCTGATAAATTTACTAATATATCATATAGCTCACTATATGTTATCGATTTATAAGAATTGATTGCGTATAAATCTTTATATACTGCATTATCTATCATAAAAATTTTATCACATATGAACTCGTCGCAAAAACGTATTTGAGTGAACATATTTTTTCCGAAATCAAGAGCACTGCGCCAGAAAACGTTAAAAATACAAATTAGTACTGAGCAATTTTTCTTACCATATTTTGATTGATGACTGAAAACAATGGAATATGCAAAATCAGCGCAAAAACTAGCATCCAAAAAGTCACATTTCACTAAAAAAATATTTTACACATAAGAAACACCTACTTTCTATGAGCCCCCATCGTCCGATAGTACATGTAAAATATAATTTGCTCGATGGCAATTTTTGCACTGATTCTGCACGTATCATTTATTCTAGTCGCAGATCAAAATATCGTAAGCAAAATCGCTCAGTATAACATTATGCTTCAAAGCTTTCTGAAGCATTACGATTGATTTCGGAAAAAATAGGATTACTTCAAGAAAGAAAGAAGCTTATCCGAAATCGATTTGTGACCTTTTTGGTTTACATAACAGTTATTTAAATATGGTCTTGCGAAGAGCTGATATGTTTGGACCGTAACTCATTGGAGACTGCAAGGCTTATCTGTAACGTTAATTATTTCAGGCTGATAAGGAACCTATTTTATTTTTTATTCAGCTCAATTGTGTGTTTGTACATCTGAATTGTGCATAATCTTAGAAAGAAAAATATTTCGGCAACATGAAACGAATGCTAAATTTAACAAAATAACAATAGATCGAACATGTTTCAAAACTGGGATTTTTTTAAATTTTGTTTTGTAGTAAAACATTTGTTCTGAAATTGTTTTAATACAGATTAGTCAGACAATTATAAAATAATAACGACGTGGATAATTCGGCAAGCTGTGTGCAACCGTGATATAATATTGGCGAAAAAAAGTTTCTTAAATTTGAAACTGTTGATGCTTTAAAACGTTAAGCAAAACATGAATCTTTATTAATAGAAACAAATGAAATTCTGAAAAAAAATAATATTTTATTAGGAATGTCTAGTTTAAAATTGATTACTATAGCTAAACTTGAACTCATTCTTTGCTTTTGTTGCTGTTGTTTCAAAACAAGAGAAGATTTTACAACCATTGTAGTACGTAAATACGTTTCGTTCTTAGAGACGACCGAAGATTTTATCAATTCTCTTACGAAATTACTTAATTGATAAACAAAAATAGCTTAACTTATTCAATCCGTTCAACGCACTATAAATAAAAGAAATCAGAACTCATTCATTTATGATATTTTTCAACCAATGAAGATTTTTCAACCAATGAAAAATTTTCATCAACAAATATTTCCGTAGTTTTCAAGATATTGTTAAATGTTTAATTTGCTTTATTTTCACAGGAGAAATTCAAAAGAACGAAGTAACTTTTAATAGATATTTAAAATATCAATTCAAACGGGCTTCGTTAGTTCATCATCATGATTCCGTGCGATTGTCAAAGAAGAAGATGTTGTTTATAAGAAAATCTACATAAGTGCGTTGCTGATTAAAGATCACCCGAGATATATATATACAGAGAGTGAGTGACAGAAAGAAAGAACATATTCACCTATCGACATAGGTTATTCGAAAAGTTTGCCCTTTGAATTTGTTCGTACGACAATGAAATATAATCTAAATAAAGTAAGAAAAACAATCTATTTCATAAATTTTTTTTTAAGTGACACTTTTTAGAATAAGTAAAGAAAAGAAACAAGAAGTATACGAGCAAGAGTTTGATTATTCTTTTTTTTTCTCATTTTTTTTTCATTGAAATAAAATTGCTTGTTGTTCTCAAGTGGTTGATCGTCTTCTTTTTTTCTTTTTACTCGTTTGTTGCTGAGGGAAAAATTGAACGGACATATGTTTTTTCCTACACTAATGTGCTCAACACACCCGATCTTTCCTGCTGAGTGGGTGGTACTCATTAATTCGCTCCTTTGTCGTTTTCAAATGAGCAAGTAGAAACGAGAATATTAAAAAAAGAAAACGAGAAGTGATGATGGTTAGAGTCTCAATATATACTATCCATGCCTTTCTCACTATTACCGAAATGATTCAATCCAATGACACTAATTGCTTCTTTTCATAGTTAGATTATGCGTACAAAAATAATATCAAGTGGGTGACACGTCGTCTCATAGCAGTAGATCACCTATCAGTCTAGTTTAATGAGCGAATATTCGATCTTTTCTACCTGTGCATGTGCATGTGTTGACAAACACGTATCACGCACCATAGGGAGCTCATCAAAGCAGTTCGCCTGATTTGTTCTAAACACTCGTTATAACAATAGACTAACAGTTGGCTTACATCGATTCAGTATGTTCATTTTTTCTCTATCCGAATATCTATCGGAGTAAAATCAGAGATGGGATTTATCAATGTGTACCGTTACATCATATCAATCAAATAAAAGAAAGAAGCGGTTGACTTTCTTTGTTAATAACAAATGTTTGCCGCCATCTCTTGTTACTCAATTCGACCATATCGTCAAGTGTCATTCAATAAACGAAAAAGACTTAAATCAACACATACATATCTATCGTAGCGTCCCGCGACAAATTTCTTTCTTGCATAATTACTTTTTAGCAGCGGTAGCAATACATATTCGAACAATATGTGCATGTGTCCACAACTCCAATGCTCGTTCAAGTATGCCTCAACTACTTGAGGAAAGAGAAGGATCAAACGAGAAAACATTAAACTGTTAAGAAGAAACGAAAGTGACTTGTATTCTGTGATCTTGTTTGAATGAGAGTGTATAATATATGTGTATGTGTGTATTTTTTTTGATAGAATGATCATCGGCCAGTAAACATAATAGATGGATAGTGTCAAGTTTGAAAAAGTACCGGCACGTGCATATTTACGAAGAATAATTCATCAATCTGATCTGATTTGTAAACAAAAATTTCGAAAAAGTACAATTCTTACTGTGAGAAGATAAATCATTATCTTTTTGCCTAATAAATATTAACGATGAATTGTGTTTTGTATTAATTTCCTAAAACAGGAAAAATTTCACTTGTATTCAAGATAAATTAACTAAGAAGATTGTTGTTTTTTCATCTTCAATTCTAAACCAAAATTTAGTTATTCATATTTGATTCGAGAAGTTCCAATTCTGTGTGTACTTGTATAGCATTATTACATTTACAAGAATAACTACTGTTGTTCATTTACATTCAATTAACAAGGAAAAAAGAACCATGAACTCTTGTTCTATGTGTTATCAAGATAATATGTACCTATCTAATTTCGGAGTTTATACTATTTCTCGCTATTGATGACTTGATTATTCAAAATAACACAAAGCAATTTGTTTCATTTTCTCGCGTGATAGGTGATAAACGAAAATGATGCGAGAGAGATAACAATAGAAATGAAGAACGATGATGATGAAGCGTGGCAAAGGCGGCACACTTTGTCATGTAGACAGGTAAGCAAGTGTCAGACGATCGCCTGTATATACAGTATCAATACATGGATGTATATCATTTTATGGCTCTTTTGTATTCTTTAGACAAATCAAAGCAACAATCGTCCACGATTCTGTTCAATCGATCACATCTGTCGCCTACCTTTACTGATCAAATCGAGACCAATAAGCATGTGTTTCTCTATTTTGTTCATTGGTCAATCATGTACACTCATTGAGCATTCTTTTTTTCTCTTTCTCTGTTTTTCCTCTTTCCTACAGTTTTTCAAAAACAAAAAAAAAATTGAACCAATCATAAAATGAAGCTAGCTCGCATTTTCTTCTTTTCTCTTTTTAGTCGCTCGTTGATGTGTAAAATTATTTTACAATCTTTTCAAATCAAGCAAATACATGGAAATTAGTAGCAAGAAGCGATCAGCAAATCTTCTTACTCATGATAATCATAGTTTAAGTTTAATGAATCAAACCAAAAAGAAAAAGAAAATATCATCATCATCATCATTAAGCATAAATGAATCGCCGATTGCTGGCACACGAATTACTGATTGGGAAGAATATGAAAAATGGAAAGAAGTACGTGGTGATATTGAACCTACAATGAATTATGTTGAAATAACAACAGAGGCTATTGATGAATTACGTAAAGTAAAAAATATTATTGGTGATTATGTTTGTCAATTATGTAAAGTAAAATATGAAAATGCTTTTGCACTTGCTATGCACAAATGTCCACGCGTTGTGCATATTGAATTTCGGTATGTATATATTTATTAAGGGAAACTTTTGAAGAGACAATAATAGGATTTTTTATCTTATTTTAGTTGTCCAGAGTGTGACAAAACGTTTAATTGTCCTGCCAATTTAGCATCGCATCGTCGATGGCACAAACCGCAAACATCACTATCTTCCAAGGAACCAGCACCAGTGCCATCATCATCATCGTCGTCATCATCATCATCGTCGTCGTCGTCGTCACCAAATCAAAAACTAATAACAAATAAACATCCAAGATATTCATCGCGTTCTGATTCGCGTTCAACAAACACTTCTTCATCTATAGTTTCAGATGCTATTCATGCATATCCATCTGTGCCAACATCAACATCATCATCAAATACAGACACGAGAAAAAAAGATTGTTTTGACGCGAATGAAACACAAAAGAAATCTTCTGATCATGTATTACGAGCTATGTATAATGAAAGTTCTCACTGGATGGTACCTCCATCGTATCAACCATTTACAGCGTTACACATGAAACCACCATTGACTTTTCGACATAATCGATCTGTACCATTGTCAATTCCATCATCACCATTTGATTTTCGTCGATTACAATCATCGTGTATTTTTTGTCACGAACAATTTTCTGAACTTAATCAATTACTTCAACATATTCGAAAAAATCATGCAGTATCATCTAGTACAAATACTAAAAATACTACTGTAAAACTAGACAAAATAGTCTTTTAAAATAAAGAAACAATCGAGTAGTGCATTAAAACAAAATAAAGATCATCTTTTTTCTTCAAAATACTTACAATTTAGTTTTCAGATCTATCCAAGTTTCATGGCAATGTAAAACTGTATAATCTACTGATATCCAATATGTACAAATGATACATGATAAGTTATTTCGATTCAGTGCATCATGATGATAGACTTTAACTGAAAAAATCAGACAACATTGCATAAATACAAAAAAATAGGTTGCTACTGAATTGAAAAAAAAAGCTTCCTAAATCAATGACTTACATTGACGATTGGACTGATGACAAAGACTACTTTTTCAAACGGAAGGATGATGATAAGGGCAAAAGAATGTTCACATGTGCATTATGCACAAGGGAGAACTACCATATATCATCATCAATTTTAAACATCTATGAACTATTATTTGGGCAAATGCAAAAATCTGCAGTGATAATGGTGTACAATTATAGATTTTTGATTGAATATGAAAGAAAAGCAAACCTTATCATTTTTAATTTCAACAGATTATTATTAGCGAGAAAAAAATATCATTTTCTATAGGGAAAACGATTTAGAATAATGTACTACTACTGGTATACTCTCTCTGAGTTAAAAATAAACTGAAACGTTTAGCACGAATGGAGGAGCTACTTAAGAGATATTTTAATATTACAAGTATAGCTACTATAATGAATTGAAAGCATATCGAAGTTCAATATTTTTCATTACATATCATATTATAGAGAACAGTAAGTGTGACATTTTACCATAGATATACTATCGGTCAGTCTCTCTTTTCATGCTAATGAAAATTCATTATAATATTTTATTACTGAGCTAGTATCAACTATATAGTAGATTCAGCAATTGTATCTGTGAGCGTAAGTTAATGAGTCTAATTTCGTAGGACACTTCGAAATGTGTCGAGTGATGTTTTAAGAAGTTTGGCGTTTTCAAGCACGGCAGACAAAAATTTCTAGATAAGATTAATCCCGTTGAATATTCCATCCTATACAAAAACAAAAAGCTGAATTTAGCAGTGGTGCTGCTACACTAGATTCTTGTCTTTCAGATGAAAGTGCATAACAAGAAATCTCTGAATTGAAATGCCATTTTCTTGACAAGAACGAATTTAAATAGTAAAAGATTCATTTTTTTATACATTATAGTAGAATATTATATCTATATTATCTTTTCCAATATTTTTGAGAAATTTTTCTTTTATGGTTAATATCGTATTGATAATAATAGTGTGAGAAATGTAGCCCGTAATTTACTGTAAAATATGATAAAAACTTTCTGAACTTTAGTCTCTTTTCAGCAAAATATTGCCTTGTTGCAAATTCTTTCCTGTATACTGCTCTGATTCCTTTCAATAGATCAATTGAAAAAATAAAACTAATTTTGATTTTTGAGATGAACCATTGTTCCTATCAAGATCATGATGAGAAAAGTTTATGTTAAATATCTCACGTCAGATCGTAAGGTAGCTTCTTTCCAAAAATGTGAACACATGAAAAATCAGACGAATTGAATAGGCTCACAAAAACAAATTATGAAAAACATAAGTCTAAACTAGTTGAAATTTTTTGAATTCAGAAATTTCCTGTCCTATAGCTTCATTTGAAATACAATAGTGTAGGATTAGAATGAACTTGAACAAGCTAAATTTCTTAAAAACATCACTCAATGAATTTTGATGTGTCCTTTCAAATCAGACTACTTTCAAACGAATTATTTCATCACATTGATGCAAATAAATTATTTAATCTCAACAGTTACAATTGCTGTATTTGTGGTACAGATGCTACTAGACAAAGAAACTAACAAAGAGCTCATCAGATCTAATGTTTAAACATTTTTTCTTGATTATCAATGTCATGATAGAAAGAGTATCTATCCTGTACTTATTTCATAATAGAGAAAATGTGCAGAGACTTTTTCTAACCATATTCCATGCAAATCAAACCAATAGTAGTTATATGAAGTAGTAGGAAATCATCATTGGACAATCGACATAAATGCATTCGAAAAGACCTCCATGTAACTTAAGAAATTTAATACAAAACCGTGTGGTATTTTTAGGGAAACTTTGATGTTGAGCTCTACTAAACGGATCCCGAGGATTTACTGATCAATGAATCACCACCTTCGTGCTTCACATAATAGTTTCTTCACAAAAGAATTTAACTTTAATAAATTTTTATTTGAACGGATATAGAACATTAATCGTTCTTAGTCGTAAGCCATTTTCTAGTCTTTTAAATTGTTATTCATTGTCAAACCGTTTCTTATTTAATCTTAATTTATAAATAGGCAAATTCATCTATCAGGAATATTAAAAATCGACTTTTTTTTCATGTCCTTACTCAACTCTATTTTGCATGGTAAAGTAATTGCATAGTACATCTCTATTCAACATTCAATAGTCAAAAACACAGCATGAGTAAAAATATGACAACTGTATACATTCTATGTTAATCATTATAATGTTTTTGTGCATTTATGCTCGTCAAAATCGTAAGGTTGATGTGTTTTTTCAAAGATGAAATAAATATAGATTTTAAATTTATACATATTATCACAATATTGATGTAAATTTGAAGCTCAATGATCAAAATATTAGACCAAAAAATTTAGAAAGTCATTTCTAATTTAATTAGAAAACATTAATCGTTTTAAACTACAATCGACAAGCAAAAGATTGCTTAGGAAGAAATGTCATTACAATGAAATGACTAGCTGCAAGTGAAATAGGAGTTTGATGTTTAAATAGTAAATATTATTTAATTTTTTTTCTAAATATTTTGAGAAGAAATTTTTGCGGACAGCAAGCAAGTAGAAACATAGGGTAGAATATTTTTGCAAGTAAAAAAACATAGAGCAGTAAATTAGTCATACTATTAAGTAATCTTTATACCAATAATGTAGCTATATAAATTTCATAGACATATGAATTTAAAAAGTTTATTTTCGCAAACAAAACTTGAACTTGTTTAGTAAATACAATAGAATCGACTCAGCTGATGGTTTTAAAGAAACGCCATGTTAAAAGCAAATAATACATATATGCGACTTTGATTGGTCTTATAAAGCATTATCCTCGTAGAAGTAATAATATTCTCTATGACGATTGTGCTGCCTATAAATATGCATTTATCCAGTCGTAGTTTTTCTTTGATCTAACAATTAGTTAATATGCAAGACAAAATGTCATAAAGCTTTTATTCTGTTTTTTCGTCTTTTCTTTATGTGCATTGACAGAGACTGAGTAAGAAAGAGAGCAATAGAAAAAAAATCAGGGTAGTCATTATTTACATCTGATTCAGCATTGAATTGTCGTTGCTATCGTCGCCGCGTTTTCGAACAAAATAACTTTTAAAATAAAAAGGAACTGTTTCTTTATTAGTCAAACTTCTATTTATGTGATCGATAAATCTCATGGGAGAAAGCTCGAATATAACTGAAACCATAAGCGAATTCTATTATGCTTGCCGTAATAATGACATTGCAACGGTACGTCGTTTATTAGATGAATATTCATTAGAAGATTTAGATAAAATGGAACCTAATGGAAGTACAGCTTTACATGCTGCTTGTTATTATAAGAATATTGATATTGTCAAATTATTACTTGATGCAGGTTTTACTCGACGTGTTATTAATAAATACAAATATATGCCATTTCAAGAAAGTGACAGTGAAGAAGTTCATCGGCTATTTGTACGTCCTAAAACATCGAATCGATTTGGTGGAGATATTTCATACGAACAAGAGAAACGCTTGTGGTTTATTATTGATGGAAATGAACAAAATGTTATTCATAATCGTTTGCCAGATACATATAAAGGCAATCGTTTAGAATATGGTACGTTTCATGGTGATAAAATTCTTCAACAATTAGATAATTATAATATGTCTAAGGTTGGTGTTATTCGACGTCTTTTTCATCGAGCAATCAATGAAAAGGATTGTACGCGTTTAGTTCAAGCTTATACTACTGATACAGATTTTTTTAATATTGTAAATGATTATTTAGTAACAAAAATAGAACAAAATGAAAACAATAGTAATAATCCACGATATGTTTTATCAGAATTTATTGATACAATTTATTGTAATCATCAATTACATCAAAGATATTCGTTTACAGGAAAATGTTATCGTAGTATGAAAATAAAATCTGCCAATGATCTTAATCTTTATAAGATTGGTGCTAAACTAATAAATCGATCATTTATATCGACAACAAAGGATCGAACATTTGCTGAAAAATATGTCAGCGATCGAAATGCAGAAAAAAAATACGCAGCTATTGTTTCATTCGAAATTCGTTACTTCAATACGGCATTAGATATTGAGAATATATCCGAATTTCCGCACGAAAAAGAAGTATTAATGATGAATGATAAAATATTTAAAGTAATAAATATTACAATGAAAAATAACTTTGATGTGGAAATTGAGCTACGTGAATCAAAATCAGCAAAAGTCGATCCAAAAGCAAAGCAAAGTACATTTTTAGGGTTTCTTCATTGGAACTAGTTTTATTTTTGTATACATACCTGCAATAAACGCACATGGACAGGAAAGAAAACAATTTCTTGTAAAATGATGAAATTATTGGTATTTCAAATATTTCAATAAATGTATGTTAAGTCATTGACTATTAGCTGTCTAATATTCGATTTGGCAATGGACGATTAGAAAAATGATAAATCTCTATTTTTTAATTGTACTTAAACAAAAATAATCAAATAATTAAATTTAACATCATAACAATTCAAGATCGAGTACGCTTATTCAACAGTCAAACGAATTCATAATGAAAATAAGATTTATTTCAACTAGCTTAAATTCAATTTAATGCACGAAACTTTCGCGGAGTTAACTCATTTTTTTATTCGTAATGTTTTTGAAATATTGTTATAAAACGAAATCAATAATTTTAATGTCAGGATTAATGAATTTTCGAAAGGCTTCAGATGTAAAGAAATCATTTTCAGTCAGTGGATTCGAACAGTACAATTCAATGATACATAAAATACTTGAATACATGTAGTTCTAGTTGGATTCAACCGCAACCAGACAGAGCTAGTCATAGGGCTCTTACTTCAACAACTTGATGAAATTTATTCGAAATCGGGCTTTCTTTCATGGCCAAGACAAGCCTATAGTAATTGATGTGCACACCGTTTGTTATAAAAATAAAACAGTAAAAATATCTTGTATATGATAGACATAGATAAAAATATGTTGTAAAAGTTTCTTGACATAATTAAAAATATGATTATTGGATTGCTAAATTCAAGCGATCAAGTCACCTTTTAGTGATAAGCATCATATTACAGTCTATATCAACATATTCATATATTACTTCTCATTTTTATATTTGCACAGTAAATTAGAAGGTTTGCAATGCAAAAGGTTTTTTTTCTCTTATTTTGTATTCAAGAGAAAAGAGAAAATAAGATACATGTGCATAGCCATGATTGGTATAGAACAAAAAAAAATGTTATAGCACATACTATTTTATATTTCACTTATATACCTATATTTCTATTGTATAGAATAGATAAAAAATGTCTATTGATATGCTAACTAGTAATGAAATATATTTTTTTAATTCTATTAAATATTATTAACAAGCAAATAAAAAAATAACTGAATCATAAAAAAAAATTACAAAAAGAAATCGTTTCACACAGTAAGAATCATTTGAAAAAAAGACAAATTTTAACACCATCATACAACCGGATCAACTATGATAGCTTCATCACATAATATAAAATAACCACGGTAATGTATTTCTTTAGGTGTTACATCAAAATGATAATGTCCAGACTGTCCATGATCACTAAAAAAATGTGAATGTTCTAAACGAAAACCAGCATTATTGATATCATCAGTTAATAAAACAGATAAACAATTTAACGGTGCAGACATATCATAAAATTTTAACCATTGATCAACTTGTTGTTTTCCCAGTAAATCTTCATTGACAAAATCTGGCATAACATGTGCTTTGACTGCACCTTTTTCAATACGGAAGATTCCTCCAAGAGCCATTGGTTCCTTAGAATATTGTTTTAAACTACGTCTTATAGTTGAAATGAAATTATTTTCTTCTTCATTATCATCAAATAAACGTTCTTGAACATCGATTTCAACTAAAATTGTTGATTTAGTACGATCAATTGATGATATCATCACATGTTGAAATGGGCCACATGTTTTTATTTGATATAAACTTTGGCATGGCTGTTCTCCTTGCGTTACTATTGAACTGTATGAACGTTGTGTAATGACTTTATTGTATTGATCAAGAGTCATATTGAATACAAGTTCGCCATTAGTATTAAGATATGTTCCATCAGCAGCACCTGGTCCAATGACAAGTGTTTCTTTATTATTAATATGTAATTGATCAAGCACACTTGACATATCAAAACGTATTGAATGACCATGTTGAAATTCAACATTTTTTGCTCCACCTATTCATACAATCGAAATTAAATCGATCAATTTTTGCAAAATAATTGAACAATTTACCTAATTGACAAAACATTCCATTTGTTCCGAGACTTGATCCTGCTAAATTCCAAGGTTCAGCAGATAAATCCATCTTGTTTACTTCATTATTTTGTACTAATCTTACTTTAACATGTTTATAAACTTGTTTTAATTCTTTTTCAATGGCTTGAATCATTGATTCTCCTTGATCATTTGGTATAAATAATGGATAACGAACAATACGATAATCTCGATCAGTATATGTTTGCTTATGTTTCGCCAAATCTAATAGACGTTGATCACGCCATAGTTTTTTATCAGTTAAGCCACTACCATTTTCACCTACTGGATATTTTGAACGAAAATATTTATCAACTTTTTCGATAGTTTCTTGTGTCCAATCAGATGGGAAATTCATATCAGCTAAAACACGTTGCATTGATGAACCATATCGATCAAAATCTATTTGTATAAAAAAAAGAGAAAATTCATCAATACATTTTTCTTTTTTGAATTTATCGAAAAAAAACAGTAAATACTCTACAGTCAATAATTCCTTTTGGTGCATTGAGATCAATTGTTTGAAATGGTCCCATAAATGACCATCGGCATGCTAATCCATGTGTTATTGCTCGATCAACATCTTCAGGTTCAGCTATTCCATCTTGGACTAATTGCAAAGCTGATGAAAGAATAGCGTATTGAAGACGATTTACAACAAAACCATCAACTTCTTTTTTAAGTCGAATAGGTTCCATACCAATCGAACGATATCTTTCCATAGCTAAATCAACAAAAGCTTCATCTGTCCATGGCGCACCAATTATTTCAACAAGTGGAATTGTTGTTGGTGGATTTATCGGATGTCTAAATAAAATATGAATGAATAGCATGTTCACATATTGTCAATATTGAACTTACGCAACAATACAACGATTTCTTGTTGTCATCTGTTCAGTAAATTTCGATGGCATAATACACGATGATGAACTTGCAAATAAACTATTCAATGGAATGATTTTATCGAGCTGTAAAAATAGATTTTTTTTCATTTCAACATCTTCAGGTATACATTCTTGAACATGATCAATACCTTGCCGAAATAATTCGTTTAATTTTTCTTCATCTTCAATTGTGTAAACATGTTTGAAAATATCATCTACTGTTTGATTAAATAATAAATTAAAGCGATCAAGTTGTTCAAGTTGTTGACGAATATCAGCTAGAGCTAAAGTGAGCATCGATGGAATGGCATCAAATAGATAAACATCATGTTTAGTTCGAGCAAATATTACACTCCAACAACGACCAATCAGTCCCGAGCCAATTATTACTACACGCATATCTACAATAAAAAAACAAACGAACAATAAAGAATTCATACAGAAACTACTCTATCAATATTTATTCGTAAAAATACACAAATACATTTTTAATATTATAAACTATAAAATTGTGCAGCATGACTTGACTGTGTTTCGATTTGTCCAATTTTAAATTGTAAACGATTAAGCCATTTGAGTAAAATAGCTAAAACACACACACATATATATATATATATATATAAACTATTTGCCATTCTAAAAACAAATTAGAAGATTTTTTCAACATACCATACATAAATCGTAAATCTCCTTGTGTTTCCGATGATGGTTGATGATTTAAACATGTTTGAAGACGAACTTGAACATGAGCCGGTAATTGACTCTGATGTGTATATAAAACAGGTACCCACATAGCAAATAACTATTGAAATGTAAATAAATTAAAAAAACATTGGATTGACTGTATAAAAAATAAAAGATAACATACATTAGCTAATACTATTGAATTTATTTCTTGTAATGCCTCAATTAAACTTAAGAAATGTAAATTAACCATCTCTGCAAGCTGAAAATGAATAACAAAAAGTAAATATTATTTATCAAAATAAACAACAAAAAAAAACAAATAACGATCAATATAATTAAAGCTTGATATAGACGCACATATTTAAATGTATGACATCAAAAATACCTCACGATGTTTGTTAGGACTTTCTTTATCCTGAAATTTATTATTGGTGTTTCATTTTTATTTCTTCTCATCGAATTCTTGTTTCTTTTTCTTTTTAATTTTAAATACGAAAAATAAAAAGAATGACTATGTACTTACCACTTTTGAATGTGACAGTAAATGAAGTATACCCGGTGTAATACGAGCCCAAAAATCCATAATAGCTACTAATGCTTCAGGATCATGTCCTCGGTTAACTTGCTCACAATACATTGTCCATAACTGAAATATATAACAGAAAACAAAAATTAATTTTAAATCAAATAATAAAATTAACTTAATCTATCTTACTTGACAAAGTATAAATGAATGAAAAAGTGATGACATATGAATAACAGATGTTTTCGATTGATCAGCAAAACCAGTTAAAATATATAAAATATAATCAGCTATTGATTGACTTGCATCAACAGGTATTGGATGACATATTATTGTTCCTTCATTTCGTGTTATAGCTGCATGTGTTAATGAACCGATCATTAACCATGAAAGAAATCTTATACGATCAATGCAATCAACAAAATCTTTGGCTCTAAAAAGCAACAATAAAAATACAGATACTTTTTTTACATACATAATAATAAAAATACAAACCCTTGTTGTACAGAAGTAGGAGGATTGTAAAGCCATGGAAGAAAACGAACAATTGCTTTTGAATCTCTTTGTCCACCTTTAGTAAATTCTAAAGCAAGATATTGTGCAAGACCAGCTTTTAATTGGCCGCCTAATGTATCTTCTGTTAAATTTGATAATTGTTGTTTTTCGCTTTTTTCTTTCATTGTACTCTATTGAAAGAAAACAAAAACCAGATAAATTTCTGTATTATTAAAGTATTTGTTTAGCTTACTTTAATTTTTGTTATTGTGTGAATATCAGCAATAAATGCAACTGTTTCATTAAGATAATGTTTCATACATTCAGCTCCATTTGTTGTTACCTAATTTGTAAAGAAAAATTTTAAAAATTCGTTCAGAAAAATTCTATTTCACAAAAGTAAGTAAGAAAGAAAGAAAAAAAGAAAAATATCACAGCACTAGTATCACAAACGCACAACATTATGAGGATCATATGCACGAACGTCATCGCTGACAATGGCCGATGCATGAATTGTACCACCCGAATCAAGTAAAATTAACTAAATTAATATTGAAAAACATTTATTTCGATAAAAGAAAAGAAAAACTATAAGAAAGCAATTTTTACTTGAATCATTAGAAGTAAATTTCTATCTGGACATGGATATCGATGAAGCATAGCTTCAACAAGAACATTTACAATACATCGTGGTAGTAGAAATTTTTCTCTATCCTGTCATAGGAAAAGAAATTAAAGATTATTATAAAAAAAAGTTTTCTATTGTCTTGTATGAAATGTTTACTCGTGTAAATGTTCGATTACTTAACGAACATAATTCAATAATATGTTCCAATTGAAATGTTCCATTTCGTAAGATAAATGTTAATAGTTTTGAAAATGGATCAAGAACAAGTCGCACATTTGCTATATATGGTACTTTGAGTATATTCATCATAATTCGAAGTATGGGTGTTAAATCATAAGTAACCTGTGTACTTGATTTAATCGTCGTATAAACTCGTGTTAATTTATCAAATAAAAAATCAAATTCAAGAAATACACTTGTCCATAATTGGATCGGAGAATCGATTGGAATATATTCCATGAATTGTGCAATATTGCTGAGTAATGTTGTACAAATGTCAAGAGACAGGCTTTTTTGTTTATTCATGTCCTATTCATTGGTAAAGATACAGAAAAAATAATAATTATATATATATATATATGAATTTCATCTTGAAACAATATTTCGATATTCAAAAGTTGCAGATGTCAAGAAAATGTTTCTAAATTTCTTTGCCCGTAAGTTCTACATATGTGATAGGAGAAATATGCAGCAATGCTAATGATTGTCATCGTAGACAGATACACGATTCATTCTTACAAAATAGTACGTAGACCAGTCTTGTAGAGCACTACATTGGTATAGAGGTTTGTGTAAACTAAAATCTAAGGGCTTAGTTTCTCTCTGATAGAACATAAAATTCAGCTACTTTCTTAAAATAATCTTCGCCGTCGATATAATCGAAATTAGTATAAGATTTTCAGTTTTTTTCCTATGATTTCATTGTTTTAAATATTGATCTATGTCTATATTTATGATCTGTTGGCTGGTTGACCATCACGGTAACATTTCTAAATACGAGATTTATAAAAGAGAAAAAAAACCTACATTGAGAAGCCATTTAAGTGCAATAATTGAATTGAACTCAGGAAAATCATTCAGTGATAAAGCAATTGTATGTAATAGTCTTTCATCTGAAAACAAAACACACCATAGTCTCAATTGAACTTATAGAAATATATTCTATCGAATACAAACCTCGAAAATTTTGTTGAAAAAATTGATAAGAAATATTATTCGCAGCTAATTGTTGAAATGTACAACGAATAAATTGTTGCGCAATACTTCTTGAATTAGCTGGTGCGACAACAGTCGAATTTTCTTGCCATGTATATATATGAGATGCAGCAACTCTTCCAATGGTTTCAATCATATCCATGAGTAATGGTGCTGCAATAGCTGGTTCACGATGAACAAGTGTTCCACATACAATTATACAATAACCAATACATTCTTCATTGTAATATTCAATCGGTTGTCCACATTTATCACATTTAGGTGCAGCTATCATTTGATTATGTAAATCTGTATCAGCATATGGATTGTCTGATTCCTCGTTCGTTGCTGTTGCTGATCGTTTAACACCTGATGATGTTGTAATACCAGCTTTCAATGGACCTTGTGATGATGATGTACGTGTTGGACGACTGAAGATATTTCCAAAAACAAAGTGTTAACAATATAAACATAAGAAAGAATTCTATTAACCTGAGCGTTGGTGATCGAACATTTGAATCGTCTTTATGTTTAGTTTTTTTACTATAATAACTTGGTTTTAATTTTCCACCAGGTGCCGCACCGCCCATACTAACTAATGTTGATGAAGATAATGATGTTACTTTAGGAGTTTTCGGAGGACTTTCTTCTGTAAAGAGAAAAATTAAATCACATGTATGAACTAACATTTCGGATTAAAAAACTAACCTTTGAATCCACCGACACTAGGTTTAAGTAAAACAGTTTCAAGTTTACCACGTTCAGCTGAATAAATAACACGTGACAGTTCTTTGACTCCTATGAAATATTTACTTTTATCAAATTTATGTGATGACATAAAAATAATTTATTACCTTTGATACCCTTCGCGTCAAGTTCAGTTAATTTTTCTGTTGGTAAAATTTGTGTTGTTGATGATGCTGTTCCAGCTGATGTGCCGGAATTTAAACCAGTTGCACTAGCTGTTCCACTACTAGCAAAAAAACTTTTCAAAAATTCTGTGTAAGATCGGCCAGTTGAAGGCATTTGATCTTCTGTTTGTCGAATTGTTAATGGTTCATCAAAGCATTCTATTTCGGGTTTATAAAATCTATTTTAAATCAAAATCTATAGAAAAAAAAAGAATAGAAGCTTTTTACGAATTACTTTGCTTTAACTTTTTTCGGGGGTGATAATAATCTAAAACGTTTATGTTCAGCAATACTCGCTGATTCTGATTGTGTGTCACCTTCTAAATCATAACGTGTACCTAATTCATTTAGTTCTACTTCGCGTATATCATCAAATGGTCGTGAAGATCCTTGAAGAAATTTGTATAATTTTATTTAAATTAACTTGTCAAACAAACCAAAAATTCCTTACCTCTTCTTGAGCCCGCTACTTTTGGTGTAATTCTACCGCTAAGACCGCAACCAGTTGCACCGAATGGTGGTGTTTCACATTGATGATAATGACTTACAATTGTGTTCATAGCAACACGTGTTAAATGTTGAATTGTCACCGCATTTGATGTATATTGATACTAAACATAAGTTTTAAATAAATATTCACTTATTTTTAAATAACAAAAAACAATATCAAGAATATTTACTTTATACAAAATAATAATAAGAGTCATCAACCATGAATCTCGTAGACTAGGGTCAATTCGTCCAAGCGTATTTGATGCACAGATATGATCATAAAATTGCATGGTTGCATTTGAACATGTAGAGAATTGTAGAAATGAGAGAAAAAATTGTAAAAGTATACTTCCAAGATTAAAATTATAATCAAGAACTTTAGGTAAATTAGATAAAAAAGCATGAAAAACTGGACTTCGTCTAGAAAAATAAAACATGATAATAGTAGAATATATTTAAATAGATAACA